CATCTGTCGATTTGGAAATCGTTTCAAATACAGATGTCTTGCGTGTGCAGCGTTTTTTCCAGCAGCTCTATAAACAATAAGCTTATCTACGTATTCCTCCTTACTACAAATTGCCATTGTTCTAGTTTTGACATTAAATGACATCGTTTAATTTAAATGACATTGTCATTTATGGAGTTTAGTGAAGGAAATATGACAAAATTTAGTTATTTGGCCAAATTACACCACAAAGTTAGTAGTCTCCATGCCACGGCGAATGCAGGTGATAATTGACACCAATGGAGGACCTACAGCGTATTAAAACATAATACCAACCTAAACTTAAACATTTTTGCTCAATTTTATGGTGTTAATTTCGTATCATTTGTTATTATTGTGATTATTTTATTTGGAAAACTGAATTATTTGAAATATTTACAATTATCTATTATTCCCCTGTATACTTAATTTTGTGAGCAACTGTATACATATTTTGAGTTAGAAATAAAACCCAAATAACATACAAAATGTGTTTATTTTAAATTATGAAATTAGTGTCAAGTCTTTGAGACAGAATCGTATTATTTCACTATTTCAGTTTATTCAGAATGATTTTAGCATCAAATTTTTTTTTACATCTCCGAAGGCACAGCCAGGATTAGATGATCCGCGAGCAAGATAACATAGAAAATTGAAGAATATGATATTTTGTTTTTAAAATATTTACAACATAATTCAATCGTATCCTTAGTTTGTTACAAATTAACACCACAACAACAAATAAAAATTCAAATATTGATAATTCGATGAAATCCGTTCAAAAAGTAGTTGTAGCGAGATATAGCAAGATGTATTTAGTTAAAGAGACACGAAATAGTAAAATACGTAGATTCTGTGTTATCAATCAAAAAAAAATGATTATCACTATTTTATAAATTTATAGAATAATACTAATAACGAAAATGAAACATTATATAATACATTTTGGTACAAAGTAAAAAAAAATTTAAGGAGAAATTAATATTAACATTTCAACATTGTTTATAACTATATACGTTACGGTAAATGTGCGTATTTAGGGAAATGTAAATATAAATTTGAGACATATAATTAAATAACAATTAAGTTCAATGCCTAGACTTTTAAGAGAATAAGCCGTTTGAAAATCACCACATTTACCGTAACATATATAGTTGGTTTGAAATTTAGTTTAGCGTTATGAATACCAGATGAATCAATTTTCTCCTAACACTTTTTTACTTAACATTGTTTCGCAACTCTTGATATTAAATATTCTTTTGATGATATTCTTTTTAATTTCGTAATAGATATTCTTATCTAAAATCGTCAAAATACATATAAAATACAATATTACTGAAATGTTTTTGTCATGCCAATAATAAATAATATCAAATTATGATGATGTTAGCTATGACATAACATGAAAGCCTACTTAATCCTAATAAATAAATGTTTGTACTTATTTAAGTAGTTGTTCAGTTGGAATGAAAACTTTTTGATCTTACAACCTACTTCACAATTGACGCTAAACTTCAACGTAAACATTAATCTTTTCGCGCCGAACGGATCATGAGTCCCAAAAATTTTCTTGGGGCCATTTCCTCACTTCTTACAACAACCGGATGTCCCGGCGTAGTAAATTAGTGTTATTTCCAGTTCAAGTTATATTCTGCGTTTAATTACTTATTTTACCATTAACGAGGTATCAAAATATGAGAATTCTGCGATGCCAAGACAAATTATGTATAATTTCAAATTTTGGAAAAGATCTTGAAAAAAAGTTACACTACCGGGTGTCACAGTCAATTTTTGGAAAAATACTAAAAACGTGTTGGTACTTAGCAATAATTAAAATGGAAAATGAAAAGTGGTGAAATACTATTCACTTAACCAAGTATCTAATGGTACTCTATGATTTCCAGTAAAAAACAGAAAATGGTAGAATAAATTGTTTTATAAAATACTGAAAGTTGTAATTATACTAGACTACAAAGATTTTTTAGATATGTTATGAAGAAAATTGAAATGCATACTTTATAGACTTGGTGTAATAATGCAATATTTGCTTTACATCTTTTGATACTTTAAACAATAAACGCGTTTAAATAAACACTTGTACTTTCTATAGAAAAGTTTACGTTTCAAAAATAAATTTTATATCATAAATTAGACTAACGCTAAACACATCAGAGAATGAAAATTTATCTTCACCAGCTAAGAAATAATGCTATTGATACCTTCTTCCCTGATTATATGTAAAAATTATTAAGTACAAGTGATTCCACATTCTGTGCATATCATCGCGATTCTCTAGTATAATCTGTCAGCTGTGAAATATAAAATTTTGCGATTTAACCTTGGCTAGTAGGGGTTGTTACCATATCAAGAACATTATTACGAGTTGTTGGTATACAATAATTATTAAAACACCAAAGTTACGAAGTATTCTTCAATGGGCGAGAAAGCTTCTTGTTGAATTTGAAAATTTCTACACTTATTACATACAGAAAGTATTAAATATTACTAAATTGTACTTTATGTACTGCTTGACCACGTTTATATTTGTGGATCCAAATGGAAGCGTTTCGGCGGCAAATAATTCATCTCAACCATAAGACATAATTTTCTAACTTTGTTATACAAATAATTATTGTCTAAAAATGTCTATCGTCTATTATATACCACAAGCTACCTTAGCAACATCACAATTATTATTTATTAAGGGCCGGTTGTACCACCTTTTGATAAATTTATCTTATAGATAAACCCATCTACTAGCCAATCAGAGCGCGTAAAATAGCCGTTACCGTGGTAATAATCCCTTAGATAGCTTAACCAGAAGATGGTAGTAACGAGCTTTAGCCAATAAGAGCGCTTAAAGCCGATGTAATCATGGTAATTATCCCTTAGATAGTTTATCAGGAGGATGGTACAGCCGGCCCTTAGTAAAGTTATAAAGCTTTGTCTTCAAACATTAAAAATCCTGTTACTACAACAACCAAGTTTGTATTTAACAGTTCAGATCGATTCCACTACAGCTTAGGTCTATCTAGTGATATAAAATGTTGCTACTTTAGTAAAGAAATAATTGTTTTCAAAATTATATTATCTCATAGCTGAAATATGCCCATAAAAACACAGTTGACAGGATTTAGTTGTACAGATATTTATAGACCAAACGAAACGGTGAGACGTTCAAACAGCAAAATTTTAAGAACCTTATACTATCATCTTCACATGTCATATGTCATGGACAGAGATGCGAGAGGGATTTTATCTGCTATGAGTTGAGCAAGTAGAACCGTTCGCATTTCTGTCTATGGTACATGACATGTGTAGACGGTAGTACTTTGGGGAGTGTAATGAGCAAGGCCCAGATAATTTAGGAAAGTTTTACGTCGCTGAACATTGAGGCTGGATCATTGATTACAGTACTCTTCAATCCATTAAGTTTAAAGCTGTTCAAGGAAGACACTGGGGAGAATACTAAGTTAATCTCTCTTTAAGTTTCGTCTTGAAATAGATAATTAAGATGAATTATGGTGATATAATTTGAGAAGTATTTAGACCTTAATATAAGAACTTAGCAAATCCATTTTCAATCATATTTCAACTACTACGTAATAAATATTAATTGATCAAGCGAAAATAAACCGTTGTTCAGTGAATGATTTCTTGAAATAGTCATATCTCTAATCAATTTTGTCATATTCCAGTTAATCACTGTGTCAACTATACAGGGTGCTTCAAAAAACCGCTGATAGACTTCTAGGGCAGGTAATACATCAAAAATTAAGATGAAAAGTCTTAATATACATGGGGTCGCAAATGCCTCATTAATGAGATATAGCAGGTCAAAATTTCTTTAAAATTAAAAATTATCTGCAATAAAATGTTCTTTTTTAAAAATATTTTCAACGCCACTGCTAATTTTGTCAAACGGGCAGTATTTTCGTGTAAAGTGATCAATTATCTATCAATTGGTCTCTTAAAAACCTTGATTAAAGCAATAGTTTTTAAGAAAAACACGTTTGTAGAAAATTTGTTAATCCAATCAAAAACTGTTGCTTTAATCAAAGTTTTGTAAGAGACCAATTGATAGATAATTGATTAGTTTACACGAAAATACTGCCCGTTTGACGAAATTAGCAGTGGCGCTGAAAATATTTCAAAAAAAGTGTTTTTTATTGCAGATAATGTTTAATTTTAAAGAAACTTTGACCCGCTATATCTTGTTAAGGACGCATTTGCGACCCCATGTATATTAAGACTTTTCATCTTAATTTTTGATGTATTACCTGCCTTAGAAGTCTGGCAGCGATTTTCTGAATCACCCTGTATACTGCCAGTTTAAAATAATATCTGTATGCTGTTCCAATATAATACCAAATATTTCTTGCGAAAATTCGTTATGTACCAGTTCAATTTTGCATGTTAATCTAGTTTGACTGTATGAAACGAAATGATCATTGCCTAAATCATCACAGAATAATAATAATCCTCATTCAAATAAATTAGTATTATCATAAAATAAACATAAATTGTCATTCATATAATCCTTAATGTTTTATTGCGAATATAATTATTGCTTCGATTTTCCAATCAAATTTTCGGTTTTAGTTTTTCCATTTGTGTCAATTGTGAATCAGATTTAATTCAACTCAACCAGATCGCGCTAAAACTTTGAAAATTTTATATTTAATAATTACATTTTCTCCTAGAATTTTATAAGAAACAAAAATTATTTGTGATACAAAAATTACCTTCATTATAAAATGATTATTATTGAAAATAAATAATATAATCCATCTGGTATATCAATCTAAACTAAACTTCAATTTAATTTCTTTATATCTATAAACAATGATTTTGATACTGAAAATAAACAAAAATAATAAATTAATTACAAAATAAAAGAAAATTAAACTGGATGTTTTTTTTTCATAATATATATTTTTATATATATATATATATATATTTTTAAATAACTTTTATTTATTTTTTTTCATTTTGAATTCGTGAGAATTCATTTTATTTTTTTTTATCGTTCGCGATACCACCGACCCCTCGGTTTTCTTAAAATCCGGGGTGATTTCGGCGAGGGCGGCGTCCTGCGAGGTCTTTTAACTGTCCTGTTTGGGGACGAGCCGCTTTTCGCTCGTTTCTTTGAACTAATTTTTTCCGTTAATTTTTGTACACGTACAACCGGCTGTAACAAATCTTTATCATTATTGCTCACTTCACTACCGTTTGTCACTTTTGCCATTAAAACTTTTTCTTTAGGACTGTTATCCCACTCAATATCTTTTTTATTATTCAAATCGTCTTTTTCACTATTAAATTGTTCACCTTCATCGTTATCGTCATCTTGTTTTTTTAATTTATTAATTTTATTTAATACCCTGTCTTGATCATCGTCATTACCATTCAAAATGACTTGATTATCATCTAAAATAACACTATTTACATTTTTTATCGGTACACTTTTTGTTTTATCTGTAGTACTTTGGTCACTAAAATTATTACAGTTATTTTTTGTTTTTTGGCTATGATTTTTTAATGCCCCACTATTATTAAGTTCTTTGTGATTACAACAAAAATTATCTTTCGATTCTTCTTTCCGCCGTTTACTGTTTTTATTCGGCCATCCGGTTCGATTCTTTTTCTTTTTCCTCCACGGTTTTTTCGCTGTTGAAAATAATTTTTTGGCTGGTGTAAAACTGTTGTTGTCTTTATCATCGAAATTATTTAATAATTCGATTGCGCTTAATTTTAATCTTGCGTTTATTAAAACCGTTTCTTCTTCTGATAAATTTAATTCTAAATCGTTTAATAAACCAAAGTTGAACCATTCTTCATCGATTCTTTTCGCGATTCTTTCATTTTCCCGAACGATTTCTTGTACTTTTCCCTCTGGACCTTTATAAATAATTATTTCTTCGTCTTCTTTTTCATCTACACTTTTTGCTTGATCTTCTTCTTTTTCTTGTATCGTTGGAAGTGTTTTATCTAATTCTGAACTTGATTTGTTATTATCACTTCGTCTTTTTCTTTGATGTAGTAAGCTGCTTAAAATTGCTAAAGTGGATGCATGTTGACGTGGAGATTTTCTTGGGTTTTTGCCTAAGGCCATAACTTTCCTATTTTTACCACTTTTACTTTTCCCATGTTCGTCAAAATCATCTCGATCGTTGGTTATTGATGAATCTTCACTTTCTTTACTGTTTTCTTCATTCAATTCAATTTGGTTTTGAGTAGGAGTGTTACTTCCGGCGGATGTTGTTGATAGGCTTTGTTGAATTAGTTCTTTTTTGAGTTCTTTGTAGGATTTGATACAAAAACGAGGATCTAAAGGCGGTAAAGGACCTATTTCATATGGTAAAAGAAATGGTTTTTTGTAATCTAAACAAAGAGAGAAAATAAATTAATTAAATAAAATGGGGTTAATTCATTTTTTTACCTAAATCAGTGAATTTTTTGTAAGATTCTTGACCTTCATCCTGTCGTTGAAACGTTGAGTACCAAGATTCGCACGTTGGAGCTCGCTCAAACGAAAATTCGAAAGTTTTATAATCAAATACATCGCTTTTTTCTCCTTTTATGTTTAGATCGTAACATTTTCCATCGAGTTTTATAATTTTACTTGAATGCTCTCCATTACATTTTGAAGATTTTGGTGATTTTGAGTCTGTTGCAACTGGAGCTAAATAAGAACCATGATATCTCAACCTATAAATGAAGTAAATTTTTAATAATCCACTTTAATATCTTTCTTTCAATTAAAATAATACATACCTTGATCCAGGTGTTTCAAATTTATAATACTTTTGGTTATCCAAAATAAAAGCTTCAGCATGCGTCCTTCGCTTCTTCTTCTTCGAACTACATTCCGACCAGTTACTATCCAAGGAAGCCTCATCAAGATGTCTAACTTCTTCTCTTTTAGGCGTTGTATGCGCTTCGCTTTCGCTCGATAACAAAATTGTGCTGTCACCGCCAACGCTGGCCGTCGTATTTGGATTATCTGCGTCAACATCTTCTTCAGAGCTGGTTGTTTCGTCTCGTTTCGGAAACAAAAAACTTTCTGCCTCGTTATTCAGTTGTCTCAATTCATAACTACGCATCTTTTTAAATTTCACTATTAAACTTTTATTTTTGTCCGACCCCACTCCTTCGCTATGATTATCCGTCGTTTTTGCGGTCTTTTTCGCCGGCTCGTGGTTTTGTTCTTTTTGAATTGAGGAATCGCTACTCGATCGTAATTTGTTCGATAAAACTTCGACTTTGTAATACATTTTATTTTCCAATGGGATCGAATCCTCGATCGAAAGTCGTTTTTGTCGAATACACGCTCGTTTCGGTCGACCCGAATCCCACGTATCTTTTTGCTCATTTTCTAATAATTTTAGTAATTGCCTTGTACTCGATCTTAATTCCCGTTCTCGGACACCTTCAGTTTTCACCACTTGATGATCATCATCGATCAAAGCACCTACGTAATTGGTTACTGCGGCGCAATGTCGTTTCGATCGTAATCTATTACTATTACTCGATTCACTTCCGGTTGGTGATAAAGGAGAATTTCTAATTTTATCACACAATGATACTGTTCTCGGTCTTAGCATCCTCTTCTTATTCTTTACAGGCTCTGTCTCTATCAGTTTATTGACTAACAATTAAAAAAATTAAAAGAATGTTATCATAATTTTCAGTTTTAACCTCTTTAACGTACTGGTTCTTAAAGAAACATATCAATTTAAAATTAATATTATCAATCCCAAATTGTTTGTAATCTAAGCAAAAAAGTTCGCGTGATCCCGCTTCTTAGTACTTAAACAGCTAAACATAGCAATTTATGGTAGAAAGTAGTCTAAAGATGCTTTGTGTGTCTGCAATAATGTGTGGTAGTAAAAAGTATAACTGAGCCCTTATTTTGATTTGGTAGTAATAATATTACAGCTGATAATTGAAAAGATAAAATTATCATATGCCCCCAGAATTTACTGTAGAGAAAAAGAAGACAGAGGTAAACACTTTTTACAAATCCTGCTATCTCCAGCGTGAGCCTGGAATGTTACAAGTTGGCCAATGATCATATTTTTCAGAATGCTGAATGGGAGTGGCATTGATTCCCAAGTGATTCTATTCAGATTCAGTACGAAGAAGAGTTTTCCTAAAAACGTTATCCCACCAACTGGCGCTTGGAGAGCTCAAATAAACACCAACCTCAAAATACGACTGAAAAAGTTCCGTCTGAAATCAACGTTGTAATTAACCCCGTCCACCTCCAAAAAGATGCTCAACCTGTACAACTGAAACGGGTTTCAGAAGGATGACAAATTATGAATGTAAAATGTGTTACTCTACAATCAAGGTTTATTACAGTATGTCCGTAAAGTAACGGATATAGGCGATAAAATCATTATAAACGATTTATGGAAAAATCCCTGAAATGGGTCTAAAGATTTAAATTTTTTGCAATTGTTTGGTACAGATTTTAAATTTCTTCTGCCATTTTTAAACGAGTTATGACGTCATCGATATTTTTTTCAAATGGCAATCTCCCATTTTTATTATGGAATATGATAGAGGATTTTTTTCTGAATCTAGTACAGTCAATATTAATATTGATTACATAAGAAAATTTCCGAGAAAAATTACTTTAACGTTTAACTACTTTAGATTTCTTGACATGATGAAAATAGCAGTAGCCATGAGTAACTATGGTAACCAGTTATTTTAAACAATTTCCTAAGTGTCAAAAACTGATTTAGTAAGTAGATGACCTCTTTAATACAACATATCCTAATCGCCAACTCATGAGCCAAAGTATGGTGACCCTAGCTGTGACTAAATTTAAAAAGGATGGGCAGCTCTCAAAGCATTTCTCGAAGTCTGGCGTACTAAATGTTTCAGGAGAAGTTCAATAAACCGTGGTTTTGGCTGGCCAAGAAAACCCTCATGTTACTGTAAGGAGTATTGGATCTAATTTGGACATTAATAAATCCTCAACCTCCTTTTAGAAAGTTGTAAAACCCCCAAAATATCATTCCCATAAAGTAAATCTCATTCACGAGCAATGAATCGTAGTTTTTGCAACAACAATTTTGCAACGATGACGAAGTCTTTGTCAAAAACATAATTTTTTCCGACGTAGGGACATTTACATAGAGTGGACAAGTAAATAGAAAAAGTTGTCGGTATTGGGCTATCTAAAATCCAAATTAGCCAACAAAGTCGCACACCTAATATCCGCAAAAGATTTAAGGAAACCTAAACTAGAAAGAGATGTTTAAATTTTTAATTTAAATCTTTAGACCCGTTTCAGGAATTCTTCCATTAACCGTTTATTATGATTTTACAGCCTCTATCCGTTACTTTACGGACATACTGTATATATGAGGTTGTCTATACACTTAGACAAACGCAACCATGCTGCGAATTACGTCATTGGCAAAAAAATACCGGGAAATAATTCAAATTTTTAAAATAATGTAATTGAATTACTTTAATATATTTACTGTGGTCTATAATTAACTGCGGTAGGAAAGCGGAAAATAATTCAACTTAATTTCTGATATAAATTCATTTATCATAAAATAATTGAGGGAAACTAACGTAGTAATTGATTTGTTATACTAGAGAAGACACTTCAACTCTCACTAAACATGACCTTGAGGTTGCGCGCGCAATCCACTTACGCCGCGAAACACTCCCGCTCTTGCCCCTTGCACACAAACTAAAATTAAAGTATTGCAGTATAGGAATCTAGACAACCTCTTATATATAAACCTTGTGCTGCTTGTCTTCTACTAACAAGCTTCGACTAAATTTCCCCTCCTAAACAGTATAATATAATATCCTTTTCACTAAACTTTAAATAACATCTTTTTTGAAAAATTATTTTTATCAAGCGCATTGCACCCAAACTTGCAAATTCTTGTTACTATATATTCAATACTGTTATTTATTTAAGAATAACTTCATCTTACATTAAAAAGATACCACATTGTATTACTTCCTCTAAAGACTGCACTGAGCTGGTTTTGTAGAGAAATGTAAAGGAAGACTTACATCCAGTGTTTGGGAACTTTGCAGTTTTCAGCAAATTATTTGTTTTTCTGCGTTAGTATTTTAAAAATTTTTCAAAAAATAATATGAATAAATTACACACTATGAATATATTGTGAGTCCAGAAGAAAGGCCAGAAGATATTTTAACACAATTAAAAATAGAAAAAGGATGGCTTCCTTTTTTATCATCAATTATTAAAGCATTAAAGCACACTTATTAGAAAATAAATTCCTTCATATTTGATCCATATATCTATACAGCTTTCCATCCATTTGTTTAGAACGCCATTGTGTTGATTCAGCCAATATTGTATTCGTTTTTTTAATCGCACAAAACGTCATATCGTTGTTCCTGCAGGTATTTTTAGTCGTTGGTTTATCGTAACAATACTCCATTAATAAACAGATCACATTATCTATAAATTATTAACATTTTGAAAACTTTTCACTTGAAATAAGAACCATGTTTAATACTTATTTAAAACAGACACTGAAAACAAACAAAAATTATCAATTTCCGATATTCGCAACATTTGCATTGCTGGAAAGGTAAAGAATATTTATTCTGCACGAAATTTCCAACATATTTGAATACCGACCTAAATTTCTTCTAATAATTTAATTAATAAAGTCAAAAGAGTACGTTAAAGGGTTAACATATTTTTTCTAACATTAAATATACATATATTTTTAGACTTACCACCATTTAATTTCAGGAAATTATTGATGCTTGAGGTGTTTGATATTAAAGTATCCAATTGTAAAAAATTGGAATTGTCCTTGATGAAAGTTAAGTGTTTGTCGCTTTCAAGATGTTCGTCAAGTCGCAGATAATCTGCTCGGCAGACCTCACAATAGCCGGGTTGTAGTGCTGTGTCAAGACGCGGGTTTGACCGGGTCTTCCGAGTCATGTTACGCTCGATGTTCGAGCGTATGACGATGCCAGGGTCGCCGGCCGATCCTTGGAAGTTTAATTGGGGCCAGTTCCGTATTTCTTGGAAAATCGGTCGAGTTTGTCTTCAAACAAAAAAATATAATTATTTAATTTGCTTTTTTGAATACATTTTAAAGACATCTTAAATCGAGTCACAAAACCAGTCAGGGTCTAATAGAAGAAAGTTCATCGCATCAAATAAAAACGAATCAGTTTTATTTGACAATTAGTAACACTGTATAATTATCATTATTAAACAGCATCAGAAGTGGGATTGGGTCAATTTCAACATCAATTTATAGCATTGGCTACAATAACAAAATCGGCATCGCCTTTATCATTTATCTGTAATCTTAATTGTAAGTGCAAGTTGTTATTTGTTTTATTAAAGGTGGAACATAAAATTGCTCTTGATGCTTGCATAAATATGGTGAGTATAAAAGTTTTTAGATAATGACGTTAAATACAATAATGACGAGATCTATCTGTGTAGAATATTTACCATTTTTGTAACTATGCAAAAATTGATACAATTGTAAAGCCAGTAATTGCAATATTTAAGTTATAAAATCAGGCAGGACTTACATATATTTTTAACAAATCAGGGAGGAAATAGAACATAACAGTCTAAAGAACCCCATAGATGCAAGATAGAAATCAATGGGCAAGTAATAGAGGAACAAATGAAAAGTCAGTATCTGGGTACGAATATAACATATTATGGTGAAATAGTAGTTCAGCAACAGCAAATACAACACGCCTCAACCAACTGACTTGGAGAAGCAAACATATTTATTTAAAACATGAATATACAAAACAACAATAACACAGTGAAGATATAAGAAAATATAAGAAAGAAATGCAAAGTAGAAAATAGTAATGAATGGGTACTAAACAGGAAACAAGAATGGCAAGCAACAGACTTGTGTGAGTAGTAAGAAACATAACACTACTTAATTCTTACATATTTCAGTGTATATTGTGTACAGGAAATAACTTCGAACACCTGCTGTGATGTTATTTTAACATGTTCTATGTATTCTTAAGTAATTTCACAAATATCTAGGACTAAAAAACTTTTACTACACCTTTTTTCACCTATTAGTCATTATTTATGCAAGTTTATGTGTATAGCTTGAGAATCACTATGCACATTAAGTATTATTGTATAATATACAATATTGTTCTATTTTGTACTTTTTATATTGTGATAACAAATACTATTAATTATTTACTTTATTTAAATAAGCAAATTTTTTGTTTCATAATTACTTTGGTTTATTTGATATGTTAACATAGTTAACATATTCTTAAGTAATTTCACAAATATCTAGGACTGAAAAACTTTTGCTACACCTTTTTTCACCTATTAGTCATTATTTATGCAAGTTTATGTGTATAGGTTGAGAATCACTATGCACATTAAGTATTATTGTATAATATACAATATTGTTCTATTTTGTACTTTTTACATTGTGATAACCAATACTATTAATTATTTACTTTATTTAAATAAGCAAATTTTGTTATATAATTACTTTGGTTTACTTGATATGTTAACTATGTGTATAGTAGTGCATACAACGTTAATTAACATGTAAATGAATATAATTTTAAAGTAGATCGTAAATCCAGTTCAGAAAAGAATGGGAAAGTTTAGTAACTGGTTGTGAGTGGGTTTGAGTGTGACCAAAAAGAATCCAAGATCCAATGCAATAATATTAAATAGATTTACGTTCAGTCAATATTTTAAATAAGGGTTAATTGATTGAAGGAAACAGTTAAATTCCTTACAAATATTTACCTGTTGAATGCTTCAAACTTAATGTAAGGAGTCTTGAGTTCAAAGAACTTTTGCGTCGTTTTCTTTTTATTTGATAGCTTATAAGATGCTGATACTTGCTCTAAAAAAGCAAACGTCTACAAAAAAAAGAAAAGAATATAATTAAAAAGTTTGTTTACATTTATTGATAAAGCTGTTAACCTTGCAATACACGTATGTAATTTTAATTTCGCATCAGTGCCATCTTTTGTTGGCTAATTGTTTCAAATTACCATATTTAAAGGAATACAAATATTCGATATTGTTAACAGACAATAATAACAATTCTAATAAATACTAATATTTGCGAAATGTTGTTTATATAAAATAGGTAAATACAGGTTTATTTAGCTTAGTTCCAGCTAAATCCGAAATTTTCTAGGACTAGTGTTAGCTTTATACCATTTCAAGTTCAAATTGGCACCAATCAAACAAAAAAAGGCATTAATCAATTACAATTTTTCACTCTTAACAAACTATCTACAAAATATTATATTAAAAAAAAGGAAGCGGCAAACGTAAAACGGCAAATTTGTGCCGTTTACGATACGAATGGCGAAATTTTGCTGAAATTCTTGGTTCAGATGAGTAAACCAAGAGGAAGGAAACGTAAAATAAAGATTACAAATGAACATCACCGTTTCTTTAAACTTAAAGTTGAAAAAATCCTAAAATCACACTTAAGCAGTTGCGAAATACAAGAAACATTACGAAATGATTTCAGCTTAATGTAAGCAAGGAATGTACTCTACAACACCTTGATGACTTCATTAAAACAAATACGTTTTGAATGGGAAAGAACCAACACCTTCGAAGTGAAAACAAAAAGATCTCAATACATAACAAATTTGGTTAAACTTCAAAGTGAATTTATTTAGACGAAATAAACTTTAATATATTTATGTCGCGAAGTCAGGTTAGTTCAAAACAAGAAAGTCATTGTACTTTCATTGCTGCCCTGGTAGTCAGGGACAAATGTGCATCTTATCATGCATTTAGAAGAGGGTCATTTAAAAGTGATGAGGATAATGAGTTTGTTAGACAATGTTTAAGGAGAGCTCAAAGTAGCTATCAATGCTCAGAGGATTTACTCATTGCTAACACTCCTTGCCATTGTGGTGTTGAAGAAGTGTTTGAAGAACAATAATTTCTTCATCATAAACTGCTAAACCTAACTGAACACACTTGGTCTCAAAAATTGTCTCAAACAGAGTACAGAATTCGAAAATTAGAAAATATAATATTAAAAAAATTAATGTAACTAACTGTAAGAAGTTTATAGCTGGAATTCAAAAGCACATCACCTCAATTTTAAACATAGAGGATGTCACGTTTTGAGTTAAGAATATTGTTTATTACCAAGTATAAAATTATGTATTTAAAATGTTTAAATATTTAAAAATTGTTTTGTTAAATTCGAATGCCAATTTGATGTTGATTAATTAATAATAATTTTGATTTTGATTAATGCCAATTGGTGATTATGACAGTTGTCAAATGGTTTTGTTTAATGACATTTTGGTACAGTTCTAGATCTAATGCTTCTAGTTTAAATTTAGTGTTAGATAGCATTGTATAGCACTGTGTTGTATATTTTTATTAAATTAAAACTAGAACTAACACTAGACCTAGAACTAGAAACATTCGGGTTGAGACGCAATAAAAATACAGGGTGTATCTAAATTGATGCGAAAGATTTTAAGGGGTGATTTTCAACCAAAATTAAGGGGGATCTTTCATACAACTTTTTGTTCAAAATCTCTTCTCCTCCAAGTTATAGCCTTCTAAAGTTAAGTGAAAAAATCTGCAACTTTCTTATCTCTTGACATTTTACAACTAACAAATTGTTAGCTTGATCACAAAAAATAAAATAATGCTGAAATCAATTTGACATAACTTCATTTTTTTGACTAATAATAACCAATCTCTGAATTAATCACCTGAACTTGTGCATTATTTTATTTTTATGTGATCAAACTAACAATTTTAGGAGAAAATAACAAGAGAAAAAAGTTGCGTATTGAATCCCTCTATTTAAATCAAATTTTTAAAGAGAGAAACATAGATACATTAAAAAGTTATGATGCAAAGTATTATAGGGGTTGATTTTTTCACCCCCTTGTAATAACATTTTCTGATTATAAAGTGTTATTTTATTAGCAACAGTTATCTGCCAAATTTCATCCCTCCAAATTCCTCCATAGTGGATTTATTAAAGAAAAACAAATTTTTCCCCCTAATTTTAGAACTGAATGTTAGGCTGTAACTTGGAGGAGAAGTGGTTTTGACCAAAAATTAATTTTCGCTGAAAAATCACCCCTTAAAATCTTTCGCATCAATTTAGGTACCACCTGTATATAAATAATTTAGCGCTTCTTTAAACGTCTTTAAAAATGGCTAAATCCGAATGTTTTTAGTTCCAAGTCTAGAGTTAGTTCTATTACTAGTATTAGTTCTAGTTTTTGTTGTTTTAATTCAAAAAAAGTAAATAAAATTGGTGTAATAAATTTTAATAACTTCTAATTAATGCCATTTTTTGCTAGACAATCGCTTTTATTAGCAATTGGGGTCTCATAGTCTATGTAAGCACGTGTACTGGAAGGTTAATATAAAATTGTAAGTAAAAATGATTAAAAATTCATTAAAAGTGAGGTTAGAATTATTTACTTTATCAATGGACCATATGGTAATGCCCCAATTTCTTGCTTCTTCCAGTGGATCTTTTGTAATGACAGTTGGAGTTTTTCTGGCTCTTTCAAGCATTGCATCAGCACGTGTTTTCTATAAAAAAATAATAATTTTTTTCAATATTAAATAAAAATATACAGGGTGTTTAGAAAATGGCGGAAAATGTAGAAGTAGCGACATTCTTCATTACATTCTAAAGTAAAAATCTTAATTTTAAGATGTACTTTGTAATTTGTCCATAAATAATCATTAATATTCAATATCTATTGATAAATAAGCTATAATTTAGAATAAAAAGAATTTTGAAAACTAGTTTTTTTATTAAACTTATTTTCTTTAGATTTAAAGTTCGTTTTTAACATTTTTTCATTATCATATCTTCATGAAAAACACTTTTGGCAACATTTTAACATTAAGATTTTCTTAAACAGCCTGTATAAAGGTACTTACTGGTCTGCCCCTTCTTGGAGTAATCTCCTCATTATTTGTGGTTCCAAATTCATTACTGGATAATTCATGAGGAACATATTGGGGGGTGCGGGGTTGGGACCCACCCCCCTTAGTACTGCAACATCCTTCCCGATCAGTTACAACATGTGTTATTTCTTTTATCAAAAATAATTCTAAAACCTAAAATAAAAAGTTTAAATTTTAAATGATAATTTATAATTGATGAATAATTCAAAACAAAAAACATCTGATTCGGGGATTAGTAAAAATTCTTAATCAAGGTCAAGGATTTTAAATCACTACTCAGAAAAAAAAGACAACTAACAAAAAAAAAACAGTCAAAAACTTCAAAATCACCACCCAAAATCGAAAGTTTTAAATTTCTGTACATAGATGTCAGATGTTTTGGGGAGGGCAAGAGACGATTATCATCTTATTATTATTATTATGTTATCAGCTGGTGTGCGGTGAGATATCCCACCAGCACAAATAGGGACGACGTGTTTATACCGGTACTTTTAACTAATCAAACTACTTACTGGACACCTATTTGATGATATCCAGTCGGTTCGGGTTGATATTTTGCTTCGATTATCGTCTCTAACAAAACAACTAAATTATGGCAATCGGTAGCTGTCATGTATGATATACAAAATGGCCCGTTCGGTTAGGTATTTTCCTAAAGATGGCGCTCAACTTTAAGTCGTATTTACACGACTTACATTTATATCACAAAAAATTTAGTGGAAATAAAATTACTAAAACAATATTTTGCATCATTTTTATCCTACTTTTTAAATTTTATAGGTTAGGGTTGATTAAAAAATTGATTTTTTTCTTTTAATTAATTACTAAATTAATGCATTTTATTAAAAATGATTATTTTAGGGTTAATTTAATTTAAAGCGTTTAATTTAATAAAAAACGATTTAGTTTATAACTAAAAGAAAATTTAATTTTGTTTATAAATGTTAAAAAATAAATCGTGTAAATCGGTTCTGATTGGAAGGATATTGACGCGGAAAGTTTGCTTGATAACAAAATTGACAGCTAACTAAATAAAAGTGTTTTTTGATGATGTTTTTATCCACATTTATAATTTTTTTAATTAAAATTAAAATAAAAAAGCGGCGTACACGATTTGAAACTTGGCAACAGCGTCCGCTGTAAAATACACAACGAAACTCGAGAAAGCGTCTCCTTTTTGTGTCCCAAGCGATAATGTTTTGACTTTTCTTTATTTAACGGTTGTTTGTTATTAGGAAACGAAATTGTTCTTAATATAACGTGGGGGCTACGTTGACAAATTTACCTTGTTTCGTTTTACTTTGTTTAAAAAAAACAAAAGAGAAGGTTGTTTTTTGTTATATTTTTATGTTGATCGTTGCGCAACGAAAAAAAAGACTTTTGAAATCATTTGTTTATTCTAAATAAAGAAATTAGGTTGGCAGTTATGGAGATGAGATGAACTTATTGAAAATGAAAATAAAAACGAAAACTTACCCCTCCTAATTCTTTTATTTTTAACTCAACTTTACTCGCGATTATTCGATTTTTAACGTCCAAATAAAACTTGTAATTATGCAACGGTTTGTTCGTTGTCGATGAACAGCCGTTTAAACCTAAAAAAATTAATTTTCTTTTTAATACACCCACTTCACAAAAAATTTCGCCGATTTCTTTACTTTTATTCACATTTTTGCAGCAAGGTACAGCAGCATCTTCTCTACCACCCGGTTGTGCACTAGCTTTCATTACTCAAACTCCTGTACGCGACGTAACATAATTTTTTTTCTTTATTCTGTTGGTATTGTTATTGTTTAAGGGGCCCCCCACAAGAAAAAATCGTCACTTAACCTAACTTTTTTTTAACACTACAATTTTTATATTAATAACACCTCGATAACTTAAACGATTACTCTTAAAGTTCTTTTTCGATTCTTTTTTTCTAAAAGACGTCTTCTAAATACGTCGAGCGAGAAATACACACGCCCAGAACACTGGTTGGTGGTGCAAACACACCACACACACTGTTGCCATGTCACGGACCGGCGCGTCCCGTACAAAACCGTTCGATATGGACACGAACTAGGGGAACACGGTTTTGTATGTTTGTCGCTCACGAAACTTTATTTCTCTTTTCTTCACAATCTCGATATTAAAGCTGTACGATTACAAAACAATTTTCAAAACACGACTCAGTATCTCGCGGCGCCAAACCCGATAAACAATTAACCAATCAAATCAAGTTTCCTAATAGTGACATCTATTATCTTTTTATGTTAATTAATTAAAGAATAAAAGCGGGAAATTTAATATCACACCACTTTATATACTATTAATATTGTTTATTATAACATATAATTTTATTAAAATAATAATCACATTGTTTATTTTAATATACATAATAATTATAGATAAAATATTTTGATAAAACATAAAATAATATTTATGATAAAAAAATGCTCTACATAATATAAAACATTACACTAACTTAAAAAAAACTTAAAAATGATCTAATTTAACGTTTAAAATCAAATAGTATCTTCCTTTAAAAAGAAATCACAATTAATATGGAAGAAATATGAAGCACCAATTTTTTTGATCAGTCGTTTCATTACTTAACAATCGAATCCATTTATTTATTGATTAAATCGATTTTTAAAGAGAAATTTGTCCTCCAAATAACCAGGAATCTGAAACAATTAATAAAATTAAATTAAAAAAATAAATCCCTGCAACATTTTAAACTATGAATATGTAAAAGTGGTTGCCTATCTAAACCTTAAAAAACACAATCCCTATAAATCCTTTAATTCTTTGTTGTTCCCATTTAAACAAAAAAAAAAAACAAACTTGAGGATTGGACATGCACGAGAATTAAAAGAAAAACAATAAAAAATCAAAAAGTTTTGTGTATGTTCTATAATTTTTTTATTTTTTCGATAAAATTGGCCAAAACTTTTTTTTTAGAACAAACACACTAAAACGTCATTTTTATAAACGGAATAAAAATTAGAAAATTGGCTAAGAAATGTTTTCCCTGCTTGGTTCGGCAGAGCGTAATTGAACTAAATATTGTTAAATAATCTTAATATTTAGCTCATTACGGCTGTGCATTCTATGTTAGGTTCGTCACTTATGCTTCCAGGAATCTGAAAACGCAATGATTTCATTTATTTATTAAGCTGAAAATGAAAATGATATACAGGATGGTTCAAATTCGATGTCCCAATAGGCTATCTCGGAAGCTATGAGTTAGAAAAAAAGTGTCTTACATGTCATTCGCTTATTAAATTCGTTATTTTTTTCTGATTACAAAAATATAGGGTTCGACAGGTCTATTTCTTATTGTTTTAGAATAAAGTTAAAAATAAACCTGTTTTTAGTGTCGTCAAAGAAATTACATTTACAGGTTCCTGTAAATTATAACTAAAAATGAAAAAAAAAAACATATTTCTGATATTTGAAACAAATACATTTGTTGAACTATTTAATTTATATTTGTTTTACACAAAAGTTGGAATAGATTGCATTATTTCACATTTTTTATTAATATTTAATATTATTATTAAATGACGTAATAAATTATTGATAGATGGTGCTCATATTTATATTTTTTTGAATTTAAATAAACATAGCAACATTTGTTTGTATTCAAAAATTTACGAACAGTTTAACTTGTTAGAATGTTACATATTATCATATTATAAAATAAAATAAATTTTATATAAATTTTTAATAGAATAATTTTTAGTTATAGTACTGTAATTTACAGGAAACTGTAAATTTAATTTCTTTGATAACACTAAAAAAAAGTTTATTTTTAGCTTTATTCTAAAACAATAAGAAATAGACCTATCTAACTTCATATTTTTGTAATAAAAAAAAAATAACGAATTTAATAAGTGGTTGTTTCCATTTAAAAAAAACGAAAATTGTCATAATATCTCAAAATCTAAAACCGAAAAAATTTTTTCGGCTACGTCATCAAATTCTCTGTAAAAAAGTGTTCAAATGATGTCTTAGTTATAATACTCCACCTATAATAATAACCAAGATAATTGCACTTGCTGGTTTTACGATATTTCCAATTTTGGCCTCTAGGGCAAGTTTCTCAAAAAACATGTAAGCTACTTTTTTTCTAACTCGTATAGTTTCCAATAGCCTATTAGGACATCGAATTTGAACCACCCTGTACATTAAGAAATATTTTAAAAGTTCTGTTATAAAGTGTTTTAAAACATTTCTATTTTTATTAATTGCAAAAAAATTAAACATTTTTTATTTAAAAAAATAATAAATTACCTTAGGTTTTGACCTGTGAGTATTTACAGCATCGACAGGTAACTTAACATGTTCAACTCGACATCCATAAGCGACGGGAGTTAGTTTGATTACAGTATGAAGAGGAACTTCAAGATAAGGTAATTCATCTACAATTAAAACAATTAATTTTTAAAGCCAAATGAATCGAATTAGATTTTTACCTGCTGATTTATTTTGAAAATACGCTAAAAGACATCTTAAAACCGCTTGATGTGAAACGACCAGTACATTTCCTTGTCTTTCCAATTCCATAATAACCGGTTCCAATCGCGCAACCAAATCCTCATAACTCTCACCCCTCGGATATCTGTAAGCGAACTTGTTCTGATCCCGCGACGCGAAATCCTCCGGGTACTTTTCTTTAATTTCTTCATATGTCATTTCTTCACAAATTCCCTTAAAAAAATCATTTATAAAAATAAATCATCAAAAAATAATTTAATACAGTAAAATCTCGGTATAATGGACTAAAATAGGTAAGAGAGAAAATTCTGCAAGGTAATTTTGGTGGCTCCCTCAGCCAGTCCTGAAAAAACTCGGACGATTCGGTTTATATCGAGGTTTTACTATAATTGTTTAAATTTTAATATTTACAGCGTCAATTTCGTTAAGAGCTTTCCATCTTTCTTGAGGAGCTGGAACTCCTTCCACCGTTTGAATGGTCCGTTTTAACCAAGAAGTCCAAACGCGAAGCCCTTCAATATTTTGATTTTTAATGTAATTCGATAAAGCTGTTGCATATTGGCGACCTCTCTGACTTAAATCTGAATCACCACCGATTCTTCCCATCAAATTTTGTTCACTTTCACCATGCTGTAACAAAAATTGTTACATACACAATGATAATTAATTAATGTTTTAAAACTTACTCTTGATAAATAAATCGTTCTTGGTGTAATATGAATATTCATTAAATAATAAACAATCCTCGCTTGAATATGCCCTTCGTGTTTATGAACAACCACTTTCTCACCGGTATTATAAATCTTCATAAACGAAACATCACTCTCTTTCTCTTCCATCAACGGTTGATAACGGTCCTGGTAATGTTGTATTCGAAGTAAGAAGTCGGCTAAAGCAGCGTCGGAAGTCATCGCGGCATAATCGGGACTGCCCACTTTGACTTCTTTGATGTTCTGTTCGATAATTTTCGGATCATTGCAAATCGATTCGACGAAAAACAATTTGAAACCCATCTTTTTTACGACGATGTCGTGGATGATTCGGCGTCTATCCATTGTGGAATTGGTTGCATCAAAAACGGCTACTTCCCCTCCGTTTTCTAGCCATAAACATACGTCTTGTAGGGCTTCAACGGCGCATTGCGTTCGAATTGCCATTGCTTCAGCGTTATCTTGTTTAAAAAATTCGTGGCTACGGTACGATGAAGTTGCATGTCTTCTATATTCGCCAAGATTAAATACTGGAAATAAATTGAAAATATTTTTGAGTATTTTTAATGTTTCTGTTTCCGCGACACTTTGGATTATTAGTTTGGGTTTTTAATACTTTTACTTAGGTTATATGATATTTAGCATTATAATGATAAAGTGTAAGAACAAATTTTAATATATTAGTACTTTTTTGGACTTAATATATGCTTGAAGCTTGTTTGCAAATGGATTATTTGATATATGGCTTTTTCTATTCAGTTTGTACATGTATAAGACGTTCTTATAAGCTGTTTGTTATCAAAGTGTGAGTATTGGGGTTGATATAGCTGGAGCATAATTTCTAATGAGCACATTTTTTAATCATGGCACACCATCACCATTACCTAACGATACCTAAGGCAACGAGTCCTCAACCTAAGCAAGTTCAGAGGCAATTCTCTAGGAAATACGAATGATGACCTAATTATTTCTTTCCCATCAACCTAAGGAGCAACCAGTTATATGAAGACCACGATGAAGTATTCGGGAAAAAATAAAGTCTGTTACAAACCCATGCAATATCACCACAGTTTGAATGCCTGTAGCCTTTTAATAGTTAAGATAAGACATTCTTGTTTCGCGTCAGCTGATTAGCATAAATGTTGCAGTATTGATCAATAAACTGCTGAATATGGGATAGAAGGATTTTGGCATCCCTACAGATTAGATTTTACTGTCCTTGAGCAAGAAGAATTAATTATAGAGATAAACGCAACTCTCTAAAAAAGGTTGTGGACGTGGGGTCTACAATTAAATTATTGTTATTTGAATATTTCATAATTTGCATGATTTTTTTGAAAAATTCTTGGATTATTAATTTTCGAGCATCGTCATGACAAATTTTCATTATTATGAACAACTGTTAAGTTTCACGAACGTTTTGACTAATCATTTTGAACCTGAGGAAAAAGCTCACCTTGCACGATTTTTTAATTGTAATGAGTAATGATTCACGAAATCTTTGGAGCCCTTTCAAATGCCCGAGAGTTTGCTGATAGGCGTGATATTCATGACAGTATTGGAGATATGAACTCTTTAAAAGACCATTCATTCAAAATATTGAGGATCTGTGGCTTATAAGTATTATCCCAGTTTTATCAGACGTTTTTGAAAATATTGGGGGAACACTTTTAGTTGTACATCTACTCTTTTGGATGCAACCAATGATATCTTGCGAGCTAGATAGATGTGGGTTAATGTAAAAATCTTATATTTCGGTTGTCATTATTTATGTAAACAGTTGGATGCACTTGACGTTTTTTAAATATACTCTCGTGATTGATTCAATTAATTTAATTACTTCAATTTGGTTTACTCAATTAAATTTTGTTTTCTGGTAGTTTTCCTTTGCAATAACTCCTTGAATAAAAATAAGGTACTCATATAGATTAACTTGGCTCTGTTATCAGCTAAGCCTCTCAGGACTTAGTTGCATTACATATCTACAGTGTGTATCAGGTATGAGTAGAAAAAATTTGAAGGGTTATAGATCTCCTCTTTCTAAATAAAAAATTCTTATAACACAATGTCCTTCTTTTGTCCTTCTTAACATCTTCTGACATTGTGTTATAAGAATTTTTTATTTACAAAAAGGGGAACTAAAGGCGTCAACAGCAGGCCGAGACGCATAAAGTATTTTCTCCTCCTCTGCGTCAAAAAAAAAAAGATATCATCAATGAAAAAAGATTCAAAAGAAAGAATAACTAACAACAATAATTAGAGAAATAATAAGCAGTGATAAGTTAAAAATGCGCAATCAGTAGAAAACATGAAATGAGCAACACTATTACGTCAGTGCAATAAATGAAAATCCACAGCAACAATATTACCCAAATAAGCGACAGAAAGGTGCATCCATAAATATTTTCACAGACAGTCGGGCCGTCCTAAACGCAATTCAGGCCTACACTTGTGACTCCGCACTGATCAGAGAGTGTACCAGCAACCTGAGAGAACTCGCTAGGGGCAATGATGTTACTCTATGGTGGGTTCCAGGTCAAAGAGACATTGGGGGAATGAGAAGGCCGAAAACGTTGCCTCTTTGGTTGTGGACTACAAAGATGCCACCTAAAACAAGTAATCCTAAAACAGTTGGGAGGCCTTAAAGGTAGTCTTACGCTGGAAAGAACTTCCAGGTCACAAACAAGCGAAGAGTAGGTATGATAACTCCGTCGCAAAACAAAACCAAAGAGATTGTAAGCCTCAGCAAAGGGAATCTAAGGACGTTCTCAGATTTCATGACCGGCCATGCGCTCCTAAAATACAACCTCTTCCACATTGGACAAGTTGAGGATCAAACTTGTCAACTTTGCAATGACGAGTCAGAAACGGCTGAACATATACTGAGTAATTGCGTTGCCAGATGCCGTTTTAACCACAAAATTTACGGGAAAGCTCTTTTAACACCTACCGACATAAAGGAACAACTCCCTTCTCTTTCAACTTGTCACTTTATATAGATTTTAACTCTTGTTGTTTGTGCTTTTGATGTGTCGTCTAATTTTAATTCTAAATAGTAAACATTTTATTCATGTAGTGTAAGGATTTTGCAAATGTTTCAAATATTGATTTTCCTGTTTTAATAGTGATTTTGACAATTCGGCTCAGGATGAGCTTAATGGCTCGAAACTAGCCATATAAATTAAAAAAAGAAAAAAAATTTAGCAAGCAAGAAGTTTTTATTTTCTCTTTTTTTATATACTTTCCGAACTTGCAACATGGATCCATTTAATTAAAAAAAGGAACAAGACCTTGGAGAAACACTAAGGTTCATTAACGACCTACATTTGCCCTAAACTTTTGGAGTGCTAAAGTTACAATAGATTTTATAAGTCGCGGTGACGAGAGGGGCCGCTCCTCTCAGCAATAATAATAATAATTGCCCAGATGGAATAGAGTGTTGCTACAAGATATTTAGACTTTTTTTAGGAAAATTGAGTCTGAAGACATACTGCTAAACCCGAATGTTTCTAGTTCTAGGTCTTGTGTTAGTTCTAGTGACAGCGCTAGTTAACACTAGTTATTGTTATTATTCTTTGTCAACAATATTGAATTTTTGTATTCATTTAAATAATGCCAATTGAAACAGCAAGCCAACAAAAGACGGTGCTAGTGCGAATTTAGATATAAATTGCGCGGATTGATGTTATATTCGCCAGAAGGAAAGAGAAAGTGTGGTAGACCATGAAACCAATGGGAGGGTGAAATTGAGAAAATAGTTGAAAGAAGAGGGAAGGGAGTCGCGGAAGTACACACTATGGCCAGAAATAAGAAGATGAATAAAAGATGGATCCAAAACCCAATACTGTAAGGTATAAATGCGGGCAAGAGAAAGAAGAAGATGTGAAATTCAATTCAACTAAAATAGGTTATTAACCAATAAAGTCATGAACCTTTATCTAACAATAAGACAATAATTATGATTAAAAAAACAGAAACCACCTAATAAACTAAATTTATAATTACTGATGTACTAAATACTAGTAGTGCTTCATAAATGACTTTTCCATCATAAAATTATATTATGGAAAGTTTTGATAATGGAATTTTAATTTTGTAGGAATATTTATAAAAATAAATTTGACCTTAACCGTCATCAAAGAAATCTATCAATAGATTCTGATGTCTCAAGATCACTTAACAAGTTATTGTTATTAATTGATAAGAACTTGAATAAATAAGAAATCGATTCAACAAAATATTATGGAAATTTTAAATAAAACTATCCCACTAAAAATAGTCCTAACATTAAGTGAATTAACTAATTTGGCAAGTTACCAAATAAAATTAAATTTAACGACGTTTATTTCTCACCTTTAGTATTGATACCGATCCAATTAAGATATCGGCTAAGTTTTTTTGAAATATATGTTTTTCCTCGAGCTGGCAATCCAACCATAGCAATAACATGGGGGCTGTTGACATAATTAGCACGTTCACCTGCAAATAAAACAAAATAATTAATCAATAAAGAATTTTATAAAATAATTTTAGAATCTTATTTTAATATTACCAATTCTTATTGATTCTTTTCGAACCAATTGACTTCGCCTTAAAAGCATTTTTTCAAAAATATCTTCACCATCCTGTTCATTCACATCCATATTTTACCGTTTGATACTTATCTTTTAAATTTCACTTTAAGATTGAGTGTAGGCATTCACTTTAATTCAAATGTATACCGGCTAAGAAAGTTTTTGAATTGCGAATGGCACAGTACGAGGTCTTATTAATAGCAACGCTATGATGACGACATATACACGCGGGTGTAAACAAACTAAATTAATTTATAAAACGAACGCAATAACAACAATTTATAACTCAATTATTATTGCAAAAATAATTAATGTGAAATTTGACCTTAGATTTCAAAAATTTATGTTTAACGAACTTAAATAATGCTTTGTTGTTGTACGTTATCGGGTTTTAATGTTGTCTTGTTTGTTTTTAACTTATTATTGTTTAATTCATGGGAGGAGAATGAAATTTAGTAAATATTTTGATTATAAAAAAAGATATGTTTAATCAGTTATTGTTATTACTTACAATAATTAACAAGTTTTTCTTTGTTAAAAAAACGATACAAAACAAATTATTGTTGTATTAAAAGACATAATTAGAAATTTTGGGTTAAGAAAATTTTTAGGTTAAGTTGAAATTTTGACACATAAACACACTTTAGGCAACCAAGTGTACATATTGTTTTATTTTCCACCGATAGATGGCGCATTTTTTGACAGATCATATGATGAATCAGTGAAAAAATTACATCGAAAACGGTAATATTCCAGTAAGTAATGTTTTTTTTATAATTGCCCTTTTTGGGTACTTTTTTAAGAATTACTAAAGTTGTATTAATTAATAGATTTTACGTACCAATCTCGAAAGTTTCTTTGTTAAGGAACTTCCACCCGACAGACTGGTGGTTGTTGTTGTTAAAATTGTTCTTCTGATTGTCAGCAGCCATCACGCGTATTTTGGGCCCTCTATGTAACGAGAGATTGTACTTTTTTCGTATAGAGCAACGTGGCTGAGACCGGGTTTCTGTTTCTACTGCTGACCTTCGAGAAAAACTGGTCTATAATTCCGCACGGGTAGAGATAACCTTCTATGCTAAAAGGAGTTAGCGAATAAAATGCACGTGCTTGCGAATTTTTTCGTTGCATCTTTTTACTACTTCAAGTTTTTGTACTATCACAACGTTTCACTTAAACGAACTTGAAATCCATTTTGAGGTTATGTTCGCCTTTTTGACGTTTCATTATCTTATTTTGTAAAAATAGTTTTAAAACAATTTCTAATATACTAGACCTATTTAATCAACTTATTTTAATGAATTTCACTAATTAACGTAAATATATTAATTTATTACTTAGAAATAAATAAATTTGAAATTCATTTTGAGGTTATGTTCGCCTTTTTGACATTTCAACATCTAATTTTTTGAAAAAGTTTTAAAAAATTACAATTTCTAATAAACTATATCAATTTAACCAATTTATTTTAATGAATTTGACTAATTAACATAAATATGTTAATTCATTACTTAGAAAAAAATAAATAAACTTGAAATTCATTTTGAGGTTATGTTCGCCTTTTTGACATTTCATTATTTTATAAAAAAGTTTAAAAAAATATATTTCTAATAAACTATACCTATTTAATCAATTTATTTTAATAAATTTTTCTAATTAATGTAAATATTGTAATTCTTTACTTAAAAAAAAAAATAAACTTGAAATTCATTTTGAGGTTATGTTCGCCTTTTTGACATTTCATTATCTTATTTTATAAAAAAGTTAAAAAATTTACAATTTCTAATAAACCATATTAATTTAATCAATTTATTTTAATGAATTCGACTAATTAATGTAAATATTGTAATTCATTACTTAAAAAAAATAAATACTTGAAATTCATTTCGAGGTTATGTTCACCTTTTTGACATTTCATTACCTTATTTTAAAAAAGTACAATTTCTAATAAACTATACCTATTTATTCAATTAGTTTAAATTAATTAGACTAATTTATATAAATATTTTAATTTAATTTCTTTATTTTCAGGAAAAAAATGGCAGATTTGGAAACAATCAATTATTTCTTAGACAAATTAACCGTAGATTCTTTGACATTAATGGAAGAGTATATAGATCTCAAATTAAGTTTAGAAGACTCAATGAATGATGGTGAAACAAACTTGGCTAAATCCCGCTACATCCTTGGCCAAAATAATGTATCTAAATTACAGTTACCAAGCGAAGATAGCAATGATTTTTCAGCGGGGGTTGTTGTAAATAGTGAAATCAACCCCGATTTGGGATTTAGACATTTCGACGTGGAATTTGTAAAAGAAAGTGATGAAAAAAGCGAGGTGAAAAATCCTTTGAGATGGTTTGGCGTTTTAGTCCCTCAAAGTATGCATTTGGCGCAAAAGAAATATAAAGAAGCCTTGAATTGGGTTGGAATGATTGCTAATATACAAAGTAAATTAGAGTATAATTGTCTAAAAATGGATCAACTCAAATATATGAAATATGAGTTGACTAAAACTGAAAAACAATTACAAGAATAAGAAAATTTAATTAGTTGTATTTATTTTGTAAAAAAATTTGTTGATATTAATGTAGTATAAATAAGAAATAGAAAGGTTTCCCAATTGAAACGATAAAGCCTTAAAAAAATTACATGTTTCAATTAGAAACCAAAAAAACCTGAAGATTTATTTTTTAAATTGAGTTCATTGTCCTTAGTTAAGTAATTTCCAATCAAAATTTTCCAATCTTTTTTTATTAATTGTTATTGATTGTTAAAAAATATAGCCAAGGTTCAAAAATTAATATAAAAATACTTGACACTGGATTGAAAAGATGATACAGTATCAAATAGAAAAAAATGTATTATCAATGTTAATAATTATGTCTCCATTTCAAACCTTGACCCCTGAGTAACTAGCAAATTGATAAAACACTTGTTTAGAAAATGTTTAAATCAAGATAACTTTAATGTATATTTTTTTTATAACTTTGACACAATGAAAATTAAATAATAAATTGTTTAAGTTATTCTTTGAAAAAAAATGTTTGGCTTAAAACTTAATCTTTGAATGAAAATTGAGATAATTTAATCAAATACTAGTACTTTTTGTATTTATAATTACATATCTAAAGTTAATAGTCAAAGGTCATTAAAATAATCAGTAATTTTCATTGCTATGGTAAATTAATATGAACTAATTTTTAAATTCGAAGGTCGAAGATTTACGATCGATGTAAGAGATAAAACTAGAATCTTCCGGGTTTAAGTTCATCTATTAAAATAATGTTTTAAATTTTGTATTGCATGTTGTAACATTCTTTAGAAACAAATTCGAAATGGAAGAAAGGGGTGTTAGTAATGAAACGAAGACGTCTCCAACATCTCAATGTTGGACACGTTTTTGCTGATTTTGCCAACGTGTACAATATCAGCTTTTTTATAGTGTCAATAATGATGGTTGTAATAATTCCTTGTTGGCTGAGATGCGCTTCAGCAGTAAGCAAAGAATTATGGGAAAAGTCAGAATGATGATAAATTTCGTATAATGTGTAAAAATTTGCTCTCAATTGATCTCATTTTCAGGATGTAGCATTTCATCAGGTTTTAGATACAAGCTGTGTCTTTGAAGGCATCTAAGACCAGACGATTGGGAGTGAGGCGAATATCTTCATATAGAACAGATATCTAAGGGCTGGGAAAAGAAAATTGACACAAACATGCCAGTTTATGTATTTACAGATATCTGATGTGGACAAGATGCTGAAGAGAATTTGTAGATAAATTCAATATTAAATAAATTACAACCTTAATTTACAGGATCCGATATTATAGCACATAAAGCGATTGGACCAAGATAATAGATTTTCTTATCTCAAAATTTTGTAACATAATAGCCACCTTTACCCTAATATTGATGATGGTGCTAATAAAATGGAAACAGTTTTTTCAAAATCACCAATAGACGTTTTTACCTCATAAATAGATTATAAAGTAAATATAAACTTTTTGATCCTTTTTTTGAATGTAGCAGTAACTGTTTTTGCACATTCTTTACATGGTTAACTATCTCTAGCAGCCCTCTAAAAGTTTCTGAGATGACCTAGGATTAAGTTATAGCAAAATGTGACATAAACATCCAAAAAACACTAGGTGTTTGCAAAGAACTTGTTATTGAATAAATTTGGCCAGACAAAAGTTATGCTGGGGATACATGATGTATTGTTCGAAAAGGTGCTTACTACACCGATTGACCTTGAAACCATACATGGCAACAAAAAGTACCATTATTGCAGGATGTTAAGAATAATTCTTTCGTCAGTACACCTTTACTGTCAAAAAAATACGCGTCACTCCCAACTGTCTGTTCTAATACCCACCTGTACTTAATACCAGTTAAAGCCTGTTCGAAATTTATCATAATTCTAACATTTTATATAATATTTTGCTTATTGCTAAAGCACATCCCAGCCAACAAGAAAATTGCAATTACCACAACTACAATCACATAATTGGCACTATACAAATTCTCATATTGTATGTCTGCGGAATTAGCAAAGACATTGGTCTGTGTATGTTTAGATAAGAATTTTTAAAAGATTGATTATCGATCCACATTTTATGTCAAGTATGGCAAAACTTATAGTGATATTTGTAGGAACACTTTGTCAGGTTTGTTTAGAGGACAATCAGTGCAACAATTTTTCAACACGGTGGATCTTCTGCACATGCTACATTACAAGCAAGAGAAATTTTAAATCATCGGTTTCCTAATAAATTAATACTCGTTTCACTTTTAAATTGATTTCTGAAGAAAGTTGCAAGATGGCATCCGAAACATTAAGACAGTCTTAATAAACACACGGCATAACTCGGGAGGTTCTAGTTAAAGTTTTAATTAAAAACCATCACTAAGAGGGATCAGTGGTTATTACAACTAACTTATTCAATCATTTTCAAAGTCATAAGCACTAAAGTAAAATTACAAGGGGGAATTTTACTAGATAAAGAAGAAATTGAGAAATTTATCAAAGTAAAGATTAATTAACAAACAAATTAAAAAGGAAAATAAATAATGGGAATCCGTTCAAAGTCGTAAAAATGAAATCTTACATCTCACAACAATTTATTGTACTTTGCCCTTTTGTCGCAATAATCAACATTATAATACTGAGAGAATCGCCTCATTATTTCCTCCGTATTGATTGATATTTGTCACAAAATACTGCGTACTCATTTCGTATCTATTAAAAGGCAAACATAAATGTATAACACGTTTTTGTTGTTTAATTTTATGCTCTTTTAATCCATTGTCTTATCAGAATATGGCTGGTGATGCAGTTTTAACGCAATTTCATATTCGAGTTGATAACAGTTTTAGAACCAAAGCGCTTGGTGATTAACTCGTGATCCGTTTTATTTACTTTATCACGTTTTTGCAAAACGACCATTGTTTATAGAAACCTCGCGGGTCTGACCGCGTGATTATGGATTTGCGGGTCTCCTAACACATTTTTTATTGTCTCAATTAAACAAACCAATGAAAAAAATACATAACATACTAAATACAAACGAACACAATTTGAATCGATAAAACGCTTTAGTGTTTGTTTAATATTCCGGAAATTAGGATTTAAAAATAATTTTTATTGTTGTAATAAACCAGTCATTTCTTTGTTCATGTGATTATTGTTTATTATTATTATGGTTATGAGTAACGCAATAAATTTTCTTTGATTTTATTATTATTTTTTAATCACATTAATGAAACAATTTAGGCCACTGTCGTTTGTTGCAACCTTGACATAGAGAGGAAGGTGTTTACATCCAAAACCGAAGTTAACAATACATACATGTGTGGTTATGGATCATTTTGTTGAAATCACGTTGCGTTCACTTCAGCTACACGCGTTAAGCTCGTGGTATATTTTCGTTTTAGAAAAATAAAAAAAAAATTAAAGCAGTAAAGTTTGTTATTTAATAACTAAATTGTAATAAAGATACTGGGAGTCTTTAATAACTTTATAATAAATACAAAAAGATAAATGAATTAGATAAATATTTTTTAAATTCCATTCTATACTCAATCAATTTGTTTATCTTTTTTATTTACTCTAAGTAAACAAAAAATCAAAAAGTGTTAATATATTTTAGATTAAAAAATTTCTGTTTGTTTCCTTTTGAATTAAGAAATTATTTTAATAATATAATTTTAAATATTTTCTTGCATAATATTACAATCAAAGACGTAATTTCTAGGTACGTGACAAACGTCTCGGTTTGGATTTGCAAAAGATCAAGAACACCATTTAGTTCTTTCGCGAAACGCCTTGACCATCGATGGTAACATTGCGAAAGTCCAGCATCGAAAAAAAATCGTTCTACGTGCCAAAAATCATTCAATAAAACTTTAAAAAGAATTAAGAATAAATTAAGCAATAAATAAAAATACATTTCAGTTGCATTTGTTGTTATGTTTGGTATCGACCTTGCCAAAAGTGATGAAAATAACGGAAACGCTCTTGGCATAAGTAGTTTTCTTGAATCTAAATTTAAACCGCATCTTAATTCTCTTTAATACTCGGTATGTCTCGGTTCAATTTTTCATTTATAACATAATTGAGTCTTATCTTAAAACTAAATAAATAAATAACTACTTTTGATAGAGTTTTTGTTTCCATCAATAAAACACTTTATGAGATAATCTATTGAATTGCGTAATTACTTAATCGATCGATAAAATACGTGTTTAATGCGGCGCGGTAATGTTCGAAATTATATTGAAATGTATAATTAGATTCTGAATTTTTTTGTTGTTAAATTAGACTCGTCAATTTGTAGATATTTTTCTTAACTAATCTAAATCATATGACTAAATAATCTCTAAACTCTTCGTGTTGACTTGATTGACGTACGATATTTATCTTTTTTTTGTGTTTTAATTTATATTTGATTATATTTTAGTCATCTTTAGAACGCAAAAGATAATGTTATGATTTTTGTTAATTTTCATAAAAATAAGGATTTTTTAATTAATTCAAATTAAGCAATTTTTATTAACACTTAGCATTAAATAGTCCATTAAAAACGCGGTGTCAACTCAAAGGCAAACTAGGCCCAAACAAACAAGGATTAACTTTAGGTGGGCCGCAAACAAAAATCAATATTCATAGAAACGTAGGTTTATTTCGAATAATACTTTAAAATAATTACGTGCCGATATGTTCTGCGCTATCAATATGGAATTAGGATAAAAGAACCATCAACAGAAACAATGATTAGATACAACAATCTCTGCAGTGACCATTAAATCATCATGATTCATAAGGGCAAAACCATTAAATCTGGCTTCAATGAGTTAGACTAATATTTTTGTGTGTCAAATACAATCCAAAGACGCGTATACACAATTGCAATCGCTCACAGTGTCACTTCAAAGTGAAGAGCTTTATCGAAATATTTCCGATAGTGTATCTTAGATACGAGTTATGTCCAAGTATTCCACGTGGATTTACATTTTTTTAACGTTAATATGGAAAGTCTTACGATGGGATTTATTCGGATATTATTAATTATTAAAGTGATGACAAAAGTGTAATTTTCAGTGAGACAATGCACCCGTCAAAGTACCGAAAACATCGCAGCTATAAACTTCACTTCAAAACGAGCTAACTCAGTCGATTTCACGTCGTTAATGGAAAGACATCTCTTGATCATTTGAAGCGCCGAAACTTTTTAGATTAGGCTCTGCTAAAGTTTAAAGAAAATCCTCGAAAAATCATCTTCACCCTCATTTTTCGCTTTATGGCTTTGTCAATAAGCAAAATATGCGTTATTAGATAGCAAGAAAGCAACATGTGCTTCAAGAGACTTCATTGCGGCTACAAAAAGTAACCGTGTAGTGTGGATTTCATGCCGGAGGTGTGATTGGACCATATTTTTCGTCCATGAAAATAATTGCATTGTTATGGTCAATGGAGTTCGTTATCGTGCCATGTTGAAAGACTATTTTTAGACAGAATTGGATGGACTCAGTAATATGTGGTTCGGTAAGCGTGTAATCTCGAGAAATGTTATCCCTTTAAACAGTCTCTCCCTATCACCCTATGTCTCCTTGCTGCCACCATCTCCCCATCCATCTCCTTCCCCAAGCACCTACCTCCAATCCATCTTCTCTTCCCTCATCTTACTGCACTCCACCACCAGATGGTGTGTGGAACCTTCCCCACATAGTCTACACCCCTCTCCTCATTCTCCATTCAGTATCTATTGACACTTTGTTCATTGGCACATCTAAACCTGACTACCAACCTGTTCCTCTTTTTACCCTCTCCATCATCAGATACTTTGGTAGCCTTTCCACTATAACATCGGCATATTCTGGCCAGTCCTTGCTTTCCAGTTGTTTCCACATCTCAATCCCTTGCTTCTAATAAGCTGAACCCAGAGATATATTACAAACCACTTGTTTATGAACATAAACAAGTGATTATGACTTTTATTCTATTCATAAATACGTACCAAAACGAACAAATTTTAAAACCTTGTTAAATTCTCAAGTTTGGTTATAAGGTTGGTAATTGGTATGCTGTTGGGTTGCTTTCAGGTTGGGTTGGGTTAGTTTGTGTTGCGTTCGGGTTGGGTTTCTTTCACGTTAAGTTGCTTTCGAGTATATGGTTGAAACTTAAAGTTTCTCATTTTTGGAATCACCCTGATTTAATTTCTGATGAATTCCTTTCATTCTTGGATTTTTTACATGGGTACAGTTTATGCTTGAGATACCTCCAAAGAAAAAAGTCATGGACGGTGCACTCTGGGGTACCATTTCGAGAAATCATGAGTCCAGGAAAAGTAGTTTTGAGAAAGTCCATGGAAATCCTCATCGTAGCTCCACCCTGTTGGAACCTAACTGTGTCAATTTTATTTTCATCAAAATGAGGGATTAAAAATCTTTGAAAGGTTACCAAACTGAAGGGAAGTTTCGCTGCTGAATATGTCAAAATTGAAGCGATTTAATACACTTAATGGGTAATATAAATGTTGAAGAATTGGAGGAAATCTCGCTGAATATCCCAAAGTGTATGGAGGTAAAGGGGGAAATGCATATCTTGAGGTCAAAGGAGCGGCAAACAAGTTACAATCTAAAATAGGGATAATAGAAACCTTATTATCGCAGTTAACGTTTTCTATGAAGCCGCAATAACATGACATAATTGAAATGGTTTAAAAACAGAATTCTGTGTTCAGCAACGATTGTTCCGAAACATGCTGAAAGCGATGAATAAGAAAGATTTGTCAGGGAGAATCTTTGTTAATAAATAGAGTGGTTACTAACTTATTCCAAAAGAAATAGGTGTAATCTAATTTTGTTTTTGAGATACTATTTTAGTCGAAATCATCATTTTGTTTTAGCCAAAATAGTGTACAATTTGTTTTAACTTTGCGCTCAATAACACTAATTTATTACACGAGTGTTGGAGTTAAATCCCTAGACATGTAACACCGATTAAGCATATAAAAATTTATGCGTAAAACGAGAGATTTCTGGATTTGCAATAAAAAATTTGTTGATTTAGATACAAAGAATGTCGATTTATAAAGAGCGAAGTTTTGCTTTCTGTGAATTAGATATTTAACTGTAGTTAAAGAAAATCTGATTATGTTACAATTTTTGTATTTAAAAAAACACGTTGTTTCTGTTGGATACAAACAATTAGTAAAACAAGATTTATGTTTTCTTTGGTTATAAAAATTATTTGTAGTGGAAAAATACCTTTGTGTACGTGTGATAAAAGATAAAACGTAAAAGATATTGTAAATAGTACATATTATTATTATTAGTTTTAATGCGTCTTTGTCGATTATGTGCATAAAGTGTTTGTGGGTATTTTCGAATTAAAATTTTTTTTTGTTTTAATTAAATGTGTAAATAAAATAACTCAACCCAATAAAACACAACATTTTTCAAGCAAATTGTCAACAATTTTTTATAATAATTAATAAAGGCAAATTTAGTTTCATTTTTTGTAGTTCTATTAAAATGCATTTTTTAATGCAATTCAAGGGAATAAAAAAATAACTATAACATTCTTACGAAACAGAACAAAAAATAAAAAAGGCTTTTTAATCATAAAACATCTGATTAAGATGAAATAGTAAATAAAAAATAATCATATCTTTGTTGTATTTAAGAAAAGCTTATTGCGTTCGACTTGAGAAGTGTTTCAATGTTAAATTATTTTAAGCTGCAATCTTGTATTTTTAGCGAAACAACTGTGTATCTTGTTGAAATACAAGATTTTTTATAAAAAAACTTTTAATAACCGTAGAAATATTTTACCGCATTAAAAAAAAATTTTTTTAACTTACCTCTAATAGGAAACGGTTTAGTTAACACAGTTTCAGTAGTTGGTGGTAACTTCCTCACCGTATCCAAAGATTTAACACTCGGATACGAAATAACATCATTGATGTCGCTATATTCCCGTCCATTATTATTACCATTACTTTTACTTATACTGGACGTTCTCACTCGTAAAGATCCTCGCGTCTTCGGTAGGTCCACACAACAGGCACTGCTCATTTTCTTTTTTTTGCTGATGAACACGTTCGACGTTTTCAAGCGAACTGATTAAAGTCGCATCGCTGTATATCGGATAAATGAGACGACAACGAGTCTGGCGCGTGTTCGTTTTGGAAGGGGAATTTGTGTTGTGGGTTAGAATCGCCAATCAGATTCGCGTTTTCATCTTGAGGAAATCCCCCGATGAATAAAAGCCTGAATAAGAAAAAAAAATAATGTGGTTTTAAAATTGAATGTGTTTCAACTGGAATGAACGTGTTAATAATATCAAACTAAAAATTCTTTGTAATTATCTCTTATTTAAAAAAAATCTTTAAGATGTTTTCAATAATCTCTATAAAACTATCTTATTCTTTCATTTTATAAAAGAACCTACAATTTGTAAAGTAGACACAAAAATTGTTTAATAAGTTCTGAAATTATTAAATTGTTTTAATACTTTAAGGATGAGCTTCATAAACATTTATTAAGTTACCGTGACGTTAATCGTTGTAAAGCCTAAAAGATAAGGTTTAAATTTGGTCATCAAAATCAACGTAAAAATTCAATACAAATTCAAATCTATCAAAACAGCTTAAACTTAAAATCAGCACAATATTTTTGAAACAACTTTATCAATATGTGCCGATAAAAAATGTTTAAAAAAAATAAGAAAATTCAAATTTTAAATATTTTTAGTTAACAAAGAATATTGTTTTTAATTGATTCCGTGGAAATCCCCAATGAAACAGTCCTATTTATTGGTCGATTTATCTGGTAACAGTTTATTATGATCTGTAACCGAGTGCCAATTGAAAATTAAAAGTCTTACATCACTGGAAATTTGCTTCTATAATAAACATGTCCAGACTTGAAACACGTGAGACTTCGAAATATTTTAATAACTAGCGTTTCTTACTTATTTATGTTATCAAATAAGCTTCTTTTCTATATTTTAACTACCAGGAAACATAGACGGGTAAAAAGAGCATCAAAACATATTTTTGTGATCAAAACAGAGTACAAAAATATATTAAAAAATAACAAATATTTTATAACAAATGCGTGAACTACAAAGAAGCATTTTGTGATTATCATTCCATCTATATCTATAAACAAAATGTACACACAAATCGTCATTTATCTTGTTTAAAATAATATATTTTAAAATACAATGGCACGTTAGATTACCTTCACAATTAGATTAAACTGAATACTTTTTATTCATTATGAACAATATTTATTAATAATAATTAATAACTTTTCGTCTGTTGCTATTCGTTATAGAATTGTATTCAATTTTCATGACTAAATTACAATTATTTTGAAATTTAAAAATTTTTAAAAATGGTCTTATTTGAGTTGATTTTTATCTAATTAGTATTAACAAACAAGAAATTTTGATATACAGGTGTCCCACGTAACTGGAAGTAGACCCCCAACTTCCTTCATTTTAAATGGAATGCTATATATTTTTTTAAATATGTTGACTTTGATAAAAGTTATTGGTACCTAGCGTTTTTCGTTTTCGAGTTATTTTGATTTTAAGTTTTTTGGCAAATTTCACCAAGATTTTTAAAACCTCATTTCTCAGCCAAAGTTATTTTTTATTAAAAAGCCATAGAATTTTGTTGTGTTGACACAACTTTGTGTTGTGTTGAATTTTAGATCAGTTACATATTATCAGAACACGCTGTATACAACTATAACATTGTCATAGGTTTCTTTCAACTTAATAATTTCTATCTATGATATTATTATAATTGTTGAGATAAAAATATTCTATATAATTTAAAAATTATGTTATTATTTATTCAAATAATATTAATAAACAATTTTCCATTTAGAAGGTGGTTCACATTCAAAACTATCACCGCCACAAAACCTATTAAAAGTACTTTCAACAGGAAATCCAATAATTTCTCTTTCTTCCTGGATTCTAAATGAAAAAGTACTTTCATAAGTACCAATAAAATACCTTGAATAAGAACAAATAATTTGTTCAATAATGGCGACCCCGCCATCACCAAATTTTTGTAAAACATTTTTATTAGGCTCAAATAATAAAACTTGAAATCCATCAGATTCCAAAATAGATTTTAACTCATTAATTTCATTAATTTTTGCGTCGGTTGCCACAAAAACCTTATTAATAGACAGATCGATTAATCGATTTTTAATTTGTTTCGCTGCGTGGGAAATCGTTGGTGTATCTTTGGGCCTAGCTCTAACAAAATCGCCCCGGCGTAAATGAACTGACAAATATGGACCACCTAAAGCGGTTCTTCGGGGTTTTTCTTCTTTCCAGTCTTCTGGTAATTCAGTCTTATCTGATACATCAGTAGAGTTTAAATTTTTGTTTCTAAATTCGTTTGCTATGTTTATTAAGTGTTTATTAAATCTCATACTTCGTCTACATTTCCAATATAGTTTATCTCCAAAATTACTATGTAAAACTACTTCACCATGAATAAATAAAAATGTCCTAAAAATATTTCAATCAATAAATTAAAATATTTTTTTAATAAAAAGTGATGATTTCTTACTTTGAAGAGGAAGTTTCAAATAAATTTGTAAGTTGATCAGTAAAACCATGGAATGATAAACATTTAACATTATTTGATGTGATATTTTTGTAATAAAAGTAGTTAGGATCTACTGGCTCATTACATTTTTCTATAGACATTTTTTCAATGAATTTTCCGCTTTGAAACATATCCTCATAATGTTGTAAAATATAAACTTCATCAATTAATACTTTATTACTTCCTGTTTTCTTAACATCTACAAATATACTTAAAATCCATAAACATATTCAAGCTGGTTATTAATAACCTTACCATCAAAAAACTGATACATTTCTATAACCGGAGCAAATTTTTGCAAACTTTCTAAATCAAAATAATACGACCAAGGTTTCAACTCAGGTTTTTCACTATATCTCCAATGATACAGCCTCGACCACGGAGGTAACACCAATTTTACATATTTATGATACTCCAATCTTGAATTTAACACTAATTTATGCGCCCATATTGCATATCTCATATAAACATCTCTACGAAGATTAAATCCTTCCGGAGGGTTCACATCATAAAATAAATACCTAAAATTACAAAAATTAGAATTTCTTAACCTTAAATTTTATTATAGGAAAGAAATACCTGTAGTTTTGTTTAAAACTTGCACCTTTGCAAACCATATCATCTATTTCACAATATTCTTCGATTTGTAAGGTTGATGTTGTAAAAAACAAGAAAAATAAAATAATTTTTGAAAAAATTAACATCGTTTTAAGGTTAAGTTTTTAAAAGCAACATAAACAAAGATGTTAATTGGGTTGCATACTTTTACTATTTGATATGTCGCTTTATAATTATTAAATTTTTTTAAATAACGTTTACTTATAGAATTTTTATTATAATTTATAATGCTTCCTTTTTTTTTCGTATCTATTCTTGCCACCACAGTTTAGCCTTTAAACCATTTTCTTAAATTAAACTAAAACATCAATCATTATATTTCTTATGAATTCTTCTGTTTTTTGCATTCTGTTGATTTATCATCAGTCATACAAATGTAAAACTATTGCAAACTTCCTTTCTTCTGCTTTACCTTCTAGATAAACAATCATAAAGTATAAATCGCACTATTGCAACATCATCAATCTGGCAGGTTGGATAAATCCTAGTACTTCTTCCTGTATGGCCTAGCTACAAAAGATCTATCTTTTTCACCATGATTTTCTGTTAAAACTTGAACAATGTTGTAATGATACGAATAAAGCAACTACTTCCTTAAAATACGGCGAACGGTTGCTTTCTTGATGTTTTCTTGTGCAGAAATCCTTCTAATGCTGGTTGAGGCATTTGCATCGATTCTTCTCAAAACCGCTTCTTCTAAGTCTACATGAAGAGATTCATTATTATTATACAAAAATTGAATTGATGATGTTATCAACGGTCCATTTTGGGACTAAAGAAAACGCTGGTGAAGTATTGTACAATCGTTGCGGGACATCTGTATAATAAATTAATAATAATAATAATAATAAAAGTGAAAAATACGCGCATATCTGGGCTTATGTTGCAAATGGGTTAAGTTGTGTGGATTTAATATAAAATATTAATAAAATTCGGATAATTAATTTTAAATTTAATAACTTATAAAAAGCGCCATCTTTTGCCGGCGATCGTTTCTATTGGCAATTTGAAACTCACAATCCGCTGCGTGTACTGGAAGATTAATTTAATTTTTGTTTAAACATTAACCTTTACAATTAAATTGTTAATTGTTTAGAATTTCTAATTAAAAAAAAAAATTTAAATATATTAACTAAATTTAGAATCAACTTAAATGTGTTATTTTGGTTGCCTATATTCATCATATTACAAAACTCGGATGCTTTTTCCAAAAAAAATGTTTGGAAGTTGTATGTATGGTGTTTTTAAGGATATTTGTGTTACTAAGGAATAATCGGACAACAACAGGTAACTATATAGATTTAATTTGTAATTGTCAATGTTACTTTTGTAATTAATTAATCAAAAGCCAGAGTACTCTGTTGAGTGATAGTTGAAACAATAGTAACCTAAAAATCGAGTAGTAACTATTTTTAGATTCAACACGCAGGCAGTAATTCCACATTTTCTACTGGGCAGTCGGTAAGTGGAGACGTGTGTTTTTTTAATTTTTATTTTCGAAGTGATCACGCGAAATCATCTCTCTGTATCTCTGTTTCTGTGTGTTTTTAGGCAGACCATCCCAAGTAAAACTGGAGCAATTCAGGATATCCACCTTATTCTAGGACGGCTTCTCTGTTTTTACAGTAAAGTAAGTGAACGTGTGCCGTTTCGTAGTCGTCGTTCGCGTTTAGAGTTAGGTCAGATGGCAAAAGGGGAGTTGACACGTCGACTCCGTGTACTGAGTATACACGTTTTTTACTAAAATGTGCCAATATACAAATACAACGATTCATTTAAAACGAAAACATCACTTTTATAGTTAATTATTTTCAATTCTAACATCACATTTTACTTTAAAACGGAAGGTACCCCTTATCTCAATAGTGACAGGTTGAAATTTTATATTTTCCAACATGTCACTGATCCATATGTTAACTCAGAATTTGTACTGTATCTATGGACTTCTTATCATTCTTATCGGTATAATATGCACTGTTGGAACATGTTTAAAGAAATTTAAAAAAATATGTGTAGCTTTTCTTTCAAAAATTTTTTTTAAATTAACCTCAAAAATTTTTTTATAATTATATGTAAATTATGCCCATTTAAATACCGTATTAACTCATTTATATGATTATCTATAATATTTATTTAAAGAATATCATTAAAATGTACTTTAATTAAGTGGTATTTAACTTTTATGTCATTGATAAGAACATCTAAGAAGAAATTCTAAATTTTCCTTTTTTGATAATAACTCATACATCACATTGTATTTCATAAAATAGCTTATATCAGTAGTTATTGCATGTTTTGGATCAAGTGTTCTGTAGTTCCAAACAGTTCTATACCTTTCTATGCATACTTCAAAACTTCCCAGAAAGTCTAAATTTTCTTTTTTTGATAATAACTCATACATCACATTGTATTTCATAAAATAGCTTATATCAGTAGTTATTGCATGTTTTGGATCAAGTGTTTTGTAGTTCCAAACAGTTCTAAACCTTTCTATGCATACTTCAAAACTTCCCAGAAATTCTAAATTTTCTTTTTTTTGGTAATAACTCATACCTTACATTGTATTTAATAAAACATCTTATATCAGTAGTTATTACCTGTATTGGTTGAAGTGTTCTGTAGTTCCAAACAGTTCTAAACCCTTCTATGAATACTTCAAAACTTCCCAGAAATTCAAAATTTTCTTTTTTTTTTTGATAATAACTCATACATTACATTGTATTTCATAAAATAGCTTATATCAGTAGTTATTGCGTGTTTTGGTTCAAGAGTTCTGTAGTTCCAAACAGTTCTGAACGTTTATGCATACTTCAGAACTCTTGTTCAGATACAATTATTATTATTTTTTCTTTTCAATTACTTTAGTGTTACTGTAACGACTTGGCGCGACACAGGACATCCCAAAATGCAGCAAGTAGTGAATGAAGAGGGTGCGGCGTATGAGCCAGCCACACGCAGTTACAATGACTTGTTTCCCGCTCTACCAGAGTCCACGTCCACAGCTCAGCACACCAATAACACCATGGGACAGTGGAACAACAAGATGCGAGTTGGTACATCAGTCATCACTCAAGTTTTCAGGTAATTAAATAACTTCATATACATTTTTCCATACTTATTATCAAAACATCGAATTTTTGTTTTTTAATTTGTTTGCAGACTTTCTAAATTATTTTTGTCATTGTTATCATTTAAATGTACAAAATGAACTTGAAAAATAAATTTATCACGTTGACCTTTTTGATAATGTCGGTTGCAATATTTTACATAAGTTTTGATCTTGTTTTTATTTTTTTTTAATTAGAGTACCATATGAAGAACGTAAATTAGATCATAGCGATAAATTTGGAGAAGGTGAATCCTTTACAACATGCGCTTCAATAATGAAAGAAACCGGTGCTCGCATTGAAATATCTTCCAGCAAAGATATGTCTCTTTCATTTTTGGTTACTGGTAAACAAAATGAAGTGTTAGAGGCACGTCGTAAAATTTTAATACATTTTCAAACTCAAGTAAGTTAGAAATGTTCATCATAAATTAGAAATAAGAAAAATCCAATTGGAAGTTTTTTGTATTTGTTTAATTGCCCATTATTAAATGTTGTTTTAAATTTTGTACTGGAAAGGAAATTTTATGTTAAAGGTAGATTATGTTATGATGTCTTTTTTTGTTGGGAATCTATTGTCTTCAATATCTGTTTAATCTGGCGATTTTAACAGTAACCCTCCTTCATTATCTGCTGTTGCAGTATTTTTTCCTGATTATTCCAACTATGCTATATGGAGAGAATGTTATTTTAGAATAGGGCTTCAGTTGCCTTGATGTTATATGCAGTAAAAGTTATCAGTTCTTTTTAGTACCTAAGCAAATTTTATGGAAATCATCAAGTTAAAGAAGTTTTATTGGGAACACTCTTGTAGGTGTTATTTAAATTGCTGAACCGCTTTACTTTTTTTTTACTACTGAATCAGAATTATCTATATATTTGAGAGTCGCGTTTTCAGCATGTTTTGTGAACATGTTTGATTCTTTCTATGGAAAGCCTACTCCACTCCAGCGATGTTCTATAATAATGGATATATTTTAAATCAAAATCTTAAATCGTTAAATGCTGCCAGGTCACAAATCTCCTCATAATTTCTCTTATAAGATGTCTCTAATTCACAATCTAGTCTTGTACAAGAAATCGCCTTCTTTGTAGAGATATTATAATTTTAATAACCAAATAAGTGTTCATAATATTATTGTTTATTGCTCTTAAGTATAACATTTCTAAGAATTGAGTAGAGATGAAAACTTTGTTTAGACATAGGTTTTTTTTTTATTAAATATCTGATATGGCCTACACTCAACTTATTGTATATTTATATGGCGCTGATAAACTACCAATATTTCCATGACTATTGAACGAAAATTAAATTTTAAAAATGTGTCGTAACTGTAAAATACTGTTGAACCTCAACAAACCTATAACAATAGGGTTGCACTAAAGTTTAATATGGTTTATTAATTTTAAAACCTGAACTTTGTGGTATACTTGTGAATATTTTAGAAATTGTCTTTGTCTTCTTGTGGTTGTGCATGAAGCGGAACCACAGCAGGATTAATTTAAAGATAAGTTTACTCGATGTTTGCACGCCTTAAATCCTATCTACAGAGTTCTTATGATAAACATTTGATTCTTATAACGTTCTGATTTGTTTCACTTTTTGTAGCTTGTTGTATTCATAAAAGGACGTCATTTGACGAACTCTTATAATGATATGTGGGAACTGCTTCTGACTCTATTGCTGAAGTTATGGACCACAGTCCAAGTTCATTGATTTGTTTGCTACCGCAGATTTTGTTTTCCGCAAATCAGAAAAAGCCATCGCTAAAAATTATGGCACCTGTTCATTGTTGTGGCCTTCAATGTTGATGGAGAACCTAATTTCACAAAAACTGTTGACTTGAGTTAGAACTCCGCTACCTACTCAAACAATCGTTTAGAAAACGCTAAAATTTATGATCCGCTTGGGTTTTGGTTACAGTTTGTCCAAATCTGATTATAATGTTGTTCATGCTGAAGATATATGTCAGTATTGGAGTAGAATAATATTGTTATACACAGAGGAAATTATTATTAACCTAATTATGATTTGGAGATTCTTTTGGTTCTTTTAATTGTCAATGTGAGAGGTTTTAATATTATTTTAAAGCCTTTTTACAACCATGATAATATTAGTTAAACACGCTCTATTTTCCTTCAAATAAAATTAATATTAGAACAAATACGAAATGCTCCCAATTAGGTTGACTTTCACTAATTATAATTAAATTCTTTAAAAAAAAAGCATTTTTTTTATAGGCAAGTAAACAAATATCAATCCCAAAAGAACACCATCGTTGGATTCTTGGTAAAAAAGGTGAACGTTTAAAAGAACTTGAAAAGGTTACAGCCACAAAAATATCAGTGCCATTAATGAACGATTCGTCTGATAAAATTACAATAACTGGTACAAAAGATGGAATTGAAAAAGCCGAACATGAGATAAGAGTCACATCTGATGAACAATCGAAAAAAGCTTTTGAAAGAGTTACTGTTCCAAAAATTTATCATCCTTTTATTGTTGGGGCATACAATGAAAATTTAAATCAAATGATTGCTGATACCGGTGCAAGAATTAATGTACCTCCACCATCAGTGAATAAAGACGAGATTGTTATCGCTGGTGAAAAAGATGGTGTTTTGGCTGCTAAAGCCAAAGTCGAGGCGATTTATAAAGAAATGGAGGAAAAATGTCATATCGTTTCTGTTGAAGTTGCTAAACCTCAACACAAGTATATTATTGGACCAAGAGGGTCTACAATTGCGGAAATTTTACAAAAAACCGGGGTTAGTGTTGAAATGCCACCGACGGATTCTTCAACAGGGACGATTACTTTACGCGGACCTCATGACAAACTTGGATTAGCTTTAAATTTCGTTTATGAAAAAGCCAATTCAAGTTGTACAACTGATATTGATGCACCAGCATGGATTCATAAATACATAATTGGAAAGAAAGGTTCCAATATTAAAGAGATTACCCAAAATTATCCAAAAGTTCATGTTGAATTTACTGATAAAGACAATAAGATTAAAATTGAAGGACCACCAGAAGATGTTAAAAAAACTAAAGAAACAATTGAGAATATCGTAAAAGATTATGTTGCCAAATTGATTTTTATAGAAATGAAAGTTGATCAAAGATTTTATAAACATATTATTGGTAAAAACGGTGCTAATGTGAACCGATTGAAAGAAGAAACTAATGTTTTAATAAACATTGATGAAACTGGTTTGATTCGTATTGAAGGAACGAAATTGGGAGTACAGAAGACTAAATTAGAACTGGAAGAGATGGTTAAAAAGTTAGAAAATGAGAAAGAAAAAGATGTTATCATCGAACAACGTCATTATAAAAACATTATTGGTTCGAAAGGTGAGAAAATCAGGGAAATTCGCGATAAATTTAATCAAGTACAAATTAATTTTCCGGGACCGAGTGATAAACGCGACGTAGTTAAAATAAGAGGTCCCAAAGAAGATGTTGACAAATGCACGAAATTCCTCCAAAAATTAGTCAAGGAACTAAATGAGGCTTCCTATCAAATAGAGGTGCCAATCTTTAAACAATTCCATAAATTCATTATCGGCAAAGGAGGCGGTAATATTAGAAAAATCCGCGAAGAAACTCACACAAAAATTGATTTACCAGCCGAAGGTGATAAAAACGACGTTATTACGATAACCGGAAAAAAAGAAAACGTCGAAGAAGCTAGAGAAAAAATTCGTAGAATTCAAGACGAATTGGAAAATATCGTTAGCGAAGAAGTCACAATTGACCCGAAATTTTATAATTCATTAATTGGTACTAGAGGAAAACTAATCCATTCAATTATGGAAGATTGCGGCGGTGTTACTATTAAATTCCCCACAGCTGAAAGCAAAAGCGATAGAGTTACCATTCGCGGACCTAAAGACGATGTTGATCGTGCTAAACAACAATTACTCGATCATGCTAATGAAAGACAATTATCTAGTTACTCGGCCGAAGTTCGCGCTAAAGCTCAACATCACAAATTTCTCATTGGTAAAAATGGGGCTAACATCAAAAAAATTCGTGAATCAACCGGAGCTAGAGTTGTATTTCCAACAAGTGCAGATGATGATCATGAATTAATTACTATTATTGGTAAAAAAGAGGCTGTTGATGCTGCTAAATTACAATTAGAAGCAAGTATAAAAGACATTGTAAGTATAATTAATATGTTTTAATATATTTTAACAGTATAATTTCATTTATGAATTCTAAATAAGAAAAATATCATTTTAAATATTTGAATCATTTTTTTTTAGGATAACATTACTGAAAGTGAAATGGTTGTTGAGTCTTGTTACCACAAACATTTTGTGGCAAAACGCGGCGAAGTACTTCATCGTATAACTGAAGAATGTGGCGGCGTGATGATCTCTTTCCCTCGTCCGGGAATCGCAAGTGATAAAGTTACATTAAAAGGTTCTAAAGAATGTATTGAGGCAGCAAAACAACGCATTGAAGAAATAATTTCCGATTTGAAATCGATGGTGATGATTGAGTGTGTTATTCCGCAACATTTACATCGTACCGTTATGGGCGCAAAAGGACACAAAGTTCAAGGTATAACAATCGATTACGACGTTTCGATAAAATTCCCTGAAAAAAATAAAATCGACGATTACGAAGGTCAAATAAACGGCGAAACTAACGGCGATCCGGTTCGTCAATGCGATGTTATTCGAATAACGGGAAAAGAAGAAAATTGTCTTAAAGCGAAACAAGCACTTTTGGATTTGATGCCGATAACGATCGATGTTGACGTTCCTTTTGAATTGCATCGTTCGATAATTGGTCAAAAAGGGCGTGACGTTAAAGAATTAATGGATACTTATGACGTTCATATCGTTTTATCTCCAGCCGACTTACGTGAAGATAAAATAAAAATAACCGGCACACCAGCAAATGTTGAACGTGCGAAATTAGCAGTTTTAGATAGAGTTGGTGAATTAGAAGCAGATCGTCGCGATCGCGAATTAAAATCGTTCGCCTTGAAAATTGAAGTTAACCCTGAATATCATCCCAAAATTATTGGAAAACGAGGTGCTGTTATCACTAAAATTAGATCTGATCATGATGTACAAATTAATTTCCCGAAAAAGGGCGACCCAGACGAACATATTATTACTATTACTGGATACGAAGAGAACACGCATCGCGCTAAAGACGATATCATGAAAATCGTTAACGAGTTGAACGATTTGGTTAAAGAGGAAATTACGATCGATTCCCGCGTTCATTCGCGACTTATCGGCGCGCGCGGAAGAAATATCCGGAAAATTATGGAAGATTATAAGGTGGAAATCAAATTTCCAAGAAGTGATGATCCAGATCCAAATCTTGTTGTTATTATGGGGCAAGAAGATAATGTACTTGAAGCTAAAGATTATTTGCTCAATATGGAAGAGGAATATGTAAGCATTATTATTATAATAAATTATTTATATTTATTTAATATAGTAAAACCTCAATATGACGGATCAATACGGGAAATGCAGTGTCCGTTATAGCTCAATAAAAATATAGAACAATCTAGCGCTGAATAACATAAAACTAGACTAACACTAGAACTAACACTAAACCTAAAACTAGAAAGAAAACTCTCTTGAGACGGCTGGTAGGTGGTAAGTAGCGCTAGTCAGCATAAAATATCACTAGGTTGCATATTTTCATTGAACTAAAACTAGAACTAACCCTAGAACTAGAAACATTCTAGGTCTAGTGTTAGTTCTAGTTTTAATTGTTATGCAACGCTAGGCCAAGAACTAGAATCATTCGGGTTTAGCCGTCTTTAGAGACGTGCAGCTAAACCCGAACGTTTCTAGTTCTAGGTCTAGTGTTAGTTTTAGTTTTAATTGTTATGCAGCGCTAGTGACAGTGCAAGAGTAAAACTAGAACTAACACTATACCTAGAACTAGAATCGTTCGGGTTTAGCCATCTTTAGAGACCTTACTGGCTGCTCTACTTTGACCAGCCAATCAATGAGTGCCTCAGCTCATAAATTCAAAAAAAACGGCATGACTTCTATTTGCCTCACTACAATGTTAAATAAATAGAATTGGTCACGAATATTTATACATGTTTCATAATTATAGTGTATTTTATGAGGATTTATGACAAAACTTCAAAATAATAAATATTATAAAATAATTATTTATTTTTGACAGAAAACGTAAATATAATTATAATTATTTTTTAGTTACTTAAATTATATGAGGCATCACGACGTACCACGCCGTTTTATTGAAACAAATTTAGTTTATAGACAGTGAGGTACAAACGTGATGGCCTCATAATTTAAGTAACTAAAAAATAATAAAACTGCATTTAAATGTTTGAAACTATGTAAAATATTTATTATACATTTTTTCCAAATGAAATACTATCAAAATAGTTTGCCATCCTTAGTGAAAGAAAAATTTATTCTACACCCATGCTTAACGTGTTAAAAAAATGTTTGATACACACTTGATACATGAATAACTATCATTAACTCATATCTTATCTTATCAACAAATGAAAAACATGTTTTCTTTAATTTTCTGTTGTTTGTTTTCCAGTTACAAGATGTTGCTGATCAAGAACACAGAGATAGTTATCGTCCTACATTCAGTACTTTGGGCGATAGTTTTGTAGGTGGTCGTTCAAATGGTCGCGACAACAATGGATTCGTTGTACAGGGTGGTCCCTGGGAACAACAACGTGCGGCTGCTGTAGCTCCGAATACAGCGAGCGTTACCGAATTTCCGACGTTTGGTAACCGTAATGCCATTGAAGAGCCTCAAATAACTCCAGTAGCCGGAGCTTGGGGTTCACGCCGTTAAAAAAAATCGAAAAAGATTAAAAAGTAAAACAAATAAGCTAAAAACTACTACATACGTTTACTACTACTACAAAAAAATACTACTACTACCCCGTTTTTTTACATGCTCAGTCCCATAACATATATTATACAAGAGAGTCTTCAATTTTTATAGTTAGATTTTTTAGATTTACATAGAGTATTTGCGGGATTACAAAAAAAAAGTATTGAAAAACGACGAAAAAAAAAGGGTTTTTTAGTTAGGTTGGGTGGATTTTTTTTTGAAGTTCCGGTTTGTTTAAAAAAACGAACATCACTGCCAAAATATGATTTCTAAGATTTTTTGTGTGTTATTTTGGGCGGACTGGTGCTTGTTAAAAAAGTTATGATTACAAAAAAATAAAAGTTATAATAATTAAAAAAAGAGAAAAAAAGGAGAAGCTGTAATGTACTAACACTAGGGCTAAGTCTTTAGAAACGTACGAAAATAATTAAAAAAAAAAAGAAAAGAAAAAAAATGAACCAAAAAAAAAGTAATATAACTGCATCCTCTTCCTCACACTTGCTGCATTATGATAGGCCTGGCTACGACAACGGACTCTGATATGGAACTGAATTTAACACAGACGCAATTCGATTTATAAAAAAAAGATACTAATTCTAAAAAAAAATAAAAAAAAAGTGGTTCGCTCAGAATACAAAAATGAGGGGCGGACTAAAACTTTCTATATAAAGTCTACTAAAAAAAAAGGCCTACATACGGCTCTAACCAAGTAGAGATGTTATGATTTATAATTTTTGAACATTTTTTTTATATTTTCATTTTTTTAGTCTTGTTCTTAATTTTTCCTTTTTGCTCATACAAGCTGTTTCTGATGGTGTATATATAAAGAAAAAAGAATTCATAATATACTTTATATATATTATAGTGATTTATACCTTTAGAATATTATCTTTATCATGGTGATAGTTTCCTGCAATTTGTTTGTTTAATATAATTTTCCAAACATTTTATCTTCTTCTTTTCTTTTGTGTTGTTATATAAACTCCTTGAGAAACACGCGTGTGATTTCCAATAATATATCTTCCTTTCTTGTCTATTTAAATAAGCATAGAATATGGTTTAAAAAAACTGTCCTATACAGGATGAGTCAAAATAATTTGTAAAAAAATAATGTATATTGATGTAATCAAAAAAATTAGTTTCTAAAATGATTCTTCTAGAAGATATGGGGTATTTAAAAGATTGTGGATAATAAAATTAATAATTTTGATGTTCAGAATGTATACTGGGTGTTGGATGTAGTGGGCTTCAATGTTTGAACCTGTCATGTTGATGTTACTTCAAGTAGTTTAATTTAATTTTTTTGATTTCAGAGGAATAAAAAACAATCACAAAAATAAATATCCTGTATCTTAGTAATCAATTCAGAGCTACAACTTATTTTGATAATTAAATTTTGTACATTTTTATGACTCACCTGTAGATTATGTTGTAAGTTTTTTTCTTTAAATATTTTATTTTATATTATTAATATATTCGTTGTATATGTGTTGTTAAAAGTTTCATTACGAATAAGAAATAATAACAAAAATGGAGGAGAAAACGAAAATTCAAAAATCATTTTCCAAAAATGATTTAGTAAAGAAGTTAAATCTTGCCATCTTACTTTTTTACAAGTATAACATGTTTTAATTTGTACACTTAAAAAAAGAGGAAAGAAAAATTATATCTGTGATAATGAAACATGCAATATTTGTATATGGGGACTTTAAAACCAGGTTTCTATTAAATTTTAAATGCTTTTTTTTTCTCAGGAACGATTAATTTATTAATGACATCAAAAAAAGAAATGAAACTTTTAAAAATACAAATGTAAATGAATTCAATAACATTGCATATTATATCATATAGTTCTATATAATTAATTTGTATATTTTTTTTTGTTAATTATGTGATTCTTGTAATTTTTATTATTTTTGAGATCGTCTCTTAGATGCTTGTGTGTCATAACTTCTCTGCCCCATACGTTTTGAGGCGGTGCAAAGGTGCCTTCCTCTTTTTATATAATGTGACCGTACCGAAAGAAAACTCCAAAATATAAAAAAAAGATTTAAAACTGTAGTGCCACACACAGTGAGAAAAGACATAACATTTACATTTTACATATAAACATAAATTAGACACAACCACTCCACACGTGTAAACTACATTAAAAAGAAATTTACGCATTCGTTTTTTAGCTTCGTTTTCAGTTGGTGGTGGGATGTTTACCCCAATCTCATATTTTTCCTTAATATTATTTTTTTTCCTTCTGTATGGTTATAAATAATTTTTTTTTGGTTGTTCGTATGACAATGTTTACGAATCAGACTGAGTAAACTATATTATTAATGGCTCACATGATATGATTATTTAATTGAGAGTGTTTTATTACTTTATCTGGGTAATATTTATGTAAATATTTGGTATACTGAGTCCTCGTGGTCGATTTGTTAGCCCAGGACTAACTGAGGGAGAGAAATATATAATTAAAAGTATAATTAATGTTTCTTTTTTAATCATAATCTTTTTAATTTTTTTTTGTATATTTTCTAATATCTAGATAATGAAAGAAAAAAAGGATGTCTTTTCGACTTTTTTGGGAAGGTATATTGTTCTGTGATAATATTCGTTTTATAATTAACACCATATATTCTTTTTCCAGGTAACAAGATCAAATTAACGTAGAATTTAGTTTAATATTCGTCTTAAAGAAAATAACTAGGGACAAAAAGTCCAGATATTTGTTCCTGTAGCATTAAAGAAGTTATGCGATTAACGAACGTACCAAGACATAATCTATTCATACGAAGAAAGAATGAAAATGCTTCATTTAAAATAAGAAAAAAATTATTAATATATTATTGGTGTGATAATATACCAACAACGAATTTATGGGAAGTACTACTTACTTAAATATAAACCATATTCCTATAATAAGGGCCTTACAAAACTTATATTTCCAATCAACATCTAAAATAAAAATTGGTGATAAATTATCAGAATCATTGCCGGGCACTTAAGGATTGCGCCAGGGCTGCTGTTTTCAAGCTGTTTTAGCTGATAATAAAAAAGATCTAGAAATAGCGCGCAAACTAAAAGAAACTTGTGAGGATTGGAGTCTAGAATAAGATCTCGAATCGTTCGTATCCTTAAACAGAATTCTATAGAATACGGAGATAACCAAAAAAAAGAAAATTTAACATCTATAACACACTTATCAAGAGTCACTTACTACATGGAGACTGACAACCTGAAATTAGAATCGCATAAATGCAACTGAAATGGATGGTCTGACAAGATCTACCAGAGTATAGCGTATAGAAAAAGTAAGAATTGAAGTGATACTAGAACAAATGGGGTTACAATTGACAATAATGAAAGATATTGAGAGAAAGCAACTTATATGCTATGGCCATCTACAACGACTGGCGGAGGACAGATTACCAAAACAAAAAAAAATAATATTGTGGATATCGCAGCAAAGAAAAGAGCTGGGGAGAGGGAATTACAAGTATTCAAACAGTATTTAAAATACGTGACCAAAACGAATTGTACCAAGCAATTTGTTCCAATTTTGTAACTACATCAAGGCTTGTAAAAAAATTATTAGCTGACAAATTTCCCTTTGACTCTTCCAACCTGTTTATCACATCCAAGACACCCTGTGCTTGATTCCGTTTTTTCCCAATATATTTGGTCAATTACTATCTATCGATAAGTATATGGACATCCATAAATCTGCAGTCCAGATGTCCGTCACAGTGCAGAGTTATCTGATGTCGAAAAAATACAGTCGTCGGGTATCATAGAAATGGCCGATCCTTAAGAAGCATGTCATAACGAGTTGAATTACCCAAAACTGACTGTGGGATATATTTTTTATAGGCGAAAAATGGGCAGCGATTATCGAAATGATTCCTGAGTCGGCAAACCCCCCAACAAAACTATTTTTTTTTTGCGCCAGGCAACGCACCCTACTGATGGACCACGTACGCCAGCAGTTTCAACATGCAGGAAGCATACCTCCTTAGTTTTAATGGACTGTAAATTAGGTTCTCCTGAGGTGACGTCATCATGAAGAATACATTTTGCCTACAGTAAAGGTCGGCGGAGCTGGGATTATTATCTGGGGGTGTTTCTTTTTGAGACCATTGGAAACATCATCGCCTACTGCACAATTATAGATAATAATGTACATGTTGGCAATTAGTTACCGAGTGGACCCATATTAATTTTAGAACAACAACGCTAGCTGTCCAATAGAACTGACCTGCTCAGAATGAATTGGGCCGCCAAGGTAAGAGATGCAATAACCGTTCAAAAGTGACAAGTGAGGTGAAAGTACATTTATGGTTTCTCCAAGCTGAGTGGAATAAAATAGTAACAGCCATTATACAAGGACTTATAGAAAACATATGCCAAGGAGGGTTCAGACTGTAATTATCGCACGTGGAGGCTTTACCAAGCACTGCATATGAATAGCGTTTATATCTTCTGTTAAATGTGTCCAGATACTTATTACAAGTCATATTATCATAAACTACCCAAATCTTTATCCATAATTTCCTGGTTTAAAAAGAATATACCATTTTTATGATCTTATATAATACAGCATTTTGCAATGGTTACTTAGAATCAACGCTTAAAGCATGCTGGTAAGCCATATTAAGAACGTAGTGATATTTTTCGGAAATTGGGTATTAATCGACTACTTAATAATAAGTGTAATAAGAAGAAGGATAAACTAAAATATGTAATCTGAAGACGAGGAGAACAGATAATTAACATTCAATAACCGATAAATATTGGCCTGAAAGTTAGTTCGTCATTAGGAAGGTTAGGAGTTGTCGTAAATGTAACAATGTTATGTTACGAAATGTTATCGCCTTGTTGCCGCCCTTTTCCCCATTTACTTATGGGAAAGATTGAAGGAGTTTTTGGGAGTCGCCTGGTGTTTAGTTTTTGTATTTGGATTTTCTTTGCCAATCTTTCCTCACTCATCCTTTCAACATGATCCCACCAATATCGATCTTGTCCATCTGACCACATTCTGTACCTGACACATCTCTGTGGCTCTCTCATGGCCTCTTTGGTTGTTGAGGTCTCGGCTGCGTATGTTAGCGTAGGTCTTACACAGGCTTTAGATCTTAACTTTGCTTATTACCGTCAGATGTTTGTTCCATTATATGATATTCCCGTAGGCAACCAGATATTATTGCGACTGTGGTTGCTTGTGATTTCACTTCATGTCTAGTGATGTTATTGCTGGATATATCGACTCCACAATATTTCAACTGCATAAACTGTTGGATCGATCTACATTTTGTATCGTGTTGGAGCTGTGAAAATGACCATTGATTATAATTTTATTGAATACTTGGGTGAAGTCGACGAAACGGAGCTAGAATGGCTAAGAGAACTCTATGGATTCATCAATATTCGGAATCCTTGCTGTTCTTCACTTATTCCGGTTTTTGTTGTTATTTTCTGGACTATGATCTTTGTGAGTAATTTTAAAATACTGCTCAAAAAACTAAGTAGTAGTTTCTTAGATCTGTGTTCTGTTCCTTCTTGAGTATGGTTATTGTTATACGTTTCTTGAGTTGATTAACTCCTTCTTTGTTATGATACGTGTTTTTAAGGCAGTCAAGTATCGAATGGATATAAAGTGGCTATGAAAAGAGTAAATTGGAAAGAATTTAATATGATATTTATAATGATTAAGTTTCAATGAGTAGTTGAAAAACTCAATTAAGCTGCTGAATCAATATGAGAGAATGTAGAATTCCAACTACTGGAAAATAGCGAATGATATTACTAAATAAGTCGTCGATACTAAGAAAATTAATTTGGTTCAAGTAGAAGCACGATTGTGCTTGTTTCAAATTATTTAATTCTTCAAAATTTCCTTAAAGAAGAGGTATTAGAATGAAGTGGCTATAAAACAGTATGTAGACATTTCTTTTCGAAGTTATGATATAAGAAGTGATAATGAATGAAGAAATTATTAACAATTAGTATCATTATTAAATCAGATTTTAGCGATTATTATTGACAAAATCAATTCGCAACCTTTGGATATTTCTATAATCTCCAAACAATCAGAAATAGATACTTAAATTTATGTGGTATCTAATTTTCTTGTATCAAAAAACTGCATAATTAAGTAAAGGTTGGTAAACACAATAATTAAGTCATAAAAAAGTTGTAGTGTCTGATTTAACACGTTTTTTTCAACATTCTGAAAGTGCAACAAAAAATTGTAAAAATTTGCTTGTTATAATAGTTGCCTACAGAACTGAATCGGTAGAAATCAATACACAGGACGTTCCATAAAAACCTAACTCATTAAAAATGCATTATGTATCGTACTCAAATTCGAATTCGTATCCTATAACAGGATGTCTTCAGAATCGTCGAAGAGAGGGTAATATTACGAAAAGGAAAAATAACACGTTGGTTATTGAACAATGCCGACACACGTGATTTAAAGGTATTTTCCACAGTGCGTTGGTAGTCGACGCAAGACAGTCGTCCTCGTCGTTGGTGTAGCTAAAATTAAAATTTACGTTTTCTTTTTTTTTGTAACGTTAGTACAACACTGAAAATTCGTACGAAAAAATGGCTAAAGAACTACAATTATTTCGATTGTGTAGGAATACAATAGGAATGGTGCGTAGGGAAATTAAATACTTTTATATTTTAATTTTTTTTTATTTACGCCAATTATGTAACAATAATTTGGACAGTTAAAAAAATTGTCTGTGTTTCTTATGCTAACACGTTTTATTTTAGGTGCGAAATTTTCACTCTTCCGCTATTTGTTCTGCTACACCTTCAACAGATAAAAAACCTGCAATAAAAAAGGTTGAGGTTTATAGATGGAACCCAGATGAACCACAAAAGAAACCTTATGTTCAAACGTTTGAGATTGATTTAAACGATTGTCAACCAATGGTTTTGGATGCTTTGCTTAAAATTAAAAATGAAATTGATACCACATTGACTTTTCGAAGATCTTGTAGAGAAGGAATTTGTGGATCATGTGCTATGAATATTAATGGTACAAATACTTTAGCTTGTATTAAGTAAGAAATAACTCTAAGGAATGTCTTTGATTAGTAAATTTTTTTTTGTTTTAAAGGAAAATTGATACTGATGTAAGCAAACCATTGAAAGTTTATCCTTTACCACACATGTATGTTATCAAGGATTTAGTACCTGATTTAAATAATTTTTATAAACAATATAAATCGATTAAGCCTTGGTTGCAAAGAGTGTAAGCCATAAATTTTAATGTAATCAATAATCACCTTTTTATTACAATTTTTTTTAAATAGTAAAGAACCAAAGTTGGGCGCAGAACAATATGCCCAATCAGAAAGAGATAGAAAAAAACTTGATGGCTTATATGAATGTATCTTATGTGCTTGTTGCTCAACATCATGTCCAAGTTATTGGTGGAATAGTGAAAAATATTTAGGACCAGCAGTTCTTATGCAAGCTTACAGATGGATTATTGATTCAAGAGATGATACCACAGTAGAACGTTTGAGTCGTTTAAAAGATCCTTTTTCTGTTTATAGATGCCATACGATTATGAATTGTACAAACACTTGCCCAAAGGTAATAATAATTTTTAACAAGGCGATAAAAAAGAAATTATTTATTGTATTTCTTTTATAGGGATTAAATCCTGGTAGAGCTATTGCTGAAATTAAAAAACTTTTGGGAGGACTTGCTGAAAAAGAAAAACCTGATATTGAACCAATGATATTACACAAATGAGAATTTATGTTTTATAAAGAATAAATTGTATGTATTAATTTATCAACGTATTTTTTAAATGTTTTAGCTTTATTAATTTAATTTATTTAATTAATTTCATGATCTAGCAATTTTACTGATTTATTGTGAATACCAAATGTTTCAAATAAAATTATTTGCTATCTTATTTTAATTTTAAATTAATTCTTCGAAGTCTCTAAGTATTTGCTACCGAATTTTTTTTATTACTCATAATTTTTTTATTATTATGTAATGGAAAACCACACACGCATAGTTATTTAAGTAATCATTAACTTGACAGGAAATGAAGTAGCAAGGTCAAATTGTAATGAATATTATTTCAACTAAGCTATTTCTAAGTTTAGTTGAAATTCTTATCATAATTTCACTTTAATTACTTCAAATTCTATGTAAAAAAAGGTTATAGTTTTAACGTGGCCATTTTTCGCATGGATATTGTTTTCTTGTAGAATTGATTATGTAATAACTCTTGGAATATTTCCTTCTTAAATATCTTGGTAAAAGTAAAATCAACGTACAACCACAATAACTTTCATAACATTGTATATTAAAAAAAACAAGTCTTGCGGCAATTGTTGTTAACACCCATATTTATAGTATGTAATCGTGCAAGTTATTGCTTTGTAAATAAAAAATATATTTACGAGATTGAAATTAAGAAAGGAAACAAAGATTGGATTTAACAAAAAAATATGTAAAAGTCAAGACTTACACCAGTCTTATCACTTAAATGTTCACATAAACTCATTAGAAAACGTGTTTGTTAGAAAACCATCTTTTTTTTATTATTTACTCATTGACCTTGTATTTCACTCAGGACCGTATTTCAGCCTATTGGACTGATTGGGTACAATCAAGTTGCTTCAATGTTTATATTTAATTCAATATATACAATTTCTGTAAAAATTATACTGAATCATGTTATTCTTAACTTGGGGAGATAATCATAAAGTCATACAGATTGTAACAAATAGTGCAATCAGTACAAAATAAGAAATAACCCAATATAATATCCCTTTGATAACATTAAACGCATCTAGGGATCGCAGATAGATTAGCATAGGAAGAACGTTCTAAAAAACTATCAATAAAACTAATAGTAGCTTTAGTTCTAGGTTTACTATTACTTCTACTAATAGTGCTAGAACTAATAGTAGCTCTAGGTTTCTAGGTTTACTATTAGTTCTTGTAATGGTGTTAGGTTAGTTCTAGTTTTTGTACTTGTAATATTCAAAAGCTTATCAATCTGATGAAAATTGAGTGTCAGAATAAAATTAGTCCAACCAGAAAATAAGTACCGTTTTGAAAAAAAACACAAAAACATTTTTTCAAAACAAAATTTATTTTTACATGTAAGAGCATGTCTTAAACTATTTTTTTACTTACTTGTGACCAACTTTTACTTACCAACTGTTGTATACCCTCTTCATGGAAAGATGCCGCCAGTCACGACAAAGTTGAATTAAATTTTAGTTTTTTCCACTCCATCTGCTGTTGTTTGGATTCGGGAGTGACATGACAAACCCAAGTTTCATCACCGGTCATAATTTTGCTTAAGAATTCATCTCCTTCATCATTGTATCGAGTAAGAAATGTCAAAGCACTTCCAAGTCGTTTCGTTTTGTAAACATCCCCGAATTTTTGGAACCCAGCGGGAACACAATTTTCTATAATTTAATCGTTTTGTGATTATCTCATACAATACAGTGGATCAAAACGATACTTATTTTCCGGACAAGCCTCGTAACACACAACAACGTATGCTAGTTATTAGAGATATACTTTGTAGTACATCTCATCTGATATATCACAGTATGCAGAAACCTATGTACAGTTCTGTTCAGATTTAATGCGAATCGGCCGCTGTTAGCTCCGACATGACGCTGGTACTGGAAGAAGACGGAGACATCTTTTGTTTCTATTCAATTCGGTTTCTGAGACTAAAGGAAGAGGGTAAAACCCAGGTAAAACCGTCCCAGTTTGAAGTGGGCCGAAAAATGGATCACCCTTTTATTAAATGTGTTAATTTTATTTTATTTTAAATCTTTTTTGATATTTTTAAGCACAACAAATACACGATTTTTTATATGTTCCTCTAATAAATGATTTTAAAGTATTTCTATAAATAAAACGTCAGATAAAATTCATTCATGACCGGGCTGTAAAAAACCCCTAATTACGGAGCAATTGGCTACAACACGGTTACGATTTGCCCGTGAATATCTTGAGTATAATTGGGAACCAGTCATCTTCACAGACGAAAACACCTTCTGTTCGTCGGACGACCATAAAAAATTACTATGGCGAAGAGATAGAAGTCGGTATGATGCTAATCATGTTCAACCAAATACAAGAAGTGGACACATTTCCTTGGGTTATTGGAGATGGATGAGCATTCATGGACCGGGAGAACTGACCGAAATTAAAGGAAGATTTAATTCGATTTAATACATTCGAGTGCTGGAGGATGTTTTGATACCACCAGTAAGAACCTGTATCCAGAAGGGATCATCACGATAGTCCAAGACAATTCGCCCGTGCATTCTTCAAGAATTGTTCATGATTGGTTTGACGATCATAATGACGTTAGGCGAATACCCTAGCCAGTGTGGATCTAAACCCATTCGAAAATCTATGGGCTTTGGTGGAAAAACAGTTCAATACAAATGCCAATTTTCCTTTTCGCAACGTGTAAATCTGCGCCGCAACATTACAGTTGTGTGGGAATTGTTCGCGGCAAGGATGTATGCGAAAGATTAGTAAATTCGATGTCCACCAGATTGCAATGTTGCATAGAGAATAATGGGTATTATACAAAATACTGATATTTGATGGTATAATGGACTGTACGAAATTCTCCCCAATTCGATTATTATAATATTTATTATATTNTAAGATACGCAACTTTGCCCCATTTAACCATTTTTGTATGTCTTATTGTTTTTGAGATCCCAATGGTGGGGGTCAAATTTGAATTACCCTATATACTTGGTATACTTCGCTTTTTGTGTCGCTTTCTTTATTTTTGATACAAGTGTTTCAGCTTTTTGATCAACATATATAGTATCTATACAAATGTAAAAACCATCCCAGTCTTCCTGCTGTGGTTTTGTGCGTAGTTCCATATAGTTTATGTACTCTTTTGTATGTTTCTGTTTAACCTGTCCTTTATTTATTACATTTTCATAATTTATTATCGAAATTATTGCTTTATGGGCTGTTATTGTATCTGATAGAATAATTGGTATAGTCTGTCCCAAGGGCATCGCCAGCCAGTGGGCCAGGGGGGGGCACGATAAAATTGAAATTGAAAAATAACACCAAATTATTTAAAACATAATTTTCGTGGCTTCTTTGCGAATTGGTCAACCAGATTATTAATAAAACCCTCAAAGTTTTCAAAAATATGCTTCCTATACACATTCATCATGGGAAGACCATTGAGACGGCATTCTGCCATAGTGCTTCTAAGCCAGGTTTTATTGTCCTCAAGCTGCTAAAAGATCCTTCAACAGTATATGTCGTGCAGGGTAAAGTGACCAAAATTATAAAGGCTTTTCTCGTTTCAAGGAAAAAAATTTCGGCATCTTTTATGACATCCATAACACTTAATTCTGTTGAGTTAGATTTATCTTGCCATAGTTTTTTCCATAGTTCGATTTCGTTGTTGATATTTGATAAATTGTAAAATTGGGAAAAGACTTCACCAGCTTCTACGAGGTCTTCAAGGAACATGTCTAACATTTGAGCTGGGTGTAATTTACATAAGGAAAATGACGGGGTGTTTCCTTCAGAAAAGCGAACTTCAAAAGAATTAATAATCGAGTCTAAGTATGGTATTATTAAAGACCTCCGCCAGAATTGTGAGGGGCTTGCTGCTGGGTGGTTGTTCTGATGTTGTTGTCTCTCAACAATACGGGGCAAGGACTTCATGTCTTCTCCCAGTCCAAGTTTTCCTGCAACGATAGTAGTGTCCCTAATAATTCCATTTGTGACGTTTTCTGGACCGTTACGGTCGTTTTCTATGAATTCCAAAAGGCGGCTAATGTGCTGGGATGCCTTAACTGCATTCAAAGCAACGGATTGGAGCACGTTTACCACAGGTTCCATCATAGCCGAGTATTTGGCTATCAAAATAAAGCTGAGAATAAACGAAACTCTAGAAGCTGCTGCATGGAGCTGATAAGTATTTTTTCTAGTCGCATTATTTATTCTTATTTTCTTCCCGTGACGAGGTTTCAAAGGCCTCCATTATAATAGGAAAATTTTCATTAAAAACACTAATATTTTTGTGCTTCTTGCTCCACCTTGTTTCGCAAAGCTTGGAAATATTTGGTATCAATTTGCGTCTCAAAACTGATTCTTGAAAAAATGTAATAATATCTTTGATGGTGCCTTCCTTTGATAAAAGCATAAAGCTTTTTTATATTTTCTGCGTAGGATTGCTTGCACACCACCTTTTTTCCCGGATATCGTCGAACAACCGTCAAATCCTAAACCCACACATTTGTCCGGATCAAGATCTTCTTCTGCCGAAAACGCATCTATTGCTTTTGCAATACATTTCGCATCCAAAGCATCAAGTTTGACGAATCCAAGGAATACTTCTTGAACTTCCTTGGTTTCCAGATCAAAATATGGCATCCCATTCGATAGTTGTTCAGTGCTCGAGATGTATATTTATTGTGTTTTAATTTTTTTTTCTAATCTACCCCTAGGGGGGGGGCAGTGGCCCCCCTCTGCCCCTCTCTGGCGACGCCCTTGGTCTGTCCTACACTTGGATTTATTTGTTTTATGAAAATATGATCAATGCATGACTAGTTAAACTGTTAGTTAGACTGAAGTAATTAAATAAATATGCAGGCAACTGCTTCAGCATAATTTTTTTTCTTGGTTTGTTAGATCCGGTCCTGTTTCAATTCCACGTTGAAATATTATAGAAATATATTAATCAGAAAACATAGTCCGCATATTTCTTGTTTATCACAAACGTTAAGTTGGTTGTCTATAAAATAGTAAAACTAATTGTTAAATAAGAAGACAGATGATCACTTTTTTGTTAATAGCTGATATTTGATAACTGAAATACTTACTTCGGTTAATTGTAAAATTTAATTTAATTAAAAGATAACGTTTCTTTTATCCACATTTTAACTTTGTAAGGTTGGTAATAGCCAGTTTTGTGTTATCGACATGCTGTTCGATATAAATTGAGATATTCCAATTAAATAATGCTATTCGTTAATAAAATCGAGTACACTTAGATACATAACATGTCCAAAGAACTGCAATTGTTTCGACTATGTCGAAATGGCATCAATCAGGTGAGCCGTTACTCTTTTGTTTCCCGCGTTCAATTATTTACAACTTTCACTTGTTTTTTTTTTTATCTTTTTTTTTCACACTTCTTTTTTTAAATTCCAAATACCACAATTAATTGATTTTTTTTTATATTTTAGATACGTACATTCCATTTATCCTCGATTTCTTATGCAGCTGTTGTTAGAAAACCATTATTAAAAAAGGTTGAGGTGTATCGATGGAATCCAGATGAGCCACATGTTAAACCTTACATGCAAACTTATGAGATTAATTTAAATGAGTGTCCACCTATGGTTTTGGACGCTTTGCTTAAAATTAAGAATGAAGTTGATACCACACTAACTTTTCGGAGGTCTTGTAGAGAAGGTATTTGTGGATCATGTGCTATGAATATTAATGGTACCAATACTTTAGCTTGCATCAAGTAAGAATTATTATTTAATGTTTTATTTAAAAGCATGGAATGTTTTACTTATCTTTAATCCATACTTTTAAAATGAAAATTTTATTTATAATAAATTAAATAATTTTCAACATTTGAGTTAATAAATTTAAGGAAAATCGACCGTGATGTTAGTAAGCCATTAAAAATCTATCCATTACCCCACATGTATGTTATCAAGGATTTAGTACCTGATTTAAATAATTTTTATAAACAATATAAATCAATAAAACCTTGGTTGCAAAGGAAGTAAGTTTCATTTTTGATGCAAAATATTTTTTACATAACCAAGATTTTTAGAAATGAGCCAAAATTGGGAGTGGAGCAGTATTCCCAATCAGAAAGAGATCGTGAAAAATTAGATGGTTTGTATGAATGTATTCTATGTGCTTGTTGTTCTGCATCATGCCCAAGTTATTGGTGGAACAGTGAGAAGTATTTAGGTCCAGCTGTACTTATGCAGGTTTATAAATAATACAAAAAAAAATTGTTTTGAGATTAATTCTTGGATTATTTTCTTTTAGGCTTATCGATGGATTATTGATTCAAGAGATGATACCAGCGCGGAAAGGTTGGAAAAACTCAAAGACCCATTTTCAGTTTTCAGATGCCATACAATCATGAATTGTACTAATACATGCCCTAAAGTAATTATTTAATTAATTTGTCATCATTAATAATTCACTTTTAATTTAAATAGGGGTTAAATCCTGGAAGAGCAATTGCTGAAATCAAGAAACTTCTTGGTGGTATAGCAGAGAAAGAAAAACCGGATATAGAACCAACTTTACTACACAAATAAAAGGAAAAAGAAAACAAATAGTAATAATTAATCTTGTCATCAAATAGTCTGCTTAAAAAATCACAATTAATTACCAATTTTATGTGAAATTTTTTACACCAACAAGTATTAAATTTTATATTTATTTTTAAGTACAAAAAGAATTAAGTAATTTTTTCTTATTAAGGTTATAAATATTCATTTAAATTTTTTGTTGGTTTCTAGAATTAATTTAAAAAAATGTTATTTGATAATGTAATTGAAAAAGGAATTAAATACATTTCAATATCTCCGAGAGGATTGCATAATATCTTATCTTGTTTTCTTATTTTTGTAGTTAATATGGGTTTTGTGGACTTTAGATAACCATCTCAATCAATAGTTTTTATTGGAGAAATAAAAAAAAGAGAACCATTCATTTTATGGTTTTTTTATCACAATTTTTTTAAGCCTATCAGTAAATAAAATATCAACTTTTAAAAATTAATATTCAAACGATGTATGCAACCAAATATACTATTAATTTGACATAGTACATAGATAAGACGGTTTTTATATATTCTATTTTATTATTTAGACTATAAATGTTCATAAATTAATGACTCTCCTGGTAGGCTAAAGTATGGCAGCGTCATCACCAAACCCGGATTTGTGGACTAATCATCCGTTGGTCCTAAATATGCTGATTAGTGAAAAACAACTAGACGGATCTACAGTTGGCATCCACCTTTGGCATGAAGCAACGTACACGAATAGAAACATGGAACATTAGAACCCCCCTGGAGGCGAGACAGCTGGCTCAAGTTGCAAAGGAAATGAAGGCCTATAAACTATTTATGCTGGGACTTAGTGAATTCAAATAGCCTGACAAGGAAAACACAAAAAGGGTATGTGGCAAAACTCTAAGCTATGTACTCAGTAGTGATGGAACGGATACTGATTTTGCGAAAAGCCGGATATTGTTTCTCAAAAACTAAAAGTTATTTTTCAAAACGTGTTAGTTCATTGGAAAGAGGACACTTTTATTAACATTTTGGCAAATTTTCATACTCATATTCCAAGAAACCGATTTTATACGAATTTCTAAAACTTAATCGGCGACAATTGTAAAATTCGAAAAAATTGTCCATCATTTCAAAAATTTATTTCTCAAGAACTGAAAGTGATTTTTCAAAACGGCTTTTTGCATTAAAAAGAGGATACTTTAATTAATGATTGGTGATATTTCCACAAGGATCCTTCAAGAAATTAATTTTATAGCGAATTTTGAAAATTATCGATGAAAATTGCAACTTGAAAATTTTGTTTTCAAACATTGTTTTCTTAAAAACGAAAAGTTATTTTTCAAAACGTGTTGGTTCATTGGAAAGAGGACACTTTTATTACCATTTTGGGCAATTTTCATACTCATATTCCAAGAAATCGATTTTTAACTATCCGGTACCCGGCCGGATTTTAAAAAATAGGCGGATATCCGATAGTTGCCGGATCTGTTCCACCACTAATACTCAGCAAAGAAGAAAACCGAGCCAACGTAGTGGGTGTATTAATGAGTATGAGAAAGTGGTCAAAAATAGCTGACAGAATAATTCTAGCGCGTTTTCGCACAAACGTGAGAAATCTGAGCTTAATACAATGCTAATCGCCGACGGACCCATCTGAGGAATACGAGAGACGTGAGAGACGAGAATATTGGCTTTGGAACACATCATGACAAAACAATGTCTAGGAAATAGAAACAACAACGGTGAATTATATCTAGACTTCTGCATGAACAATGACTTAAGTAAAGACTTAAGTAAATGCTGTAACTGGCGGGGAATCATGCTTTTGAATACCATCAACAAAATACTGGTATAAATCTTAAGAAGTAAATTAGAAGAAGTGATAGAGTCAAAGTTAAGGAAAGATCAAGCAGGTTGCAGAAATTCAAAATTGTTTGAAATTAGTTGCGCAACCAATTGACACAATGTGCAACAACGACAGTTTCTTTTCATGTGTGTTACCATGACCAATAATTCACCAAAAGTGGCGGGATCCATTCGTAAATAATTTTTGTAATCTAATGGTGAACTCAACCTCAGTTCTTTGAGAAGATTTGAGCAGCTAAAAAGTGATTTTTTCTTTAACCACTCTGCACTCATTCATCCATACTCTTTGCTTCCTTTTTCTTTTTCTAACACCATCTTTCAACGCAACAGTAATTATTATAGCTAAACGGACTGCTTCGTCAGACGGCATGTTTCCATGCGTACACAACACAAGCAACTGAAGTTTGCATAAAATTGTGTATAGTGTATGGGTAACCTTGTTTGCACAATAACCTGTTGTGCAACGTCAGTTTGCGTAATTTGTTGGCAGATGTTTGCAGATTCTATCCGTAATATCTGTACGATGAGAAATAGAAGACCGACGTGCGTAAAGCATTTTCTACACTTTGCAATATAAGCTACACTTTTGTATTTTTTTCACTTCTCGGTTCCTCTTCTGCGATGTTCTTGATCTTCTCTAGTTCATAATTGTTGCGTATGATCAAGCGAGAATCAAATCCTTCTACTAAAAGTTTAGTCAGAAAAATTCCTACTTTTTGGTGTTGCGATTTCCAGGTTACTGAGTCAATTTTCCATGTTTCCTTATGGCAATGAATTAATGACGAAGATATGAACCATAAAAAATACTAATCAAATTAAACAACCTTTATTAAAAAAAAGAAGCGATTATCACAAAATGACAATTATTGTTTTACAGTTAGATAATTAAAAAAATACAGAATATTATTATAAATAGTTATTAAAAAATTAGTCGCACAGTAGTAGGAAGATTCTGAATATTTTCAGACATAATTTGATTTTTTTTTAAATAATAATAAATTGTACGTGACATAAATCGTAAGATAAGTAAAAATCTGAACGTTTTCGTTTTTTACAATAAAATAAAGTGGAGTAGATCGGTTGTTTTGTCTCGTTTCGGAGACGTACAAAAAAATTGTCGTAAATTACGTTTTTTCTTCTAAAATTACATAAAGTAAGTAGTGATTGACTAAATGTGACTTGTTTTTCGTGCCAAGTAGCACCAATAAAGTTTTCAGAGCGCACAGCTCAACATCCATACTTAAAACCATTCATACACTTTATACAATTCGTATTTATATATATAGTCTTAAATGTTATTAGTTTACATCAAAAGTTTTCCAAAGGCTTATTTGAAAAAAAAATATATATATAAGAATAAAAAAAATCCAGTTTAGAAAAGAAATAAATCTGGTAATCATGGTAATCATATAAATAAAAATCTTACAAACTGTGATAATACAATAAACTGATGTAAAGGTGTAAAAAGAATTCATAAAAAATAATATAAATTATAAATCTTTTTTTAGACGAGAAAAAAATTGTTTTGTTTAAATTAATTAAAGCGTTATTTAAAAGGAATTAAGTCCACCACCTAAGTTTTTTTCCCTTGTCTAAGTTATAATGAAAGTTTTAAGCCAATGGAAAAGATTTTTTTATATGAAATATGTAAAATACTTCTTACAAATTGACTCTTGAGTACGCTACATATTTCACGGCTATTTGTATATTTACTACAAGGGTTTGCTTTTTTTTCTTTAACAATTTACACGTTATCCCACAGATTATGTTCTGGGCAGTAAATAATAAAACTTGAGTGAGTAACAGTACGGCATTTAAGATCACATTAAATCTTGGATAACATGCAAATCATTAAACAATAAATATATAATACACAACTTGATATTTATATATATTAGTTTTTTTAATTTTTCTTCGAAGCGTCTTCGTTTTTCATTTTCGTTTTTCGACGTATTCATTTTCTTCTTCATTGTACAGACGACACTTTTTTTAAAATACTTTTTTACGTATTGTCCCTAAACATTAACTTTTTTTTTTCTTCGATAACTTTCTTCACCGTTACGTAAGATAATCGGGACTTGGTTCTGCCATTGGTTCAGGCGTTGTAAATAGTGGATTTGGAAATTCTGGTGGATGAGGAAGCGGTCCAGTTGCTTTTGGTCTTCGACGGTATGCCATCAACCAACATGAAACTGCTACTGCTACCGCCACCAGAGCTAACAAAGCTGTTATTATTAGGGCAATTATAAAGCCAATCATTGAGACGCAAATGTCATCCACACGTTGAGCAAGAGGAGCTAGAAAAAAAAAAGAAATTGTATTAAAAAGAGGATTAATAAATTATAGTAAAACCTCGATAAAGTCCGTTATAAGAAAAATTGTGTTAGCTCTAGCTTTTGTTTAATGAAAAATATACAACAATCTAACGCTAAATAACAACTAAAGCTAGAAATATACACTAGAGCTAGAACTTGAAAGAGTCAGGTTTAGCTATACGTCTCTTAAATCGGTTAAACCCAAATGAATCTAGTTCTAGGTGTAATGTTAATTCTATTTTTAGTTCAATAAATATATACAGCAATCGAACGCTGAATAACTATTAAAACTTAAAACTAGAACTAACACTAGACCTTTTCGTTTGAAGACGCACAGTTAAACTCGAATGTTTCTAGTTCTAGGTCTAGCGTTAGTTCTAGTTTTGGTCCAAAAAGATATACAATATAGCGCTATGTAGTGCTAATTAGCGCTTCATATACTATTACTAGAATTAACACTAGACCTAGAAGTAGTAACATTCGGATTTTGCCGCACGTCTCTTAAGACGGCAAAACCCGAATGCTTCTAGTTCTAGGTTTAGTGTTAGTTATAGTTTTAGTTCAATAAAAATATACAACATAGCCTTCGTAGTGCTAACTAGCCTTTCCAAACACTGTTAGTAGAACTAACATTAGACCTAGAACTAGAAAAATTCGGGTTTTGCCGTCTTAAGAGACGTGCGGCTAAACCCGAATGTTTCTAGTTCTAGGTCTAGTGCTAGTTCTAGCTTTAGTTCAATAAAAATATACAACATAGTGCTATGTAGTGCTAACTAGCCCTTCATGGCACTATTACTAGAACTAACACTAGACCTAGAACTAGAAACATTCGGGTTTTGCCGCACGTCTCTTAAGACGGCAAAACCCGAATGTTTCTAGTTCTAGGTCTAGTGTTAGTTTTAGTTTTAATTCAATAAAAATATACAACACAGCGCTATGTAGTGCTAACTAGCGCTTCCTAACACTGTTACTAGAACTAACACTAGATCTAGAACTAGAAAGTCTCGGGTTTAGCCGTCTTAAGAGACGTACAGCTAAACTTGAATGTTTTTTTCTAGTTCTAGTGTTCTAACGAGATTCGTTATATTAAAGTTTTACTACATTTTTGTTAATAAAGACAGAATATACAGATATTTATTTTGCTTACATTCTGTGGGATCAACTAGTCTTTCTTCACGTCTCTCAAATGTTAGAATCGTATTCGAATGAATCGTAATTTCTTCACGAAGTTGCCCATTAAGTGTATCTGGTTGTAAAGCTACGTCGGTATCTGTTTCGTTGTAATCAATTGCACGTTTCCTTCTACCAAACGCGTTATATCCTCGGCAGTTAACCTTTAAAATAAATTAAATAAGTATTTAATTAAATAATTGAATAAACATTTTGATGACTTACTGGTTGACATTTTCCAAAACAAACTCTAATATTACATTGGAATTTGATGTTATCACTACTAGGGAATTTAAATGCGTAAAAGCTGGCTTGTAAACTTTCGGTATCTGTGCTGTAATCCCATTCACCAAAGATTTTGGGATCGGTCGCGCAGCCGTCTTCATCAGTTACGATGTAAGTGTTTTCTGTTGTTCCTTCCATAGTTTTCGCGACGCAACTTCGAGCAAATCCTCCGTATATCGAACCAGGTTGAACTTCCACTTCCAATTTTAATTCATCGCCGATTTCGGCAGATGAAATTTCTTGGCCCGTTTTTGTCACGATTCTCATCAAACACGTTGGTGGAGGACCCGTATTTGCAATGGTACCGGCGGTCGTTATCATAGAGACGTTAAATCCTAATGTAACGTTTTGTTCTCCAGTTTGATAAATACATTTAATGTGGAAAGCTCTTGCTTTGTATGTTACGAGTTTAGGATGTTTTTGAATCACGAGAATAAAACTGGCGTTACCCTGCAAATTACAACGAATTAATGAAATAAATTAAAAAAAAAATTAAGTTTTACATTGACTAAAATAAGTCCGCAACTTCCAAAATGAACCTTGAAGTCTTGTTTACGATCTTCTGTATCTGTTGAACTTATTGTTAAAGATCTTCGGCATTCTTCGTCTTTACTGTGACCTTTTACGTATAATACTCCGTTAAATTCTTCTTTGGGGAAGTCAATATCTACTTGAACGCCATCGGAAAGACATTTTACGTTCATTTGGGGTGGTGGGAAATCCGGTGGAGGAATTACTTTGTATGGTACTAAAAACATAAGTCACATTTGATTTTTTGTCTTAAAAATAAAAAAAAAACTTACAGCATGCATCTTCTGCGTTTCCATAATAATTTGTTAAACAAACGCAAACAGCACGATGATTTGTGGCATTGCAGAAAGCGTTTAATCCACAGATTTTTTGTTGAGGATTAATACAAGGATTTTCGCACGTTCCGCTTTCAAGGTTGCAATATTTATTGTCAGCGCATTCATCGTCGCTATAACATCCGGTTGTTTTGGGTTTGCAAGCTCCTGAGACATCCAATTTATAACCAAATTCGGTTGGACACACGCATTTTCCTCTCTCGTCGATTATCCAACCTTTTTCTAAGTTGCAAACACATCGACCTCTTTCAACTATAAAACCTCTCTCGGGTAAACATTTTACGCACTCGTCGTTTTCGTTTAGACCTGTATTTGGTGGACATTTACAAATGCCATCTGTTGCTATTATGTAACCTTTATCAAATCTGCAGAATGTGGCTATAATAAAAAAAAAGTTATTGAGGTTCCTGATTAATAAGCAATTAAAGATACTTACTTTTGTCGCATTGTACAGCTGCATTTCCTTGATATCCCTCTTTACATTGACATATCATGGTTCTAACGGGTTCTGTATTTAATACGGTGCAAACAGCATTAATTCCGCATGGTTCTTTCTCGATGCATGGATTAATACATTCGCCGCCGATGCAAACCGTTTGAGATGGACAATGAGAGTCGTATTTGCATTTCGTTTGAGTTGGGAAACATCCAGAGATGGGGTTTCCATTAAATCCAGGTGGACAAGCGCAAATCGGTTGGTGATTAAAGACTTTGCACTCTGCGGATAAATCGCATGGGTTTTTAGCTTCGCAAGGATTTTTACATTTTTGATTAATGCATGATTTGCTTGATGGACACTCGCTGTCGGAACGACATCCAATAGTGAGGCAGTTTATTTTTGGATTTCCAATCAATCCTGGTGGACATTCGCAAATAGCTCTATGGTTAATTCCGTAACATTCAGCGTCTTTCCCGCAGATGGTTTTATCGGCAGGACAAGCAGGTGTGCATTGTCTGTTGATGCAAGCATGTTGACTGGAGCAATCGGAATCTGATCGACACCCGATTTTGGTACATTCGATTTCTGGGTTTCCAATGTATCCTTGTTTGCAGGTACAAATTGGTTTGTGATCTTTAATGCGACAATCGGCGTTGTGTCCACAGTTGCAGGGGTTTTTACAAATTCCTTGTACGCAGGATTTGTCTGCTGCGCAATCATTATCTGATATACAACTGACTCGTGTGATTGATTTTGTTGGTTGACAAGTTCCACTTCCGCTACTAATGTAACCAGATGGACAGACACAAATCATGGTTCTAACTGGAACTGTGTTGGCTACTTGACATTCTGATGGACTACTACATGGTAAGAAAACTGCGCATGGATCTTTACATTTCTGATTAACACAAGCTAATCTAGGTGGACAATCGCTATCTAATCTGCATTCCGGTTCTGGTTCTCTTCGACAATCGACGTATGGGTTTCCAATAAATCCAGGTGGACAACGGCAAACAGCTAGATGGTTTTGTACTCTACACTCAGCTTGGGCCGAGCAAGGATCTTTGAAGATACAAGGATTTATGCATTGGGCGTTAATACATTGTTTATCGTTAGAACAGTCGTTGTTTGATGTGCACCCAATTATTAAACATCTATCATACGGATTTCCTCGATAACCACTGAGACATCTACATTCAGCTCTGTTTATATTAACGTGACATTGAGCGTTTATTCCGCAACGATCATTAACTAAGCATGGATTAACACATTGCGAATTGACACAAGATTTTCCTGGTTGACATTCTGAATCAGTTCTACAACCAACCGCGTAACAAGCGATTTCCGGATTTCCTTCAAAGCCGTTTTCACAGGAACAAACAGGACGATGGTTTTCGACAAAGCAAGCGCTATGTTTTCCACAGTTACATGGATTTTTACATATCCTGTTCATACAAGCTTCATTACTTGGACAATCGGTATCGCTGACACATCCTGGTGGTGGAATTGGTAACGGATGGCATTCGTCATTTTCGTTTGGTACCCATCCTTCGGGACAAGTACAAGTCATGGTTCTTACAGGAACTGTATCCAAAACGGAACATTTCGATGTTGGGTGACAAGGCGATAATTTCGTACAAGGATTGACGCAAGTATTTTTGATACAAGCCAATTTACTTGGGCAATCCATATCGAGACGACATTCAGGTGGAATAACCGAGGCGTAACAGTACGACAAAGGATTTCCTTCTGGTAGTTCTGTTGGACATCTACATCCGGCAGCGTGATTTTGAACATAACATATTGCGTTTTGGGCACATGGTGGATTTGCAATTGAAGAACATGGATCGATACAATGATGTTGTATACAAGCTCGATTTAATGGACAATCGTTGTCTACGTGACATTCTACCAATTCGCACTTTTGAAGAGGATTGCCGATATATCCCGACAAACATTTACAGTTGGCTCTGTGATTATGGCCGTAACATTCCGCATTTGACGCACAGGGGTCTCCCAAAATACATGGGTTAACACATTGACCGTTATAGCATTGTTTGTCGTTGTTGCATTCGTTATCAGTTTCACATTCAACTAAACAAAAAGAAATTTTAATATTTAAAAAATTAATTATATAAATTCTGCTTACGTTTTGTACAGCCAATTTGGGGATTTCCTGAATAACCGGGTCTGCAGTAGCACGTTGGATAATGACCTGCGACTCTACACTCGGCGTTGGGACCACAATTGCATGGACTAGCACAACGAGCATTAATACAAGCTTGAGATCCAGCGCAGTCAGAATTTTGTTTACAACCTGCTACGGGTCCTTTAGCTATAAATCATAAAAATAAATATAACATACATTTATATAATTAAGAATGAAACAAATAACTTACGGGGTACACACTCAATTCTTGGATTTCCTTCATATCCTAAAGGACAATTACAATTTGGAATATGCGCTGAAACAGAACATAAAGCTCCGATAGCGCATACTTTATCGCTGGAACATGGATTTACGCAAATTTGGTTTCTACAAGCCAATTCGGAGGAGCATTCGTCGTCTGAGTAACATTCGGGTGTTGGTGGTAATGGTATTCTCACTCGAGTACATTCAACGTGGGGATTACCGTTATGGCCCGGTGGACAAGTACAAATCGCTTGGTGGTATTTTTCAGCACATAAAGCGTTAATTCCACACTGATCAACAGAACAAGCATTTATGCAACTTCCTTGAATGCATTTCTTAGAGTCGTCACATTCTGAATCCGTGGTACATCCTCGTGTAGCAATTGGTTTACATTTTCCGGATTCATCCTTAAAAGTATCGGCCGGACATTGGCAGATGAAAGTTCTTAAAGGAAGCGTATCCCAGACTCGACATTCTTGATCAATCGAGCAGAAATCTGAGATTGCACAAAGGTTTTGACAGCGGGTGTTGATACAAGCAAATTGTGATGAACATTCTGAGTCGGTTGTACATTCTGGACCTGGTAATGGTACCCTTGGTTCTGTATCTTTACACTCAATATATGGATTTCCGTATTTTCCTGGTGGACATTTACATTTCGCTTGGTGATTTTCTCCGACACATCGGGCATTGTCTCCACAGGTTTCGTCATCGCAAACTGGTCGACAAATTCTATTAAGTCTATCGCACGCTTCGTGATCGGCGCAGTCTTCGTTGTATTGGCAGACGCCGGTTATACAAGAAACTAGTGGATTGCCTTGCGATCCAGCTGGACATTGACATTGAGCACGATGATTATGAGTTATACATTGGGCTCCTTGACCGCAAGATGTGGTTGTGCAGGGATTTAAGCAGTTCGAGTTAATGCAAGCTTTATTGTACGGACAGTCATCGTCGACTTTGCACTCTGGTCTGTAGCACATCACTTGAGGATCACCACCCCAACCATCAGGACAATAACACGCTGGTCTGTGGAAAGATGTTTGACAATCTGCGTTTGTTCCGCAAGGATTTGAAATACAAGGATCTTTGCAACGTTGGTTTATACAAGATTTATCATTTGAACAATCTGGATCTTTAGTACATTCTGGCTCGATGTTGCTGACTGGTGAGCAAGAAATGAATGGATTTCCAACCAATCCTGCTGGACACTTGCAAACTGCCTTATGGTTGAGAGGTTCACAATGAGCATTTTGAACGCAAGGATTCGCCGCCACACATGGATTTATGCATTCTCCGTTAATGCAGGTTGTTGTTAACGGACACTCCGAATCTGTTTTACAGCCTTCTTTTTCAGCTAGAGGTATCATAACAAAATCACAATTAATGTTTATGCAAAAAGAAGGGATTTGGAAGTGCGTATAAGGATTTAAGTGTTGCTGTCTTGTTAAGGTGTAGGTACAAAAAAGTTAAGAGGTATACACAAAAAGTGAATAAAAATATTCTGTACATATATGTCATAAAATGTATGTACAAATTACAATTGGCTGAAAAGAAATTTAACTAAAAAATGTTTATATTTTTTTTGATTATTGATTTAATTGAAGATAATTCATACCTCTGCATATTTCACCAGCATCTCCTACATATCCTGCTAAACACGAACATGACATTGTTCGCAATGGAAGAGTATCCACCACAGAACATTCAGCATTAATTCCACATGCTTTAGCGACAATACATGGGTTTTTGCAAGAACCACTAAAGCACGCATATTTACTTGGGCAGTCTGCGTCAATTTTACATTCAGGTATATCTTCCTTAGCTGCAATAATCAAATCATTTTTCAACGTTACTGTTGCATATGAGAAACTTACATAAAGAGCATGCTACTAATGGGTTTCCATTAAAACCAGGTGGACACGAGCATTGGGGTTTGTGATTATAAACAGTACAAATAGCACTTTGACCGCAACGGCATGGATCTTCACACCTTTCATTGCGACAAGCAAGTTTGTATGGACAATCTTCGTCATTACTGCATTCGGGTCTTTCACATCGGATTTGAGGATCACCTCTGAATCTATCCGGACAATAACAACGGGCTTTGTGGAATGAATCTGGTCTGCAGAAAGCGTTTAGACCACATTGAGTGAAACTGCAAGGGTCTACACATTCACGATTAACACATGCTTGAATTGGTGGACAATCTGAATCACTTCGGCAACCAACTAAAATAAAATAAATAAATTATAGAATAGAATTTTTTTATTTTTATCAGATTGTTAAAAAACATACTTTCAACGCAAGCAGTTTGGGCATTTCCAGTAAATCCGCCTTTACATATACAAATAGCTCTATGAGTTTGCACTCTACATTCCGCGTTATATCCGCATAATCCTGGTGATGATGTGCATGGATTCAAACATTTCTCGTTAATACAGGCTTTATCATTAGCACAATCTGAATCTTGAATACATTCGGGTCTTGGTACCGGAACTGGTTGTATTTTACATTCAATCTCTGGTATTCCACCGTATCCGTTTGGACATGTACAAACTGCTTTGTGATTGATGACTTGACATAATGCGTTATAGCCACAAGCATCTCTGCAAGGATCTCTACATTTTTGATTATAACAAGCTTTATCTCTCGGACAATCTTGGTTGATGATACATTCTGGGTAGATGCATATTGCAACACTGTTTACTACTTGGCATTGTCCGTTGATGTTGCAAGGTGATGGGTTACATAGATCTATTTCGATTTCTTGTTGTTCTTTGCAGAGAGTGAATGGATTTCCTATAAGAGGTGGTGGACATGTGCATACTGGACTATGATTGATTACATTGCACTGGGCATTAAAACCACAAACTCCTGGACATGGATCGATACATTTCATGTTTGAGCAAGCTTTATTGAGAGGACAATCTGCGCTGATGGTACATTCTGGTTTACAACCACTTGTTGATGGATTTCCGAAGAGACCCGGTAAACATTCACAAACTGCTCTATTGTCGAATTCTTTACAGATTGTGTTTAAACCGCATGGTGATGGTTGACAAGGTGATGGTTCTGACGACAAGGAGATGAGATAACAAAAATCAGCCGCTATTTTTAGTAATTCACTTACCTGGTCCGGTTGGTAAACATTGCCTAAACGCATCTCCTATAAATCCTGTTGGACATGAACATATTGGGATATGATTTCGTACGTCACATGTAGCACCGACTCCGCAGGTTCCAGGGCAAGGATCTTCACATTTATTTCTTATGCAAGCCCTGTTCATCGGACAATCTGAGTTGCCCACGCATTCGGGTCTACAACCTTCGTAAGGATTTCCATGATATTCTGGAAGACACTCGCAAACTCCGTAGTTGTTCTCGATACGACATCTAGCGTTGGATCCACAAGGTGATGGATAGCAAGGATCCACCTTAGGTGGTTGCGTTGGAGGTGCTAAACATACAACACAAAATTAGATGGCGGTTTAACAAAATTGGAAACATAAACATAGTTTTATAAAAGTGCTACGAGTGTAGATTAAACTTTGTTACTGAAACCAAACTAGTTGTAAATAGTTTGTACAATATGAAGTATACAAAATAATTTTATAAAAAGTGCTACTCTATGCATGCAAAGAAACAAACATAAATGAGAAGATGAAATGAAGTAATAATAAACTAACGATGATAAATATTCCTGAAAAAAATACATCGTATTATTAATTATATTTTTCAATTTAAATATTAATAAACAATAGGGTAATAATAACGAGGGCTTACGTGGTCTTTTAGAACAAACGGCAAATGGATTTCCTTCGTAATCATTTATACACATACAGTTTGGAATGTGGAGAACCACGTGGCATTCGGCGTTCAATCCACATGATCCAGGACAAGGATCTTTACATTTTTGGTTTATACATGCTTGGTTTGTTGGGCACTCTGAGTTACTGACGCATTCAGGTCTACAATTTGGTGGAATTCCAATATATTCAGGTAAACAAAGACAATTGTATCCTCCGACTGGTGTTGGTTCGCACCTAGCATTCGCGCCACAAGGAGATGGTAAGCACGGTTCTGGTTTGGGCGGGGGTGGTAATTCTGGCGGAGGAGCTAAAAATTAAAATTAATTTTTTGAGAAGTTTTTAATTAATATTTCTCAATTCGTCTTACGCCTGCATTGAACGAAGGGATCGCCGATTAAGGGTGGTTGGCAACTACACACTGGGTTGTGATTAACCACGTGACAAGTTGCTGATATTCCGCAAGTTCCAGGACATGGATCAACACATTTTTGATTAAGACAAGCTTTGTTTAATGGGCACTCGATACTTAAAATACATTCAGGTTTGCAATTTGGTGGGTGGCCGTTGTAACCTATTAGGCAAGAGCAAATTGCTTGGCCATTAAGAGATCTACATTGACTGTTTAGACCGCACGGGGATGGGTTACATGCGTCGGTAGGTTCTAAAAAATGGGAAAATTATTAAAAGTTTTCTAGAAGGAAAGGCTAAGGTGCTTACCATTTTCCACCTTTCTGCAAATATAGAAAGGATCACCTACGAAATCTTGAATACAGGTACATGAAGGGATATGATTCAAGACAGAACATTCGGCATTTTGTCCACATATACCAGGGCAAGGATCTTTACATTTATTGTTTATGCAAGCTAAGTTCTTTAGACAGTCGTTATTTTGAACACACTCAGGTCTACATTGAATATAAGGGTCGCCTCGATACTCAGGTAGACATGAACAGATTCCGTTGTTGCATTGTGCATTAGGACCGCACGGTGAAGGGTTGCATGCGTCTTTAGGTACAGGGGGACCTATTCATTAAATAAATAGTTAAAAAATACTTCATGTATTAGTTAAAATTGATTATACTTGGTGGTTTTAAGTTGCAGTAACTAAATGGATCTCCAACATAACCATCCAAACAACTGCACATTGGGATGTGATTAACCACAGAACAAATCGCGTTGGCGCCACAGCTACCAGGACACGGATCTGTACATTTTTCTCTTATGCAAGCTAAATTACTGCTACAATCTGAGCTGATGACGCATTCAGGTCTACAGTTTGGTGGACTTCCAAAGTATCCTAACATGCAAGAACAAGATGGAATTCCTCCCAGATCACGGCATTGCGAGTGTGGACCACAAGGTGATGGTATGCAAGGATTTGGTGGACTTGGTATCACGGTTGGTGGTGCTATAAAAATATTTATGTAATGGTCATTTTTGATTTTTTTGTAAGGTCTTACGTATTGGTAAGCATCTTATGAATGGATCTCCTGTGTGGTTTATATCGCATGAACAAAGTGGGCTGTGATTAAATACTCGACATTTAGCATTGATTCCACATGCGCCAGGACAAGGATCAACACAGTGTCTGTTGATGCAGGCTTTATCGGTTGAACATTCAGTACTAACAGTACATTCGGGTCTACAACTTGGTGGGCTACCAATGTAGTCTTTAAGACAACTACAAACAGCGTTATTATTGATTAATCTACATTCGCTGTTTGGACCACACGGAGATGGGCTGCATAAGTTAATTGGTTTCGGTTCTTCTTCCCTAATAATGCTACAAATTCTAAATGGATCACCCGTATATCCTGCGTTACAACTACAAGATGGTAAATGATTGATAACTTGACAATAAGCGTTTTGGCCACAAGTTCCTGGACACGGATCTTGACATTTATTTCTAATACAGGCTTTATTGGGGGAGCAATCAGTGTTAATTGTACATTCAGGTCTACATCCAGCGTAAGGATCTCCAATATATTCGGATAAACACATACAAGAACCTACATTTCCTCTTTCTTTGCAAACTGCGTTAGCTCCACAGGGTGATGGTATACATGGAGTAACAAGTTCTGGTGGTTCTAAAATTATTTTGTTAGAAATATATGATATGAAAACTTATTATCTAACATACTTTCGATGACTCTACATCCACTAAACGGATCACCTTCAAAACCATCTTGACAACTACAAATCGGGGTGTGACTGACCACTCTACAAATTGCGCTTGGACCACAAACACCGGGGCATGGATCAACGCATTTTTGATTTCTACACGCTAAATGATTTGGACATTCATTATTGCTTACACATTCAGGTCTGCAATTTGGTGGCAATCCTAAAAGACCATCAAGACATTTGCATGCTGGTGGAGTAAGACTTCGATCACAAAATGAATTTGGACCACAGAATTTGCATGGGTCTGGTGTGGGTATTTCTTCAACTAAAAATTGGCGAATGTAAAATATAATGATATATAGAAATGGTTTAAATAATACCTATCAATGTACACCTGGTGAAAGGATTTCCAGTATATCTCGATGGACAACTACATACTGGATTATGGTTTATAACGTTACATAAAGCCTCAAATCCACAAGTACCAGGACAGGGATCTATACATTTTTGATTTACACAAGCTTCGTTTTGAGGACATTCCGAACTAGTTATACACTCGGGTCTGCAAGTCGGTGGGCTTCCTATATAATTTGGTAAACAAGAACAAACTGCTTGACTATTTATTTCTCTACATTGACTGTTTGGACCACACGGTGAAGGTGTACATGGTTTTTGAGGTAACTCAACTAAAAAAGGTGAATATGAATTTAAAGTTGTGAAATGAATTATGATGTAGATACCCTTGATGGGATTGCATACGACGAAAGCGTTTCCGGTGAAACCTTGCCTACAACTACACATTGGGATGTGATTGTACACAACACATTCTGCATTTTGGCCACAAGTTCCCGGGCATGGATCAACGCATTTATTTCTTATACATGATTTAGATTTCGAACAATCTGTGCTTAATATACATTCCGGTCTACACCCTTGGTATGGATCTCCTAAATATTCACTTAAGCAAGTACAAACACCATTGTTGCATTGAGCGTTTGCTCCGCACGGTGATGGATTACAAGGATCTTTTGGTAGTTCAGGTGCTAAAATGTTTTAATAAGTTTAAATTTTTTTGTATGAATACAAAATTCTTACGTGGTGGTGGTTTTGGATAACAATTACTAAATGGATCTCCTGTATAAGTATCGGGGCATGTACAAATTGGTATGTGATTAACCACAGAACAGGTAGCATATGAACCACATGATCCTGGGCAAGGATCTTTGCATTTTTGTTGTATGCACGCCAAAATGTTTGGACATTCATTATGGCTTGTACATTCCGGTCTACAATTTGGCGGTGACCCAATGAATTGGGGTAAGCAAGAACACGATGGAACGTTTCCAATTGGGCGACAAAGAGCATTTGGACCGCATGGTGATGGTACGCATGGATTAATCGGTTCACTCGGTGGTGTAACAGCTATAAAATGATTTGTAATAAATTTAAGATCGTCTAAGATTTTTATACTCTTACGTTTTTGTTGTAAGTAACATCTAGTAAATGGATCTCCAGTATAATCAGTAAGGCAACTACAAATTGGATTGTGATTATTAACGATGCACTGAGCTTGCAAACCGCAAGTTCCTGGACAAGGATCAACGCATTTTTGCTTAACACAAGCTTTGTTTAGAGCACATTCTGAACTTGATGTACATTCAGGTCTACAAGATGGAGGTGAGCCAATAAATTGAGGTAAACAAGAACATATGGCTTGTTGATTGAGTTCTTTGCATTGACTGTTTGGTCCGCAAGGTGATGGATTACATACATCAGGACGGGGAACTAATAAAAAAAAGATGATAAAAAGTTTCATAAGATTAATTTGCATTAAAATTAAAGCTTACTTTCTTCGGGAATTTTGCAAAATTGGAATGGATTGCCAATAAATCCTGGTTTACAATTACAAGTTGCAATATGATTTACAACTTGACAATCGGCGTTTTGGCCGCAAGTTCCAGGGCATGGATCCTTGCATTTATTTTGTAGGCAAGCTTTATTGTATGGACAGTCCGAATTTAAAACACATTCAGGTCTGCAACCTTCATAAGGATTTCCAATGTATTCTGGCAGACACATACAAGATCCCGCATTATTAGATTCTCTACAAATTGCGTTTGCACCACACGGAGATGGAGTACATGGATTGTGTTGTTCAAAAGCAGGTGGTGCTATAAAAAATTAATCCTTTATAAATCATTCATTTTATGATGGTGTATTTTTACCTGGTGGCATAGGTTGGCATGAAATAAACGGATTACCGACATAACCATCGTTGCAGACACAATTTGGAGTATGACTAACGACTCTGCATATAGCATTAACTCCACATGATCCAGGGCAAGGATCTTGACATTTTCTATTGATACAAGCAAGTTTTGTCTCACAATCACTATTACTGGTACATTCTGGTCTACAGTTCGGTGGAGCTCCTATAAATTCTGGGAGGCACGAGCATGATGGGGAATTATTGATTACTTTGCATTGTGCATTGAGACCACATGGTGAGGGTTGGCAAGGGTCTGTTGGTTTTGGTGGTTCTTTAGCTATAAATAAATATGTCAGATATTTTCTATAAAAAATAGATTTCGTCTCCTTACGAATTGGTAGACATCTACTAAACGGATCTCCAGTATAGGACTCTGGGCAACTACAAACCGGATTGTGATTAATTACTTGGCATCTAGCCCCAATACCACATGTTCCAGGACAAGGATCGATACATTTTTGGTTTACACAAGCCTGATTTAATTGACATTCTGAGCTAGTAACACATTCAGGTCTACAAGTTGGTGGACTTCCAATAAATCCAGGAACGCAAGAACAAATTGCTTGTTGATTAATCACTCTGCATTGACTGTTTGGACCACATGGAGAAGGTATGCATGGGTTTTGTGGTGATGTTACTAAAATATTGTAATTTTAGAAGATATTTCGATTTATATAATACTTGAGTACCTTCAGAAAGTTGGCATGCTACGAAAGCATTTCCCACATAATTCTTAATACAAGTACACATGGGAATGTGATTGATAACTTTACATTCTGCGTTGGTGCCACATGTTCCAGGACAAGGATCTTTACATTTATTTCTTAGACATGCTTTATCGTTAGGACAATCCGTATTTAAGATACATTCAGGTTTACATTCTCTGTAAGGATCTCCTTGATATTCGGGTAAACACGTACAAATTCCATTATTACATTGAGCGTTAGGTCCGCATGGTGAAGGATTGCAAGGATCAGTTTCTACAGCTATGTTTAAATATAAAAAAATAAATCTTGTTGTATTTAGTGTTTTCAAAGTAGACTTACGCGGAGGTGGTTTAGGTTTGCATTGTGTAAATGGATCGCCAATGTATCCACTGATACATACACAAGTTGCAATATGATTATTTACACTGCAATCCGCATTTAAGCCACAAAGTCCAGGGCAAGGATCTCTACATTTTTGGTTGATACAAACTAAGTTTGAAGTACAATCGGAGTTTGTTGTACATTCAGGTCTGCAGTTTGGAGGGCTTCCTAGATAAGTTGGTAGACAAGAGCAACTTGGTGTTCCACCGATATCTCTACATTCTGAGAAAGGTCCACATGGTGATGGTACACAAGGATTTGGCGGTATAGCCGGGTCTCTTGGTGGCGCTATATTATTGATAATGTTATAGTTAGCGAAAAGAAATTTTCAAGATTTTCAATATTTTCTTACGTGGTGGTATAGGGGTACAAATAGTGAATGGATCTCCAGTATGTGCGTCTTTGCAAGAACAAATTGGACTATGGTTGATGACTTGACATCTACTGTTGACGCCACAAGCTCCTGGACATGGATCTTTACATTTTTGATTAATACAAGCTTTGTCTAATGAACATTCTGAACTAATTGTGCATTCAGGTCGACAACTTGGTGGGGATCCTATAAATTCTGGGAGACAGGAACAAATTGCTTGGTTATTATTTTCTTTACATTGGCTATTTGGGCCGCAAGGCGTAGGTTGGCATGGATTTTTTTCTGGTTCCGGAGGTGATTCAACTTTTAAAGTACAGAAAGAGAATGGATTTCCGGTGTATCCTTGTAAGCAAATACACGATGGTAAATGGTTTAAAACGTGACATTGGGCATTTTGTCCGCAAGTTCCAGGACAAGGATCTTGGCACTTATTTCTTATACAAGCTTTGTTTGATGGACAATCAGTATTATAGATACATTCGGGTCTGCATCCTTCGTATGGATTTCCAATATATTCTGGAAGACATATACAGGCGCCAACACCATTTTGTTCCCTACATTGTGCATTGATTCCACATGGTGATGGCACGCATGGTGTTTGTGGTTCAGGTGTTACAATTGGTTTTTCTTCTACACATTGAATAAATGGATTTCCATTAAAGCCAGGAAGACAAATACAATTTGGCGTGTGAGTCACAACTCGACATTGCGCGTTTGAGCCACAAGTTCCAGGACAAGGATCGGCGCATTTCGTATTAATACAGGCTAAGTGATTGGGACATTCACTGTTACTGACGCATTCAGGACGACAATTTGGTGGCGACCCTATGAAAGTTGGTAGACATGAACAAGATGCTTGGTCATTGGTAACTTTACATTCTGAATTTGGACCGCAAGGCGATGGTTTACAAGGGTCAATAACTTCTACATCTTCTGAAATTGCATAATAAACTAGAAATAGATGTTATCATTATTGTAATTTTTAACATACGTGGAATAATTGTGCATTGCGTGAAGGGATCTCCACTGTATAAATTGAGACAAGTACAAATTGGATTATGATTGATAACGTGACATTCAGTGTTTAAGCCACAAGTTCCAGGACATGGATCGATACATTTTTGGTTTACACACGCTAAATTTAACGGGCATTCTGAGCTTGAAACGCATTCAGGTCTGCAAGTTGGTGGGCTTCCTATGTAACCAGCGACGCAAGCACAAACCGCCTGATTATTAACTTCTCTACATATACTGTTTGGTCCGCAAGGTGTTGGGTTACATGGATGTTGTTCAACTGGAGCTACAAGGTTATACTTTAGATTTGTATTTTACTTTTTATTACGTTAACTTACGCGGAATAGGTTTGCACAATACGAATGGGTTTCCACTGTAGCCAGGTTGACAAGAACACATTGCAATGTGATTAACTACATTACATTCAGCATTTTGGCCGCATGTACCAGGACAAGGGTCAGTACATTTGTTTTTAATACATGCTTTATTTCTTGAGCAGTCAGTGCTCAAAACGCATTCAGGTCTACATCCTGTGTATGGATCACCGAATTGATATTCGGGTAAACATGTACAAATTCCGTCTTTGCATTGAGCGTTTGTACCACACGGGTTTGGGTTGCATAAATCTTGTGGTTTTGGCGCTATAAAATGTTTTTAAATAGGACATGTTTTAATTTATAAAACTCAACTTACGTTCTACTGGTTCAGGATAACAATTGGTGAATGGATTTCCTGTAAATTTCGATGGACAAACACAAATTGGGGTATGATTTATAACTGAACATTGTGCAGAAATTCCGCAAGATCCAGGACAAGGATCAACACATTTTTCTCTTATGCACGCTTTATTACTAGAGCATTCTTCGTTTGTAGTACATTCGGGTTTACAATTTGGCGGTGTTCCGGAGTAACCAATGAGACAAGAGCAGGATGGATTGCCGCCAATGTCTCTGCATTCTGAGTATGGTCCGCAGGGTGATGGGAAACATGGGTTTGGAGTTGGTTTGTCTTCGGGTGGTTCTACAAAAAATTTTTGTATTTTTAAAATTTTAAATGTTTTTCGTTAGTCTTACTTGGAATGAGAGAACATCTAGTAAATGGATCTCCTGTATGTCCAGGATTGCAAGAGCATATTGGATTGTGGCTGACCACTTTGCAAAGTGCGTTTATGCCACACGTTCCTGGACAAGGATCTTTACATTTTTGGTTTACGCAGGCCAAATGTAGTGGACATTCTGAACTTATTACACATTCAGGTCTACAACTGGGTGGAGTTCCTATGTAATCTATTAAGCAAGAGCATACTGCTTGACCGTTAATTTCGCGACATTGGCTATTAGGACCACAAGGCGATGGGCTGCAAGGGTTCTTTGGTTCCTCTGGTGGTTCTAATATTAAGTTTAAATTAATAAATCATTTGAATAATAAGTAATTTGAAAACTTACTATAAGGTATAATATTGCAAAATATAAATGGATTTCCTGTGTATCCTGAGCGACAAACACAAGACGGTAAATGATTGATTACTTGGCAATCTGCGTTTTGACCGCACGTGCCAGGGCAAGGATCTTGACATTTATTTTTCATACAGGCTTTATTTGATGGACAATCTGAGTTTAGGATACACTCAGGGCGACAACCTTCATAAGGATTTCCATAGAATTCTGATTCGCAGATACAAGCACCTGCGCCATTTTGTTCTCTGCATATTGCATTGATACCACAAGGCGATGGAAGGCATGGTGTGGTTTGTATTGGTTCAGCAGCTAATAAATAGTTATTTTAGCGATAATAAGGTTGAAGTCATTTTGTATACATACGTTTTGGAGTACAGAAAACAAAAGGATCTCCAATATAATTTTCCAGGCAGACACAATTTGGCGTGTGACTAACCACGCGACATTGAGCATTTTGTCCACAAGTATCCGGACATGGATCTTTACATTTATTATTTATACATGCGAGATTGTTACTGCATTCGCTATTACTGGCACATTCAGGTCTACAATTGGGAGGTGAACCTATAAATTCTGGTAAGCAAGAACAGGAAGGCGAATCGTTAAGTGGTCTACACTCAGCGTTAGGACCGCAAGGAGATGGTTGACAAGGGTTTTCTGGTATATTTGGTGGTTCTTCTATTATCTGTAAACAACGTATAAATGGATCGCCAGTAAATTGATTAGGACAACTGCAAATAGGATTATGATTGACTACGTGGCAAAGAGCTGATATGCCACATGTTCCTGGACATGGATCTATGCATTTTTGATTGTTACATGCTTGACTTTGCAAGCATTCGGAACTAGTTGTACATTCTGGTCGACAAGTAGGTGGGCTTCCTATGTACGAAGGTATGCACGAGCATACAGCTTGACCATTAATTTCTTTGCATTGACTGTACGAACCACAAGGAGAAGGATTACATGGGTTTGGTTTTATGGGGGCTAAAACAACTAAATTAGATTCATTTAAAAGATTTTGCTCACATAACATACGTGGTATCGGTGTGCATAATACAAACGGACTTCCGGTAAAACCTGGGCTACAAGAACACATTGGAATGTGATTGATTACGTTACAGACAGCATTTTGACCGCATGTTCCTGGACAAGGATTAACACACTTGTTTCTAATGCATGCTTTGTCTTTTTCACAATCTGTGTTCAGGACGCATTCTGGTCTACATTCTCTATAAGGATCTCCATGATATTCTGGGATACAAGTACAAATTCCATTATTGCATTGAGCATTGGGTCCACAAGGCGATGGATTGCAAGGATCTGGTATATCTTCCACTAAAGAATAGGCACAATTAGTAATATGATCAATAGTGATGATACTGAATTTCTTACTGGGTGGTTTTAAATAACAATTTGCAAATGGATCTCCAGTGTAACTTTCGGGACAAGTACAGCTTGGAATATGGTTGATTACTTTACATTGAGCATTTGTGCCACAAGACCCAGGGCAAGGATCTCTACATTTTTGGTTAATACATGCCAAATTACTGGTACATTCTGAGTTTATGGTACATTCTGGGCGGCAGTTTGGTGGTGAACCTATAAATTCTGGCAGGCAAGAGCATGACGGGGTACCTCCAATATTTCTACATTGAGCATTTGAACCACAAGGGCTTGGAACACATGGATCGGTAGGCAGTGGGGCTGGCAGTGATGGAAGTGCTGTATAAAAATTGTAAAAGTAAGAAATTAAAAAATAAAAACAAAAACGTATAACAGTTTAACTTACGAGGTATTGGGTAGCACCTAGTGAAAGGATCTCCGGTATGTCGGCTATTACAAGTACATATAGGGCTGTGATTTATCACTTGACATTGTGTGTTTATTCCACACACACCGGGACAAGGATCGACGCATTTTTGGTTTATGCAAGCTTTGTCAAAGGAACATTCGCTACTAACAGTACATTCGGGTCTACAATTTGGTGGGCTACCGATGTAATTAGCCAGACAAGAGCAGACAGCTTGTTTGTTTACTTCTTTACACTGACTGTTTGGACCGCAAGGTGAGGGATTACATACATCTCGAGGAATATCTTCAGTGGCTACCAAAAGAAGTTTTTTTATTGCCATGTTTTAAGAAAAAGAAAATGTGTTTATCTTACGTGGTGGAAGTGGGTTGCAATATTGGAATGGATTTCCGGTAAATCCAGCGCGACAAGTGCACGTAGGAAGATGAGCTATAACTTGACAATCCGCATTTTGGCCGCAAGTGCCAGGACAAGGGTCTTGGCACTTATTTCGAATACATGCTCTATTTGAAGGACAATCAGAGTTTTGGATACATTCGGGCCTACAACCTTCATAGGGATTTCCAATATGTTCGGGTAGACACGAACATGACCCTGCGCCGTTTTGTTCTCTACAAACAGCATTTGCTCCACAGGGGGAAGGAACACAAGGATTTATAACTTCAGTGGGTGGCTCAGCTGTAGAGATTCAAATTGTAAGTTTATTTTACAGTAAATATTTGTGGTTAAAAACTTATCTATAACATCATATTTTAATGATCTTGAAGATAAGTTTTATTTATGGGATATGCAATCATTATAATTATACGTTACGTACATTGTGGAAGTTCGCAGTTTGTAAATGGACTTCCTATATAACCTTGGAGACACGCACAGTTTGGAGAGTGACTAACCACCCTACAGTTGGCGTTAGTACCACAGGCTCCTGGGCAAGGGTCGGCGCATTTTTGGTTTATACACGCTAAATGATTGGGACATTCGCTATTGCTAATACATTCCGGGCGGCAATTAGGGGGAGATCCTACGTAATTTGCCAAACATGAACACGAAGGGCTTTCGCCGGAAACTTTGCATTCGGAATAAGGTCCGCATGGTGACGGTTGGCAAGGATTAATTGGCGGACGAATGTCGTCTTGTTCTAAAAGGTAAGTTTATAAATAAGTATTGTATTGTATATGTTGTTTTTCGCAGCTTACGTGGTAAACACCTAGTAAATGGATCTCCTGTATATCGTGGGGGACACGAACATATTGGGTTATGATTTATAACATTACAGATAGCACTAAATCCACATGTACCTGGACATGGGTCTATACATTTTTGATTAGCGCACGCTTTATTTAAGGGACATTCTGAGCTTGTTACGCATTCAGGTCTACAAGTTGGTGGGCTTCCTATAAATCCAGGTACACACGAACAAACTGCTTGACCATTAATTTCTCTACATTGACTGTTTGGACCACAAGGTGATGGAACACATGGATTTACAACTTGTGGTGCTAAAATGTTATTAAATGATAAATCAGCAGGTTAAACTAATAGTTTAGAATTATTTGTAAACGTACGCGTGAATGGATGACATGCAACAAAAGCATTTCCAGAGTACTCTTCTGGGCATGAACACATTGGAATATGATTTATCACAGAGCACAGAGCATTGCTTCCGCAAGTTCCCGGGCAGGGATCAACGCATTTATTACGTATACAAGCTTTATTTTTAGGACAGTCGATACTCAAAAGACATTCTGGTCTGCATTCTCTGTAAGGGTCTCCTTGGTATTCTGGTATACAAGTGCAAATGCCTTGATTACATTGAGCATTTGGTCCACAAGGTGATGGATTACATGGATCCTTAATGGGTTCTTCGACCACAGGTGGTTTTGCGAAACAGTTGACAAATGGATCACCGGTATATTGCTCAGGACACGTACATGTTGGGTTGTGATTGATAACACTACATAAAGCATTGGTCCCACAGGATCCAGGACAAGGATCTGTACATTTTTCTCTAATACAAGCCAAATTGCTGGTGCATTCGGAATTGATAACACATTCAGGTCGACAATTAGGTGGAGTTCCAAAATAATTAGGTAAACATGAACAAGATGGCAAGTTTTGTATGTTCCTACATTCTGAATTCGGTCCGCAAGGCGATGGTATACAGGGATCCCTAATAGGTGAGACAATAGAAATTGATGGTGCTGAAAATATAATTCATGAGTAAGTTTTTCAACAAAATCTTTTGACATTCGATCATCTTACGTGGTTGGTAACATCTAGTAAACGGATCTCCTGTAAATCCGGGAGAACAAGAACAAATTGGACTATGATTAATGACTGTGCATTCGGTATTTAATCCGCAAGTTCCAGGACACGGATCACTACATTTTTGGTTAACGCATGCTTTATTTTGTGCACATTCTGAACTAACGGTACACTCTGGTCTACAACCAGGTGGCGTTCCTATGTAATTTGGTAAACAAGAACATACAGCTTGTTGGTTAACTTCTCTACACTGACTGTTTGGACCACAAGGTGAGGGATTGCATACATTAATTGGTTTTGGTTGTTCTTCCTGTCGGATGATGTTACAATATCTAAATGGATCACCGGTGTAACCAGAAATGCAAGTGCAAGATGGTAAATGGTTAATAACTTGACATTGCGCATTTTGTCCACATGTTCCTGGACATGGATCTTGACATTTACTTCTCACACATGCTTTATTTGAAGGACAATCAGAATTAATTACACATTCAGGTCTGCATCCTTCGTAAGGATTTCCTATAAATTCTGGAAGGCAACTGCATGCACCTGCCCCATTGCGTTCTTTGCAAATTGCGTTACTTCCGCAAGGTGATGGATTACATGGTGAAATGTTTTCGATTGGTTTGACAATTTCTTGCGTACACTGTACGAATGGATTTCCAATGAATCCTGATAAACAGAAACAGTTTGGTGCATGGCTAACAGCACGACATTCTGCGTTTGCACCGCAGACCCCTGGACAAGGATCTTTGCATTTTTGGTTGATACATGCAAGATTAAAGGAACAATCGCTATTACTGATACATTCTGGTCTACAATTTGGAGGAGATCCAATAAAGCTTGGTAAACAAGAACATGAAGGAGATTCGCCTGTAACTCTGCATTCTGAGTTTGGACCGCATGGAGATGGTTGACAATGATTGATAGCTACAGGAGGTTCAGCCGCTAAAAATAATATTTTCTTTTGATTCAATGAACTTATGCTTAAACTAAATGACTTACGGATGGGGGTACATCTTACAAATGGATCACCAGAATATCTTGGGGGGCAACTACAAATTGGGCTGTGATTTACAACTTGACATTTGGCTCCTACTCCACATGATCCTGGACAAGGATCAACACATTTCTGATTTACACAGGCTTCTGATGGTATACAATCGGAACTTAAAATGCACTCTGGTCGGCAAGTTGGAGGGCTACCGATATAACCAATAATACAAGAACATACTGCTTGACCGTTAATTTCACGACATTGACTATTCGGTCCACACGGAGACGGGTTGCATGGGTTCTCAATAATTTTATCTGGAATATTATTACATTGTACGAATGCATTTCCGCTGAATCCTTGTAGACAAGAACACATTGGTATATGATTTATAACGGAACATTCAGCGTTCACTCCACACGTTCCGGGACAAGGATCTATACATTTTTTTCGAATACAAGCCAAACTTTTTGGACAGTCTGTATTTAAGACACATTCTGGTCGACATCCTGTATATGGATCCCCTTTGTATTCAGTTAAGCAAGTGCAGATTCCGTTGTTGCATTCGGCATTTGGTCCACAAGGCGTTGGGTTGCAGGGATCTTTTTCAACTATTGGAATCTCAGGAGGTTTTGGGAAACAATTTGTAAACGGATCACCAGTGAATCCATCTGGACATGTGCAAATTGGTATATGATTTATTACTGAGCAGTGAGCATTAGATCCGCATGATCCTGGACAAGGATCTCTGCATTTTTCTGTAATACAGGCCATATTGCTTGAACAATCGCTATTTATTGTGCATTCTGGTCTACAATTTGGTGGACTTCCTATGTAATTTAATAAACAAGAGCAACTTGGTGATCCACCAATATCACGGCATTCAGAATAAGGACCGCAAGGGTACGGTACACAAGGATTAACAACAACGGGTTGTAGTGGTTCTTTCATTGGGGCTACAATAAAATAATTTAAGAATAATGTAATTTTAAAAATGTTTTGCTAGGCTTACGTGGAATTGAGTAACATCTGGTGAATGGATCTCCAGTATATCTAGTTATACAAGAACATATTGGGTTGTGGTTGATGACTTGGCAGTTGCTATTAAGGCCGCAAGTTCCAGGGCATGGATCAGTACACTTTTGATTTACACACGCTTTATTTAGTGGACATTCGGAACTAACTGTGCATTCAGGTCTACATCCGGGTGGAGTTCCAATATAGTTAGGTAAACAGGAACAAACTGCTTGCTGGTTAATTTCTCTACATTGACTATTGGGTCCACACGGTGATGGATTACAAGGGTTTTTCGGAATTTCATCTTTAACAATTTCTAGAATTCTGCAATAATTAAATGGATCTCCTGTGTAACCTGAGTTACAACTACATGATGGTAGATGGTTAATGACTTGACAGTTAGCATTTTGCCCACATGTTCCTGGACATGGATCTTTGCATTTACTTGAAAGACATGCTTTGTTTGATGGACAATCCGAATTTAAAATACATTCTGGTCTACAACCTTCATAAGGATTTCCGATATAATCCGGTAAACATGTACAAGATCCCGCTCTATTTTGTTCTTTACAAATAGCATTTGCACCGCACGGAGATGGAATACAAGGTGAAATGATTTCAGGTACCAAAGCGATGGCGTTACATCCCGAAAACGGATCACCAGTAAAGCCGGTAAGACAAACGCAGTTTGGAGTGTGACTTATTACTCTGCATTCTGCGTTATTTCCACATGAACCAGGGCAAGGATCTCTACATTTTTGATTTATACATGCTAAACTTGATGAACATTCGCTGTTACTTATACATTCTGGTCTGCAATTCGGTGGAGATCCAATGAAGCTTGTTAAGCAAGAACAAGAAGGAGAACCATTCTTTTCTAGACATTGTGAATTGGGACCGCAAGGTGAAGGCACACATGGGTTGACGGGTGTTACGTACTCTTCAACTATTTCTATAAATGTAATTAGTTTAATAACAGTTTAAATTTTTTTTTGGGGACTCTTACGAATTTGGCATCTAATAAATGGATCTCCGGTATGTCCAGAAGGACAGCTGCATATTGGGTTATGATTAACCACTTGACAGATTGCTAAAATTCCACATGTTCCCGGACATGGATCAATACATTTTTGATTTACGCAAGATTGAGCTAAACTGCATTCTGAACTACTGATACATTCCGGTCTGCAAGTTGGTGGACTTCCTAGATAGCCAGGTACACAAGAGCAAACTGCTTGTCCATTGAAAGCTCTACATTGACTATTAGGTCCACATGGAGATGGGTTACAAGGATTTGTTGGTGTAGATTCTACAATGTATATATGTTAGATTTGTAATGTAATAAGATTTCTTTTTCGCGTTACCTGGAATTGGGGAACATAAAACAAATGCATTTCCAGCAAAACCTTGCTGACAACTACAAATGGGAATATGATTTAATACTCTGCATTCAGAAGATTTCTTTTTCGCGTTACCTGGAATTGGGGAACATAAAACAAATGCATTTCCAGCAAAACCTTTCTGACAACTACAAATGGGAATATGATTTAGTACTGTACAAATTGCGTTTTGTCCACAAGTTCCTGGGCAAGGATCTATACATTTATTTCTAGCACAAGCCTTGTCTTTAGGACAATCACTGCTCATTACACATTCTGGTCTACATCCTTGATAAGGATCTCCTTGAAATTCATTAACACAAGTACATATTCCTTCCCTACATATTGCATTAGAACCACACGGTGAGGGGTTACATGGATCTTTAATTGGTACTGTTTCAGCTATGAAAATTTCGATATTATTAAATAAATAAGTTTTGTAATAAATTATCTTACGTGGTTTGGGGAGGCAACTGGTAAAAGGATCTCCTATATATCCTTCGAAACATGTGCACATAGGGATATGATTTAAAACATTACATTGAGTGTTGGTTCCACAGGAGCCAGGGCAAGGGTCAGCACATTTTTCTCTAATACAAGCTAAATGACTAGCGCATTCGTAATTTGCAATACATTCTGGTCTACAATTGGGAGGTGATCCTATATAGTTAATCAAACATGAGCATGATGGTGATCCACCAACGTTTCTGCACTCAGCGTGCAAACCACAAGGTGATAACATACAGGGATCCGTTATGGGTTCAAACTGAATTGGTGGCGGTAAAGCAGCTGAAAAGATTTTAAATATTATTTTATATTGGGTGAAATGAAACTGAGTGAAACTTACGGGGAATTGGATAACATCTAACAAATGGATCGCCGGTGTGTCCAGAATTGCAAGAACATATGGAATTATGATTAATTACGTTGCAAATAGCATTTAAGCCACATGTACCAGGACATGGGTCACTACATTTCTGACTAATACATGCTTTATTTAGATTACATTCCGCGCTTGTAATACATTCTGGTCTACATGATGGTGGGGTTCCTATATAAGTTGGTAAACAGGAACAAACCGCTTGCTGATTAACTGTTCTACACTGACTATTTGGTCCGCAAGGTGAAGGATTGCAAACATCAATTGGCTTAGTAGGTTCTTCTTCTCTTATTATATTACAAAATTGTAAGGGATTTCCCGTGTAACCAGGTAAACAATTACAAGTTGGAATGTGGTTCTTAGTATAACAGTTTGCATTTTGTCCACATGTTCCTGGACAAGGATCTTCACATTTATTTCTTATACAAGCTTTATTTTGTGGGCAATCTGTATTAAGAGTACATTCAGGTCTACATCCTTCATAAGGATTTCCAATGTATTCTGGTAAACACATACAAGATCCCGCTCCGTTGCGTTCTTTGCATATAGCATTTGTGCCACAAGGTGTAGGTAAACAGGGATTAGTGAGATCTTGAATTGGCGGTGGTTGATATAGTTGGCATTGCGCGAAAGGATTTCCTGTGTAACCGTTTAAGCATACACAATTTGGTGTATGGCTCACAACACGACATTCAGCATTTGATCCACATGTTCCTGGGCAAGGATCACTACATTTTTGATTTACGCATGCTAAATGAGTTGGACATTCAGAATTACTAATACATTCAGGTTTGCAATATGGAGGTGAACCGACGAAATTTGGAAGACAAGAACATGATGGTGATTCGCCTGATATTCGGCATTCTGCATTTGGACCACACGGTGAAGGCTCGCATAAATTCACTGGTTTCAGTTCTTCTTGTTGTATAATTTGACACCGCACGAAGGGATCACCTGTGTAGCTGGGTGGGCAAGAACAGATAGGATTATGATTTACAACGTTACACAATGCACTAAGGCCGCAAGTTCCGGGACATGGATCAATACATTTCATATTTGAGCAAGCTTGTGTAAGTGGACATTCCGAGCTTGTAACACATTCTGGTCTGCAAGTCGGAGGAATTCCTATGTAACTAGGAACGCAAGAGCAAACAGCTTGACCGTTAATTTCTCTACATTGGCTATTCGGTCCGCACGGAGATGGGTTGCACGGATTAGTTTCAATTGGTTCTAAAATGAAAAAGGAGTACAGTTTGTTATATGATTCTGATTGATATATATTTACTCTCAGTAATTCTGCAGCTAACAAAGGCGTTTCCAGTGTAACCTTGTGGACAGCTACACATGGGAATATGATTTATAACGCTGCATTCAGCGTATTGACCGCAAGTTCCTATACAAGGATCTACACATTTATTTCTTATGCAAGACTTATCTTTGAAACAATCTGTGCTTAGAACACATTCAGGGCGGCAACCTGTGTAAGGGTCTCCTTGATATTCTGGTAAGCATGTACAAATTCCTTTGGTACAGTGAGTGTTAGAACCACATGGTGATGGATTACAAGGGTCATCTTCTATAATTACTGGAGCTATAAGTAAAACATTAAAGTAGAGGTTTTGTTTTCGAAAATAACATAAATGAATAATTACGTACGTGGTTTAGGGTAACAGTTGTTAAATGGATCTCCAGTATAACTTTCAGGGCATGTACAAATTGGAATGTGATTTATAACATTGCATACTGCAGTTGAACCACATGAACCAGGACATGGGTCGATACATTTTTCTCTTATACAAGCCATGTTACTGGAGCATTGAGAATTAATGGTACATTCTGGTCTACAATTTGGAGGAGTTCCAATATATGTCGGTAAACATGAACAACTAGACAATCCATTGTTGTTTCTACATTCGGAATATTGGCCGCATGGTGATGGAACGCAAGGATCTATTACAATGGGCGCCAGTGGAGGGGGTGTAATTTCGATGATGTGACAACGAACAAATGGATCTCCTGTATATCCTGAATCACAGGAACATATTGGGCTATGGTTGATTACTTGACATTTTGCATTTAATCCGCAAGAACTTGGGCATGGATCAACGCATTTTTGATTTATACACGCTTTATTTAGGGGACATTCACTGCTAAGTACGCATTCAGGTCGGCAACCAGGTGGACTGCCTATGTAATTTGGTAAACAGGAGCAAACTGCCTGTTGATTGATTTCTCTGCATTGGCTGTTTGGACCACATGGTGATGGATTACATGGATTTATCGGCTTTTCATCCTGTTCAACTTCAGGTATCCTGCAATATCTAAATGGATCTCCAGTGTAGCTAGGGAAACAAGTACAGGTTGGAAGATGATTAATAACTTGACAATTAGCGTTTTGTCCACATGTTCCCGGACAAGGATCTTTGCATTTGCTGTTTATACAAGCTAAATGAGAAGCACAATCGGAATTTAAAGAGCATTCTGGTCTGCAGCCCTCATATGGATTTCCAATGTATTCCGGGAAACATATACAGGCACCTGCATTCTTCTGTTCGACACATCTTGCATTAACACCACAAGGCGAAGGTGTGCAAGGTGTGTTTATAGCGGCAGATACTAAAATAGTGAAAATATTATTATGAGGGAAATGTCTACTGTAGCATAAAACCTTACTTTCTGGCAATTTACATTCTCTAAATGGATCTCCGTTATAACCTGATATACAAACGCAATTTGGTGAGTGGCTAATAACTTTGCATTCAGCATTTAAGCCACATATACCCGGGCAAGGATCTTTACATTTTTTATTAATGCAAGCCAAGTTCACAGGACATTCAGAATTGCTAACACATTCGGGCTTACAAAATGGTGGTGTTCCTATAAATTCTGGTAAACAAGTACACGATGGAAGATCATTTATTTTTTTGCATTGTGAATTTGGACCACAAGGTGTTGGTGGGCCACATGGATCTTCTATTTCTGGTTTTATTTGTATTACTAAGCATCTTATGAATGGATCTCCAGTGTATTTAGGCGGACAACTGCATATTGGATTATGATTGACTACTGCACAGATTGCAGTTATGCCACAAGTGCCTGGGCAGGGGTCGATACATTTTTGATTAACACATGCTTGATTTAAAGCACACTCGGAGCTGGTGACGCATTCTGGTCGACAAGTTGGCGGAGTACCTATAAAACCTTGGACGCAAGTACAAACCGCATGACTGTTAATTTCTCTACATTGACTGTTTGGTCCACAAGGTGATGGATTACATGGATGTATTACATCCGGTTCTTAAAATAATAAATAAATCAATATCACCTTCGGAACAGTAATTTTAAAGTTTTTACCTCTAACAGGGGAACATAAAATGAAGGCATTTCCAGAATGGTTTGGTAAACAGGTGCACATCGGTATATGATTAATTACTGAACATTGAGCGTTTTGTCCACAAGTTCCTGGACAAGGATCAACACATTTATTTCTGATACACGCTTTGTTTTTAGGACAATCTGAATTAAGAACACATTCTGGTCTACATCCTCTATAAGGATCTCCTTGATATTCTGGTAAACATGTACAGACGCCATTCGAACATAGCGCATTAGGTCCACAGGGCGAGGGATTGCAAGGGTCTGTTTCGACAGGTTTTGGTGCTATAAAATAAGTGCTATATAGTTTTACAACAAGATATTTACTGAATCCCTTACGTGGTGGGGGTTTGGGATAACAGTTGGTGAATGGATCTCCGGTGTAATCATCGAGACACGTACAAATTGGAGTATGGTTGATTACACTACATTTTGCATTATTTCCACACGATCCTGGACAAGGATCCATACATTTTTCTCTAATACAGGCCAAGTTACTTGAACATTCTGGGTTAATGGTACATTCGGGTTTGCAATTGGGAGGACTTCCTATATAATTTGAAAGGCAAGAACACGAAGGAGAAGATCCTACTGCACGACACTCTGAATTTGGACCGCAAGGTGACGGTACACAAGGATTTACATAATCTAATTGTGGCGTTGGTGGCGGAGCTAGAATATATACATAAATATAAGATAATAGAATAAATATTTTTTTGTGTATAGGGTCTCTTACGTGGTATTGGGTAACATCTTGTAAATGGATCTCCGGTATAACCAGACTGGCAGGAACATATTGGACTATGATTAATTACTTGACACTTAGCTTGTATGCCACAAGTTCCTGGGCATGGATCGATACATTTTTGTTTAATACAAGCGTTATTTTGTGGACATTCAGAACTGACTGTACATTCGGGTCTACATCCAGGGGGGGTTCCAATGTAATTTGGCAAACAAGAGCATACTGCTTGTTGATTAACTTCTCTGCATTGACTATTTGAGCCGCAAGGTGATGGATTACAAACATTAATTGGTTTAGGTGGTTCTTCGTGTCGAATTATATTACAATATCTGAACGGATCTCCAGTGTAACCAGATATACAAGTACAAGATGGAAGATGGGTGATAACTTGACATTGAGCGTTCTGTCCACAGGTTCCGGGGCAAGGATCCTTACATTTACTATTTATACAAGCCAGTTGGGCGGGGCAGTCTGAGTTTAATACGCATTCTGGGCGACAACCTTCATATGGATTTCCAATATATTCTGGTAAACACAAGCATGCGCCAGCTTTATTTTGTTCTCTACATATGGCATTTGATCCACATGGAGATGGTTCGCATGGTGATTTGATTTCATCCAACACTACAGGTGGGGGGATTTCGGAACAAAATCCAAATGGATTTCCGGTAAATCCATTTTTACAGGAACATATTGGTGAATGACTAAGTACATGGCATTCGGCATTTGTTGCACACACCCCTGGGCATGGGTCTGAGCACTTTTGATTTATACAGGCTAAATGACTAGAACATTCGCTGTTGCTGATACATTCTGGGCGGCAATTTGGTGGAGAACCAATAAAGTTAATTAGACAAGAGCATGAAGGCGATCCTCTAATTTCTCTGCATTCAGAATTTGGACCACAAGGTGATGGTTGGCATGGGTTTATTGGTTCTGGAGGACTTTCAGCTAAAAAAAACTAGGTAAAAAAAGAATTTGTTTGGATTTAAAATTATCTTACGTATTAAGAGACATCTCACAAATGGATCTCCAGTAAAACCTGAACTACAACTACAAATGGGATTATGATTTACCACTTGGCATTTGGCATTTAAGCCACATGTTCCAGGGCATGGGTCGATACATTTTTGGTTTACACATGCTTGGTTCAAAGCACATTCTGGACTAGAAACACACTCTGGTCTACAGGTGGGTGGGTTTCCTATAAAACCAGGCACGCAAGAACAAACAGCCTGACTATTAATTTCTCTACATTGACTATTTGGTCCACAAGGTGAAGGATTGCATGGGCGTTGAATAAGTTTTGCTAAAATAAAGGTGCAATGAAAACAGTGTTTATAAACATAAAAATCACGTACGTGGAAGTGTACTACAAGATACAAATGCATTTCCGGTGAAATCCGGGGGACAACTACACATTGGAATATGATTTATTACTGAACATAACGCATTTTGCCCGCAAGTTCCTGGACAAGGATCGACACATTTATGTCTTATGCAGGCTTTATTTTTTTGACAATCAGTACTGAGAACACATTCGGGTCTGCATTCGCTATATGGGTCCCCATGGTACTCTGCAATACAGGAGCAAATTCCATTGTTGCAATTTGCGTTAGGTCCACAAGGGGATGGATTGCAAGGGTCGCTTATTGGTGGTTGAGTCGCTGAAATGTAAATTTAAGTTTTTTTCGATAAACGATAATAAAAGATCTTACGTTGTGGGGGTTTGGGATAGCAGTTAACAAAAGGATCACCAGTGAATCCTTCCGGGCATGTACATATTGGAATATATGCTACAACTGAACATTGAGCATTTGCTCCACATGATCCTGGACATGGATCCCGACATTTTTCTCGGATACATGCTAAGTTACTGGTACATTCGGAGTTAATAGTACATTCTGGTCGACAGTTTGGAGGGGTGCCAATATAACCAGGCGTACAAGAACAGCTGGGTGAACCACCTATATCTCTACATTCTGAATATAACCCGCAAGGAGATGGTAGACAGGGATTAACGATATCTTCCACAATTGAAGGGGAAGGTGCTAAAATTATTTTGATTGACTTATAAAGCAAACGATCCAATAAATAAACTTTTACCTGGAATAGGATAACATCTTGTAAATGGATCACCTGTGTGTCCAATATTACATGAGCAAATTGGACTATGATTGCGTACTCTACAAAGTGAATTAAGACCACATGTTCCAGGACATGGATCCACACATTTCTGGTTGAGACAAGCTTGTTCTTGAGAACACTCTGAACTAACGGTACATTCTGGTCTACATCCAGGTGGACTTCCAATATAATTAGGTAAACAAGAACACACTCCTTGTTGATTAACTTCTCTGCATTGACTATTTGGACCACAAGGTGAAGGATTGCAAACATTGATTGGTTTTGGCTGTTCTTCGTGACGAATAATGTTGCAATATTTAAATGGGTCACCGGTGTAACCAACAATGCAAGTGCAAGATGGTAAATGGTTAATAACTTGGCATTGAGCGTTTTGTCCACAAGTGCCTGGGCACGGATCTTGACATTTGCTTTTCACACATGCTTTATTTGAAGGACAATCAGAATTGATTACACACTCAGGTCTACAACCTTCGTAAGGGTTTCCTATAAATTCTGGCTGACAACTACATGCGCCTGCACCATTGCGTTCTTTACAGATTGCGTTACTTCCGCACGGAGAGGGGTTGCATGGGTTTCGAATTTCTTCTTTAAGTGGTAAAGCTAAGTTGCATTGGACAAACGGATTACCTGAATAGCCATTATTACAAATACAGTTTGGAACATGATTCACTACACGGCATTCCGCGTTTTCTCCGCATATACCAGGACAGGGGTCTTTACATTTCTGATTTATACAAGCTTGATTGAAGGAACATTCGCTATTACTTATACATTCTGGTCTGCAATTTGGTGGTACGCCAACGAATTCTGGTAGACATGAACACGATGGAGAAGATCCTGCTACTTTACATTGAGAATTAGGCCCACATGGGGATGGTTCACAAGGGTTTATTGGTTCTGGAGGAAGTGCAGCTAAAAATTATATATAACTGTAATATGGCGGCAAACTTGGTGGTAAGTTTAATTCTTACGCAATTCTAGACATCTAACAAATGGATCACCAGTAAGTTTTGGTGGACAGGAACAAATTGGATTATGATTTATTACTTGACATAGAGCACCGATTCCGCACGTGCCAGAGCATGGATTTTGACATTTTTGATTTATGCAAGCCTCAATTAACGAACATTCCGAGCTTGTTATACATTCTGGTCTACATGATGGTGGACTACCGATATACCCGACCAAGCAGGAGCAAACTGCTTGATTATTAAATTCTCTACATTGACTGTTAGGTCCACATGGTGAAGGCAAACATGGTCGTTGTATTGTTGGTTCTGAAAGATTGATTGACAAATTTCGTTGTCAATATTTTGGCAATATAATGAATAGTTAACCTACTTTCTATTGGTCTGCACGATATAAACGCATTTCCAGCAAAACCTGTAGGGCAAGTACACATTGGAACATGGGTAACAACATTGCAATCAGCATTTTGACCGCAAGTTCCTGGGCAAGGATCAACACACTTATTTTTAATACAAGCTTTAGTTAAAGGACAGTCGTTATTAAGGACACATTCCGGTCTGCATCCTTGATATGGATCACCTTGGAATTCAGGTAAACATGAACATATTCCATTGTTACACCTGGCATTAGATCCACAGGGGTTTGGACTACAGGGGTCGTTTGGTTTAGGCGGTACTACAAAATAATTTTATATCACATAAGGATTTGTAATTCTCATCAATATCTTACGTTCTGGTGGTTTAGGAATACAATTACTAAATGGATCTCCTGTGAAACCTTCTGAGCAACTACATATAGGAATATGGTTTATAACAGTACAAAGTGCATTGACTCCACAAGATCCTTGACAAGGATCGGAACATTTTTGTTTTATACAGGCTAGTATACTGGTACATTCAGAATTTATGGTACACTCAGGTCTACAGTTCGGTGGTATTCCTAGGTATCCTACATTGCAAGAGCATGATGGACTATTTTGAATATTTCTACATTCTGAATAAGGTCCACATGGTGATGGTATACAGGGGTCAAGGATTTGTTCTTCGTATTTTGGCGGAGGAGCTGCAACATATTTTTATTGTGAATAGTAGTGTTAGAGAAGCAGCTCGGGTTATGTATAAAATACAATAAGGCATATCAAATTTACCTAATTTTGCTAAAAAAGGCATTTTAATTGAATAAGTTAAATATAAGCCACTAGCATCTTTGTTTGACTTACGTGGTATGTGCATACATCTAATGAATGGGTCACCGGTGTATCCGGGTCTGCAAGAGCATATAGGACTATGATTTATGACATTACAATAAGCTTGTATTCCACAAGATCCAGGGCAAGGGTCAATACATTTATGACGAACACATGCTTTGTCAAACGGACATTCCGTGCTCATGGTACATTCTGGTCTACATGATGGTGGGGCTCCGGTGTAATTAGGTAGACACGAACAAACAGCATGTCCATTAACATCTTTACATTGACTATTGGGTCCACAGGGTGACGGTTGACAAGGCTGAGATGGTTCTTGTTTAATAGCTAGAAAAGGTGGGTATTTTTCTGTTGTGATGTCATGAGTGCTGTGTAAAATGGGCTTACGGTCTCGTTGTATGACGTTACAAAATCGATATGGGTCTCCTGTAAATCCAGTGATACAAGTACATGAAGGAATGTGGCTAATAACTCTACATTCTGCATTTTGACCACACGTGCCTGGGCAGGGATTTTGACACTTATTCCGAATGCAAGATTTTGTGGATGGGCAGTCAGTGTTGTGAACACATTCGGGTCTACAACCTTCGTATGGGTTGCCGATATAATCGGGGCTACAGGTACAGCTACCAGCGTTATTTTGCACTCTGCAAATTGCGTTGGCACCGCATGGCGATGGCATACAAGGGTTCAGAATTTCAGGGACTAGTGGTACTGTAAACATGGCGTAACGTTAATTAAAATGATTGCATTTTTAGTTCAACCTTATTATTCGTTAGGGGGCATGGGAAGCAATTATTATTGATTAATATTTTTTAAGTTTAGTCACTCGACTAAACCTATTTTAGGCAATTTAAATCCAGCTCTAATTCTGTTACTAGCATGAAAAGCTTGCCGCTTTTTAGCTTGCACGATCATTTATTCTCCGCTCCCTCGCTGTTACTCCGTTGGAGGACGTCTCACTTACCTTGTTACGTCCCATTATAAAAGAAGCATAGAAGCTCAAGACAGAAATCAGTCAGACAATATAAAAGCTCGTGCGGTTAGCAGATTTGTAATAAATAAGATAGAAAAGTGTGTAGAGTGCATGCAATGTTAAGATAAATCTTAAAAGAAACTCACCTCGCGCTTCAACGCAACCAACAAATGGATCTCCAGTGTAGCCTGTTATGCAAGTACATACAGGATTGTGATTTATTACCGCACACGTTGCAGATGGTCCACATGAACCCGGACACGGATCTCGGCACTTTTGATGAACACACGCGCGGTTTGATGCGCATTCAGGGTTTATAACACATTCCGGACGACAGTTTGGAGGAGAACCGACATAATTTGGTAAACACGAACACGCAGGATTTTCGCCGCGAACTTGACAGACGGAATTTGGCCCACACGGTGATGGTTCACAAGGGTTGATTACTGGTGGTGGTTCCTTTTGAATTGGGTAACATCTGGTGAAAGGATCTCCAGTTTGGTCAGCCATACAAGTACAAATTGGATTATGATTGATAACTTGACACTTCGCGTTAACACCGCATGTGCCGGGACATGGATCAGAACATTTATTGTTTAGGCAAGCTTGAGTTAGCGGACATTCTGCGCTGATAATACATTCTGGGCGACATGAAGGTGGGCTACCGATTTGTCCAGGTTGACAAGAACAAACTGCTACTTCATTAATGATTTTGCAAATACTGTTTGCTCCACATGGAGAAGGATTACAAGGGTTAACTGGGGGTTCTGAAAAAATAAGGATATAATATTGCAAATTAGTTATTAAATTAAAAAACGTACTATGCTCGACATGTCTGCAGGTTGTAAATGGATCACCTTCGTAGCTTGGAAGACAGCTACACATAGGGATGTGGTTTACCACATCACATTTGGCGTTTGTGCCACATGTTCCTATACAAGGATCAATACATTTTAGGTTTGAACACGCTTTCATTGGAGAACAATCAGTATTCATTGTACATTCAGGTCTACATCCTCGATATGGATCGCCGAAATATTCAGGTAAACAGCTACAAATTCCATTATTACATTTTGCGTTTGGTCCACATGGTTGTTTCTCGCATGGATCACTTGGTCGTTTTGTAACTGGCTCTTCTATTTTCCTTGTGCATTGCGTAAAAGGATCTCCAACAAAACCACTAATACACGTACAAATTGGAATGTGATTATGAACTCGGCATTCAGCATTAAATCCACAAGATCCAGAACATGGATCTCTACATTTTTCTGAGATACAAGCTTTGTCAGATGGGCAATCAGTATTCACAACACATTCAGGTCTACAATTTGGCGGGGAGCCAATGTAACCTGGATTACAAGAACATGACGGCTGATCGTTGAATTGTCGACATTCTGCGTTTGGACCACACGGTGATGGATAGCATGGATTTAGTGGTACTTCAGGTGTTTTAATAACAGGTGGTTGCTCAACGCATCTGGTGAACGGGTCTCCAGTTAAGCCAATTGGACAGCTGCATAGTGGATTGTGGTTAATAACTTCACATTTAGCTCCGATCCCACAAGCTCCATTACATGGGTTTGAACATTTGAACTTATAACATGCTTTGTTTGATGGACATTCTGAACTAACTACACATTCTGGTCTACAGTTTGGAGGTGCTCCAACGTATTCTTTTTCGCAGGAACAAACAGCTCGATTGTTGACGTTTCTGCAAATGCTGTTTGGTCCACAAGGCGATGGGAAGCATGGATTCATTGGTTCTTCATCTAAATTAAATAAATTAAATATTAGTTACATAAAAATAAAAATACTGATTAATACTAACGTTTAACTGGTTCTATTCGACATCCGGCAAATGGATCTCCGATATATCCTTTTATGCAATTACATGTAGGTATATGATTTATAATTTGACATTCGGCGAACTGTCCGCAAATTCCCGGGCAAGGATCGACGCATTTATTTCTTACACACGCCTTCGTTTTTTCACAATCTGAATTTATGGCACATTCTGGTCTACATCCTTCGTATGGATTTCCGTGATATTCATCTAAACAAACACAACTTCCAGCGTTGTTACGTTCCTTGCATACAGCGTTAGCACCACACGGCGATGGTTCACATGGATTTGGTTCTGGTCTTGTGATCGGTATACATTGAGTAAATGGATCTCCAGTGTAGCCAAAAAGACATGAACAAGAAACGGTATGAGATATAATATGACACTCTGTGTTTTGACCACAGCTTCCAACACATGGATCTTTACATTTCTTGCCAATACAAGCTTTCGTGCTCGGACAATCGGGATTGATAACGCATTCTGGTCTACAGTTAGGAGCTTGACCAATATAGTCTGCTAGGCAGTCGCATTGTGCTCTTCCACCCACATTTCTGCACAATGCGTTTGGTCCACACGGCGATGGTCTGCAAGGATCTTGAGGTTCTTCTATTGGCGGAGGTGCCGGTATTGGATAGCACCGTTGGAAGGGATCACCTGTTAAAGATTCTGGACAACTGCAGATTGGGCTATGATTAATTACTTCACATCTAGCTTCTAAGCCACAGGTACCAGCACAAGGATTTACACATTTTTGATTTACGCAGGCTTGCGTGAGTGCACATTCGGAACTGATGATACATTCTGGTTTACAGTTTGGTGGACTTCCGGTGAATCCTTGTATACAAGAGCAAGTGGCGTGGTCATTAATGGCTCTACAAATACTGTTTGGTCCGCACGGTGATGGATTACAAGGTTCTGATGGCGGTGCCTCTTGCTTTTCGATTACACGGCAATTAGAAAATGGATCGCCTGTCATTCCTTCCGGACAAGAACAAGTTGGAATATGATTAATTACATCGCATCGAGCGTTTAAGCCACAAGTTCCAGGACATGGATCAATACACTTATTTCGGGTACACGCCTTATCTCTACTACATTCGTTACTCAAAACACATTCGGGTCTGCAAGACTCATAAGGATTTCCAAAGAATTCTGGCAAGCAAGTGCAAGCTCCGTTATCACACTTGGCATTTGGTCCGCAAGGTGAGTTAGCACATGGATCTTCCGGTACTTTTTCAATAAGGATTTGCGAGCATTGAGTAAAAGGATCTCCAGTGAAACCATGTTCGCACGTGCATATTGGTAAATGGTTCAAAACATGACAATTGGCGTTATATCCACAAGATCCTTCGCAAGGATTCTTACATTTCTGTTGGATACATGCTAATGAACTGCTGCATTCGGAATTGATGATACATTCAGGGCGACAAGTTGGTGGAGATCCGACGAACGATGGTAAACAAGAACAAGATGGAAAACCATTTCTCATTTGACATTGCGCATTTGGTCCACATGGTGAAGGGAAACACGATGGAGGTTTTTCTGTTGTTGTAGGTTCTGGCGGAGCTAATTATGAAGAAAAAGTTGTTATTATGTGTATAAAGCAATTATAAGAATAAAGAGTGTTTTCAAGAAAAGAATGAATAATAATTATAAAATAAACATCATGCACAAAATAATTTCATTCCTTTCAGAAAAGTATAGAGTCTTACGTTGCGGCGAACATCTGGTAAAGGGATCGCCAGTGAAACCAGGTGGACATGCACAGATAGGACTGTGGTTCTTGACGTAACATTGCGCTATCAAACCACAAGTATTTGGACAAGGATCAGCACATTTTTGATTAATGCATGCTTTATCAGGCGAACATTCTGCGTTTACTACGCATTCTGGATGACATTGAGGGGGTGTGCCCATATAATTAGGTAAACAAGAACACACTGCTTGATTATTGATATTTCTGCACTGACTGTTTGGTCCGCATGGTGTTGGAGAGCAAGGATCTTTAGGTACGGGCGCTATTTAGAAAAAGAAGACATTAAGAAACAAGAAGAGATACTAAATATAATACAAGAATACAAAAACGTAGAGAAATACATGCGGAAAACGAGATATATTTACTTACGCGGCATCAAAATTTGTCTACATTCTACAAATGCATTTCCTGTGTAACCTTGCTGACAGAAACATTTTGGAATGTGGCTTTCAACCCTACACTCAGCATATAATCCGCATATTCCAGGGCAAGGGTCGACGCATTTAAAGTTAACGCAAGCTAAATGGGTGTTACAGTCATCGTTATTTTCACATTCTCGTCTACATCCTCGTTGAGTATCGTATGGATTTCCTTCGAATCCGGTGTTACAGTAACAAGCAGCAGCTTGTTTATTCTCTCTACATTGAGCATTTGGTCCGCATGGATTTGGAATGCATGGTGATAACAGTTCTGGTGTTGGAGTTGTAGCTGAAATCATAGAATATTCAATTAATGTTGGTATATATTTAAAATATTGGACACCATTTCAGAAAGCATAAAAATCAGCAATGATCTTTCCGAGCAAAATCTTAATCTTACATGGCGGAAGCAATCGACACTCTGACCGAGCGTCGCCGACATATCCAGAAAGGCATGAGCACATGGGTTTATGATTTACGACTGTGCATAAGGCGTTTGCGCCGCAGATTCCTGAACATGGATTTTTGCAGCGCTCATTTTGGCAAGCAAGGTTGTTGGGACATTCGGAGTCTGTTATACATTCAGGTCGACAATTTGGTGTTCTACCAATATAGTTTGGTAAACAGGAACACGCCGCTTGCTCGCCGATCACTCTGCATTGAGAGTTCGGCCCGCAAGGTGATGGTTGGCAAGGATTTTCATTTGGAACAGCTGAAATTTAAGAGATAGATAGTAAAGATAGAAGAAAGTTTAATAGCCATTCTTAACATATCGTGGCAAATTGAACGACATACAATTCAACTTGCTAATATGTCATGGAATGACGACAGAAACATATAGTGATAAATAGAAAAAGTTAAGTAATCTATAAAAGTATAGAAAAGTAGTTGTCTTACGTTCTGCTGGTAAACAACGTATGAAAGGATCTCCAGAGAATTGTGGACTACATGAACAAATAGGATTATGATTTATAACTTGGCAGTTTGCGTTTATTCCACACGTTCCAGGGCAAGGATCTATACATTTTAAGTTTTTGCATGCTTTATTTTGGGCGCATTCGGAATGTACTAAACATTCTGGTTTGCATGCAGGTGGTGCGCCAATGTATCCTTGATTACATGTACAAACAGCATGCCCGTTTATTTCTCTACATTGGCTATAAGGTCCGCAAGGTGAAGGTTGACATGGATTGCTAGGTGGCTTTTCTGTTGCTAAAGAGAAGAAAAAAAGAAATGTTTTACATGCAAGAAGTAAACAGTTTTAGGTCATGCCTTACTTGGTGGGATAAAGTGGCATTCTCTTAAAGGATCCCCGGTATAGCCAATTATGCAAGAACAACTTGGTGCGTGATTCAAAACTAAACATTCGGCATTTATTCCACACGTTCCAGGACATGGATCTCTACATTTATTGTTAACACAGGATTTTGTTCTTTCGCAATCAGTGTTAGTTACGCATTCGGGTTTACAACCGGTGTAAGGATCACCAAAATACTCAGGTAAACAGGTACAAGAACCTGCACCATTTTGTTCTTTGCAAATGGCATTAGCACCACACGGAGATGGCGTACAAGGATTTCTTGGTCCTTCAGTAGGTAGAGCTATATAAAAGAAGAAGAGTAGAAAAAAGAGTTGACAGATAACATGCATAAATCTTACAAGGTGGTATTTGGCTACATCCAGAAAATGGGTCGCCTGTATATCCTGACGTACATTGGCAAACTGGCGAATGTTTTATTACTGAACAAGTAGCGTACCGTCCACAAGATCCAGGACAAGGATCAACGCATCTTGCATTATTACATGATAAGTTTGAGGGACAGTCGGCGTTTATTTTACATTCCGGTCTACAATTTGGCGGACGGCCTATATAATTAGCTAAGCATGAACAAGCTGGTTGTTCTGCAACAACTCTACATTGAGAGTTTGGTCCGCAGGGTGTAGGAACGCAAGGGTCTTCTGTAGGTGTAGGAACACGAACTAGAAATTAGTTGTAAAATAATAAATCTAGACGAGAATTTAAGGCACATATAGCTTACTTTGTTGAGGAAGGCAACGTACAAATGGATCTCCCGTGTATCCAGGAGAACAGCTACATATTGGATTATGGTTTACAACGGAGCAACGAGCGTTAACTCCGCAGGTACCTGGGCAAGGATCTCGGCATTTATTTTTAATACAAGCCTTGTTTTGAAGACAGTCTGCACTGACCATACATTCTGGTTTGCATGATGGTGGATTTCCTACGTAATCTTTTAAACATGAACACACTGCGTGTCCATTTATTTCTTTACATTGACTATAAGGTCCGCAGGGGGATGGTACACATGGGTTTACATCAGGCAGTTCAGTAACTTAAAAAATATGTTTTTGAAAATATGTTTGTAAATTTTTACAATGAAGAATCTTACTTGGTGGTGGTAAATGGCAACCTATTAATGGATTTCCAGTGTATCCAGGAACGCATAAACATGTTGGATTATGATTCCTAACTAAGCATTCAGCATTTAGTCCACAAACACCTGGGCAAGGGTTTCGACATTTATTATTTGTGCATGCTTTATCTGAAGGACAATCTGAGTTTGTAACACATTCTGGGCGACATCCTGAATAAGGATCTCCAAAGTATTCTGGTAAACATATACACGATCCTGCGCCATTTCGTTCTTTACAGATAGCATTTGATCCGCATGGCGAGGGATTACATGGATTTGGTGGTTGTTCAGTAGGAAGGGCTACTAAATTGAAATAATTATGATAAAATTTGTTTTTTTTTGCATTAAATGAGGGCTTACATGGTATTTGTGTACACCCGCCAAAGGGATCGCCTGTATATCCGGGAATGCAAGAACAAACTGATTTATGATTTAAAACAGTACATTCAGCATTTGGGCCGCATGAGCCAGGACAAGGATCTATGCATCTTTCATTAATGCAAGCCTGATTGCTTGGACATTCAGGACTGATTGTACATTCTGGTCTACAATTTGGAGGTCTACCAATATAATTAGTTAAACAAGAACATGCTGGAGTGCTGCCTATAGCGCGACATTGCGAATTAGGACCGCAAGGTGATGGTTCACATGGATTTTCAGGTGGCAATTCTACACGTTCTAAAATTTAAGATGTTTGAATAGAAGTTAATTGATAATAGACGTTGTTTCAACTCTTACTTTCTTCTAGAATACATCGTACGAATGGATCGCCGGTGTGATTAGGAATACAACTGCAAATTGGATTGTGATTAACTACGTGACAATTGGCGTTAATTCCGCAGTTGCCAACACAGGGATTTCTACATTTCATGTTGAGACAAGCTTGATTTAGCGGACATTCCGCACTTATCATACATTCTGGACGACAATTTGGTGCTGCACCAATATAATTTTCCTGGCAAGAACATACAGCGTGATTATTTACGGTCCTACAAATGCTGTAAGCGCCACATGGATTTGGTTGGCATGGGTCAGTGTCTTCTTCAACAGCTATAATACCATAATTAGATGGAACAAATTTTAAACTACTTATAAACACATACGTATTAAATGGCAAGCTATCATTGGATCTCCTCGGTAACCATCAAAACAGAAACAGAATGGTGCGTGATTCGAAATCGTACATTCGGCATTAACGCCGCATGTTCCAGGACATGGGTTTTTACATTTATTATTGACACACGCTTTATCTAATGGGCAATCGGAATTTATCACACATTCTGGTTTACATCCTGTGTAAGGGTCGCCGAAATACTCAGGCAAACAACTACAAGAGCCCGCTGAGTTTTGTTCTTTACAAATTGCATTGGCGCCGCATGGAGATGGATTACATGGATGTGGTGGTTCTTCACTAGGTGGGACAACTATAATTGAATTATGAGAAAACTAAATTGTGGGTAACTCTGAAAATCTTACTCGGCACAGGTGAACACCCTGCGAAAGGATCTCCTGTATAACCAGGATCACAGTGGCATCTTGGGGAATGGTTTGTAACCATACAGGATGTGAATATACCACAAGATCCAGGGCAAGGATCTTTACATCTTTCATTAATACATGCCAAATTTCCAGGACATTCTGCGTTTATAGTGCATTCAGGTCTGCACATGGGTGGACGACCAATAAAGTTAGGTAGACAAGAACATACAGGTCGATCTCTTATTACTTGACAGTTCGAATTTAATCCACAAGGTGTGGGTTCGCATGGATTTATAGGTGGAGAAGGTGGTACTACAAAATATGTATTCAATTTACTTTTTGTTGAGTATTATGAGTGAAAAACCTTACGTCTCTCCTCCAAACATCTTACAAATGGATCACCAATAAAACGTCCAGGACAACTACAAATAGGATTGTGATTTACCGCACGACATTCGGCATTTATTCCGCATGTTCCGGGGCACGGATCTTGACATTTATTATTTATACAGGCTTTACTTTGTACGCAGTCTGCACTTATCATACATTCTGGTCTACAATTTGGTGGAACACCCACGTAGTTTTGTAGACACGAACATACCGCATTGTTATTAATTTTTCTACATTGACTATAAGGACCGCACGGTGACGGTACACAAGGATCCGCTGGTGGTAAATATGTTGGAGCTGTTCAAAAAATTAATGTTAAGGTGTGCAAAAATATAAAAGGGGAAACTCTTACGTGGAGGAATAGCGTGACAAGATCTTTGTGGATTTCCTGTGAAACCTGGTAGACATGAGCAGGTTGGGACATGATTTATAGTGCGGCATTCCGCATTTACACCACATGTACCAGGACATGGGTCTTTGCATTTATTATTTACACAAACCAGGTGTCTAGAGCAGTCCGTATTCATAACACATTCTGGTCTACAGCTTAGATACGGATCCCCGTAATATTCTGGTAAGCACACACATGACGCAGCTCCGTTTCGTTCAGTGCATACTGCATTTATTCCACAAGGCGATGGATTACATGGATTAACAGGCTCTTCAACTTTAGGAACTAAAATAATATTTTATTCTGTTTGTATATTGATTCAGTTTATTTGGGTTAGTTTCTTTGTGTTTACTATTGAATTAATATTGCAGTATTTTTGTAAATATTGGGTTAAAATATTAAATTCCATCCCACTATTCTACTAATAAATATTTTAATCATAAATTAATTGTGGATAAGTAACTTAATAGTGGTTATTTATTGTGCTGTTATTTGGAAAAAATAATATCTTACTTTCGAAACAACCAGAGAAGGCATCTCCGGTGAAACCATTGAGACAATAACATACAGGAGTATGATTCACAACTTTGCACTGTGAATTTGAGCCACAAGATCCAGGGCATGGATCAACGCATTTTTGATGTACACATGCCAGTGATAGTGAACATTCCGTATTTATTACACATTCAGGTCTGCAATTAGGTGGTTGGCCAAAATAATTTGTTTTACAAGAGCATACAGCTCTATTATCGATTTCTCTACAATCTGAATATGGGCCACAAGGACTTGGAGTACAAGGCCTGATTATATCTGGTAATGGTTCTAGAAAATATGGTACAAAAATATGAATTTTATCCATACTATACATTCTAATGGTTTAACTTACTTGGAGCTAAAATACATTGTGTGAAAGGATCACCTGTATAACCTGATTGGCAACTACATATTGGTATATGATTAACAACTCTACAAAGAGCATTGTACCCGCAAGTACCAGGACATGGGTCAATACATATTTGATTTGAACAGGCTTTATTTAATGCACACTCTGAATTAATTACGCATTCTGGCCTGCACATTGGTGGGGCACCTTGATAACCTGGTGCACACGAACAAACTGGTCTACTTTCCTGTACGCGGCATATAGAGTATAAACCACATGGGGAAGGTCTACATGGATCTCTAGGTTCTACATCTTAAACGTAAATTTTTTTTAGAAAAGAATTGATTCGTGTTAAAGTCAACATACTTATTTTACGGATTTCAGTACAGTAGTTTAAGGCATTTCCTTCGAAACCGGTTGGACACGTACAAATAGGGTTGTGTTTAATCACACTACAATGGGCATTGACTCCGCATGTGCCCGGACAAGGGTCTTTGCATTTCTTATTGAAACATGCCTTATCAAGCGGACAATCGTCGTTTACGATGCATTCGGGGCGACAATTAACGTATGGGTCGCCAAAATATTCCGGCAAGCATGTACACGAGCCATAACCATTGTTGTCTTTGCAAATAGCATTTGCTCCGCATGGCGATGGGTGACAAGGGTTCTTAGGAATGTCTATGACTAGAAGGCAATGAATTTTATGTACATTGCACGAAACATTTTCAATTTAAGCATATGAAAAAATGTAAGCTGCAAGAGGTCGATAAAATTAAAAAGAAAAACCATCGCTTACCTTGCATTTGACGGCAGCCGCTGAAGGGATCTCCTTCGAATCCTTCAAGACACAAACAAACAGATTTGTGGTTTAAAACCGTGCATTGAGCATTTATTCCACATGATCCGTCGCAAGGGTTTTGACACTTTTTGTTGATACAGGATAAATTAGGTGGGCAATCTTGATTGATTACACATTCAGGTCTACAGTTAGGTGGTGCTCCTAGAAGTCCTGGTAGACACGAACAAACTGGCCTATCTTCGAGTACTCTACATTCCGCGTTGAGTCCACACGGCGATGGGATACACGGAGATGTAGTTGGTGGTGTTGGTGTTCGAGATTCTAATTAAGTACAATAATTAATTAGTAACAGATAAAAATATTGTAAGAATTTACTTACCTTCTTTGATACATTGTATAAAAGGATCGCCGGTGTACCTAGGTGGGCAAGAACAAATTGGCGAATGGTTGATTACTTCACATCTAGCGTCGAGACCGCAAGTTCCAGGACATGGATCTTGACATTTTTGGTTTATACATTCTTTGTCATTTGAACATTCTGAAGTAATAACGCATTCAGGTCGACATCTGGGTGGTACTCCATAGAAACCAACTGAACATGAACAGATGGGGTGCCCATTTGAAATTCGGCAATTGCTGTTTGGACCACACGGTGATGGTTGACAGGGATTTTCGTCTTCTGGATGTTCTTCTTGCCTACACGAAGTGTATGGATTTCCAATAAAACCAGGGAAGCAGTTACATTGTGGATTATGGTTGACTACGCGACATTCTGTGTTAACTCCGCATAGACCCTCACATGGATTCCTACAGTAATTGTTAAGACACGATTCGTGACTTGGACATTCTGCGTTTGATATACATTCAGGTTTGCAGCCGCCAGTGTATGGATTTCCTATGTACGGCGGGATACATTTACAAACAGGTCGGTTATTTTCAACTGTACACATCGTATTTTGACCACATGGACTTGGATTGCAGAGAGTTTCCATTCTATCGATTGTTTTCGTACATCCAACGAAAGCGTCTCCTTCGAAACCACGGCTACAAGTACAGAAAGCTCGATGGTTGATGATATTACATTCAGCATTTCTTCCACAGGCTCCAATGCATGGATCTATGCATTTTTCTTGAACACATGCTTTAGTTTTGGCACATTCGCTGCTTCTTACACATTCTGGTCTGCAATGGGGTGGTGTACCAATATAATTTGCAATACATGAACAAACTGGCCGGTCTTCCTTAACAAGACATATTGAATTAGGTCCGCATGGTGATATAGCTGCGTCACATGGATTTCTTGGTTCTGGTACTGGCGAAGGAAGCCCAATTGCTACACAACTAATAAAGGGATCTCCTTGGAAGCCATTTCGACAATAACAAATTGGATTATGATTTATCACAGAGCATATGGCATTATTTCCACAGGTTCCAGGGCAAGGATCGACGCATTTTTGGTTCACACAGCCTTTATTTTGAGGGCATTCTGAGCTTACCACGCATTCTGGTCTACAGGCAGGAGGAGTTCCTTTAAATGTCGGTAAACATGAACATGTTGGGTATCCTTGTGATGATATTAAACATCTGCTAAAAGGTCCACAAGGTGATGGATCGCATGGATTGATACCTGTAGGTGGTATTTTTGCAACAGTATCCGGATAACAAGAAACAAAGGCATCGCCGGTATATCCTTCTGGGCAGTAACATATTGGAGAATGGTGAACTGGTTTACATTGGGCGTTAACTCCACAAACGGCTATACAAGGATCTACGCACTTATTATTTACACAAGCTTGAGTTTGCGGACAATCAGGATCGATTACACATACTGGCCTACATACTACCCAAGGATTTCCATAGAACCCTGGTTTACACGCGCAGTTTAGAGCACTGTTTTCTTCTCTACATATCGCGTTTGCTCCACATCTAACATTTTCACAAGTTTCCTTTACCATTGGTTTTTCTTGCGGCATTTCTACGCATTGTTCGAATGGGTTTCCTCGTAAATGAGCTGGACATGCACAAACTGGTGTATGATTTACTACGGTGCAAATTGCTCTAAATCCGCAGGAGCCTAAGCAAGGATCTAAACAAGTCTGTCCGATGCAGGCCTTATCGAAAGGACAGTCAGCATTTAATAAGCATTCTGGGCGACATTTTGGATCGTAGATTGCATTTGGTGTTAAGCAAGGATCGCAAATGGCCATTTGGCCATCATAGGCAGTGCATACTTCTGCCGGACCGCACGGTGATGGTGAACATGGTCTTGAAATATTTATTTGGGGCACATCATATATCGGCTTTGGAAGACATTGTATAAATGCGTTGCCATAGAATCCTTGTCGGCATTGACATGTAGGGGTGTGATGTTCTACCATACATTCCGCGTTCAAACCACAAAGATTTCCCGTGGTACATGGACTAATACAATGTCGATTAATACAGGTTCTATCAGATGAACAATCAGAGTTTGTAACACATTCTGGTCGACAACCAAACTGAGGATCTCCAGTAAAGTCAGATATACAAGAACAAACAGCTCTATTTCCCATAACTTTACAAATAGTGTTCAATCCGCAAGGACTAGGCAGACAAGGGCTTTGTGGTGGTAATGGTTTCGGTATTGGTGAGCACCTGATAACAGGATTGCCGGTAAATCCAGGATTACAAGTACAAACTGGATGGTGTTTTTCTGATCTACAATTTGCGTTTATTCCGCATGCACCTGGACAAGGATCGCGACATCTGTGAGCCATACAAGCTTGCTTATCCGAACAATCATCATCATCTAAACATTCAAAACCGTGACATCCTTCTGGTCCAGTCGGGTCACCTCCAAATCCTGGTGGACATTGACAAAGAGATTGGCCATTTGGTGAAACGATACATATAGCTCCAGGACTGCAAGGATTTGGTAGACATGGACTTGGTGGTTTTGGGCGACAGCCTGAGTAGGGATCTCCGATGTATCCAGGTTTACAGAAACATTGTTCTTGGTTATTAGTCGCTACATAACAATCAGCATTCATTCCGCATGGTCCGGGTTGACATCTTGTTGCTGGTGGTGCTGTACAAACTCGAAAAGCGTTGCCGACGGTTCCTTCTGGGCAATAACATACTGGTTGTCTTTGTGGATCACATATGGCGTTTTCGCCACAAGGGTTCGGTTGACAAGGATTAATTGGTTCTCTACATCCTCTAATCGTGTTTATATCTTCTATGTAACCATTTAGACATGTACACTTGGCAAATCCATTTCCGAGAACAGTGCATTGTGTGTTTGGACCACATGGTGATGGATCGCACGGATGAATTGGTAAAGTGCATGGTGTATGTGGTGGAGATCCTTCAAATTCTGGTAAACAGAAGCAAATTGCTTTACCTGCTACGACGCGACATCCCGTGTTTGGACCACAAGGATTTGGAGTGCATTCATCACCTTCGGGTACTGTAAAGTGTTTAGATAGTGTATTAATTAATATATAAAATTTAGAAATTCGGTAAATTAATGGAAATATTAGATTACTTACTGCAACTTTTAAATGGATTTCCTGTTAATCCTTTTGGACAATAACATATCGGTCCTACTCCGTTATCAAGTTCGCAAAGAGCGTTTAATCCACAAGGATTTGGATCGCAGGGATTTGACGGAGGGTGGCATTCTATGGAAGCGATTCCTGTATAACCCGGTGGACATTTACAGGTATATTTGTGGTTATGAACTTCGCAATTTGCATTGATTCCGCATTTACAGGGAGATCTACATTTTCCCGCAATGCATGCTTCTGAGGAAGAACATTCTTTGTCACTTCTGCATCCTTGAACTCTATTACAAAGAATGTATGGGTTTCCTATGAACCCTGGAAGGCATTGACAGTCTGTTCCATGATTTTTCGGTATACAATCTGCATTTTCACCGCAAGAATCTTCAAAGCATGGATTTATACATCTTCTATTGAGTCGATCACATAGTTTATCTGGTGGGCAGTCTTCGTTGTATTGGCAAACTGGTGGACCTTCCAATACTATAAACGTATGTGCATTAATTTAGGTTATTATATAGATTAATTTTTGTTCTATTCCTACCTGGAACGCATCCAACATAACCGTTTCCTTGATAACCTTCAACGCAGCTACAATCCGATCCGTGGTTGGTGTTGATACATACGGCATGTTGTGTGCAAGGATCGTGAATATCGCACGGTCTTTGACAAGCTCCTCCGATACACGCTTCCGTAAGCGGGCAGTCTTCGTTTGACGTGCAACCAACTAGTGTGTAACACACATAGGAGGTGGACAGAAGGTGCAAAAGAGAAAGAGAAAAAAGAACTTTACACGTGAGAAATGTACAGGCGGTTTTTACAGGATATAATTTCTAGTTATTTACACCGTTTTTAGACCAATGTACGCTATACAGGTACTGGTAAGTTACTGATTACTTAACACATTAATAAACGTTAAGTTGTATCAACAAAAGAAAAAATCTTATTGGTTATCACAAATTTGTTCAACAGAAATGCAAGTTGTTTCATTGATTTTTGTTAAAAAAAGATTTTTTCTTGTTAACAAAGCCTGGCGTTAAGGTTAAGTCTTACTTGGATGAGGCTTAAAACATTTGATGGCCGGGTTTCCTTCGTATCCAATTGGACAGGTGCATATAGGTCTGTGCATTTTCGTTTGGCACTTGGCCGTTTCTGCACAGATGTTTGGTATTTCGCACGCGTTCTGGCACCAGGACATGTAGCAAGCCTCGCTTTCCAAACAATCGAAGTCTGATGTACACTTATGTAATTTCGACTGTGGGGGTTCTGGTTAAGAGTTATTAGAATATTACAGATTAGTACAAGTTATATTATTAATAGTATCGAGAGATTACGTGGAACACGTTTCGTTTTGCTTGTTGTGCATACATTAATCTTTGTTAGGCGAACGTTATTATTAATATGTTATTCCAAGTTATCTCTGTTTTATGTAATCCTATCATTTGATTCTACTTCATTTACAAATTATATAAAAACTGTTTTTATGTATACATATTATATACATAATATTTTTGATGTTACTATTTACATGTTAAAGGAAACACAAATATTTGCAACAAGAAAAATTATGATGGAATAAATGTACAAATATGAATAAGTTTTTCTATTTTTGTGGAACATTTGAGTTCGACTGGATACATATTCAGTAAATAGTAATTTTATATTAATACCTTGCAAACAATTCGTTTTCGGATCTCCACTATATCCCTCCGGACACATACATATTGCTGCGTGATTATGTACAGTACAGATCGCATTTGACGCACATATTCCCTTTTCAGTGCAAGGGTTAGTGCAAATATTACTTAAGCATGCCTCGTACGGATTACAATCGCGATCAAATTCACACCTTCCTTTAGTTATGTTAGTGTCAACCTCGGTAATGTTTCTACTAGTTTCTATTTCTGCGGTTGTTAGTTGTGTTGGTTCCGTTGAAAATTCAACTGTGTGTGTTAGTGTTGTTGTTTCGGCACCTATTTCTGTTTGTGTGGTTAGTTTTTCTATAGCTGAAGTGGTACTTTCGATTATCTGTTTAGTTTCTTTTGGAATAGTTGTAGGTTGTTGTGCTTCGGTTGTAATTACTGTTTTTGATGTATAACCAGTTGGAGTCTTTTCAGTTCCTTGATCTTCTCTAGGTAGAGGAGTTGTAACCTCTCCAGAAACTGTAGATGTTATTGTTTTTTCAGTGATTTTGGTTGGTGCTGACGTAGTACTTTCTATAACCAGTTCTGTTTCTTTGGGAATAATCGTTTCTTGAAGTCCTTCTGTTGTAATTAGAGTTCGTGATGTATAACTGGTTGGTATTTCTTCCGTTTCTCGCTCCGATTTAGGTGTTGTGCTTGTAAGTTCTTCGGAGATTGTGGGTGTCTTTGTTTCGGCACCAGTGTAAGATTTAAGTGTAGTTTTATATGATATTTTAGTCTCCCCGGGTTCAGTTGCTATAGCCTCGTAAGTTGTTGTCGTTTCAAAAGGTTTTGTATCTTTCTCTTGTTTCATAGTAGAACTTTCTAACGTAGTTTTTTCCACATGTTGAGTAACTCCTTCTTCTTTAACAGTAGATGTTGTCGATATTGACGATTCAGATATAATTGCTGTAGTTACTAACCTTTCTGTAATCTTTTCTGCTTCAGAAGCAGTTTCAGTTATTTCTGTAACAACTTTAGGCGTTACTACTGTTACCGGTACACTAGTTGCTAATTCTTCTATTGTACCTGGTTTAGATGACAGAGTGGTTTTTTCAGAAATCGTGCTAATTTCAGCTTCTATAGTTGGCATTGGTATCGTCTTATCGGTAACACCTTCAATTTTTGTAGTTGGTGATGATTCGTAAGATGGATAAGATGCTGTAGTAATTTCTTGAAACTGGGAGCTTTCTTTATCTATAACCGTAGTGAACACTGGTTGTGTTATTTCCATACCTTCCAATGTAGTTCTTGCTTCGGGCACAACTGTTCCGATTTTTTCTGTTAACATTTCTGATGTAACTGTTTTCGTTTCTTCTGTTGTAGGGATTTGTAAAGTAGTTATTTCTTGTGGTAATTGAGTCGTCCCTTCTATAACTTCTTTCGTAGCTGTTACTTCAGGTTCTTTAGAAGTGATGATTTTTGGTGTAAATGTTTCCAGTCCTTCTTTGGTAGTTACTTGTAAAGTAGTCATCTGTTCTGGAAATTGAGTAGTACCGTTTATAACTTCCTCTGTAGTTGCTACTTTAGGTTCTTCAGAAGTGACCGTTTTTCGTGTAACAATTTCCATGCCTTCAGTGGTAGCTACTTGTAAAGTAGTCATCTGTTCTGGAAGTTGAGTCGTACCTTTTATAACTTCCTCCGTAGTTGCTACTTTAGGTTCTTCAGAAGTGATCGTTTTTTCTGTAACCGTTTCCATACCTTCAGTGGTAGCTACTTGTAAAGTAGTCATCTGTTCTGGCAATTGAGTCGTACCTTTTATAATTTCTTTCGTAGCTGCTACTTCAGGTTCCTTAGAAGTGACGATTTTTGGTGTAACTGTTTCCAGTACTTCTATGGTAGTTACTTGTAAAGTAGTCATCTGTTTTGGCAATTGAGTCGTACCTTTTATAACTTCTTCTGTAGTTGCTACTTTAGGTTCTTCAGAAGTGATCGTTTTTCCTGTAATCGTTTGTATACCTTCGGTGGTAGCTACTTGTAAAGTAGTCATCTGTTGTGGTAATTCAGTCGTACCTTTTATAACTTCAGGTTCTTTAGAAGTGATAATTTTTGGCGTAACTGTTTCCAGTCCTTCGATGTTAGTAACTTGTACAGTGGTCATCTGCTCTGGTAATTGACTAGTACTTTTCTCGAACTCTTTCGATGTTACTCCAGGCTCTTCTGGAGTGCTTATTTTTTGAGATGTTTCCCTAAATATTTCTGTTGTTATTTCTTTTGGCGTTGTTCTAAAACTAGGAATTTCCGTCACAACCGGAACTTCAGAAGTTATTTTCGTCACTTCGGCTTTCAGAACCGTGGTAGCACGCGTAGTATTTTCCGGAAGTAAAGTTGTTGCGTTTCTTTCGCTTACTAAATCGAATGGTTTCTCAGTTGTAGGACTTGTCAATTCTTTTTCAGGCTTTGTAAAAATTTCAGATGGTTCAGATGTACTTTCAGTTGTTGTTTTTGATGTGCTAGAAGTTATTTCTAGAGGTGGAACCTCATTAATTTCTGGTTCAGGTGTTATAACGGGCGATTTTATCGTGGTTATTTCTTCATCGGTCCTAAATTGTTTTGGTGTTGTTATTACAGTTACTACTTCCTCTTTTATTGTTTCTGTGGTTAGTGGTGGACTAGTAAACTCAAAACCAGGTATTTGCGTTGTGCTTGTTGTTGTTCTATTTGGTAGCACCGGCTTACTGGTATATTCCATTTCAGTTATAGTTGGAGATGATTCGGTGTTATCTGAGATTGTAGCCGTTGTTTCTTCCATTTGTATTGTGGTGTAATTAACTGTTATAGTGGTTATAGGTACTTTAGTTATAGGTGCTTGTGTTTCTGTTAGTGTGGCTGGTGTTGTGCTGGTCTCTGTTATTGTAAAATTATCTAAATTAGTTTAAAACTATATATACAGCTTTCAAACGAAAGTCTTCTATATATGAAAATTGGTTAAAGAAGTAAGTAGAGTAACTGTAGGAAAAAATTTAAGTATTTTCCATCACCAATGTTATAAAGCTTTAAATATTTTTATATATCAAGTGTAGATAAAGGGAAACAAGATGAAAAATCGGGCGGTCTGTGCCATACATAGTACAGGAAAAAAGTTTGCATCATTTGTACATGATTTGAAAATATACAGTATGTATACCTGCGAACTCACATAGTTTCGTACTTTTCTGTACTTTTAGTTCTATATCCAGTCCTTGTGGTTTTATGTATACTTTATTTACTAGATCGTAAACTTCATGAATTGTTAAAGTAGAAAAAAACAATAAATATATTCAGATACATGTTCAGTTAGTTGAATGAAACAGCAACACGTTTAGAGACAGTGAATATGCATATTTTTTCGTGCTTTGCTACTTACCCTTAATGCAAGCTCCGGTTGTTGGGTCACACGCGACCCCAGGTGGGCAATGTTCACACCCAGTTTTAACTCCGGGTGATGTTGAAATGGCTATAATAATAGTATGATTGCGATCATAACAAATACAACACTAAATATTTATATAAAACAGCTTACTTGGTCTGACGCAGTTACAACCATCGCAAATATAACCATATCCTGGACAATCAGTCGCTCTTTGACACTGGCATACTACAATAAACAGCAAAATAGTTAAAAATAAAACAATTAAAATCTCTCTACATATCTGATTAATAGTGTATCAATTAAGTTTCGATAATGAATGATTTTGCTCTGGCTATTTACACTGTACCTTTAACGCAAACCGGCTGATGATCTTGAATTTGACAGTCTTGTTGAAGGCTGCATGGATTTGCAACTATGCACGGATTCTGACATTTACCGTATATGCAAGCTTGCTGTGTTGAACATTCCGAATGCGAATGGCATGTTATATCTAATAAAATGAGAAATAATCATATAGAAATGGAAGTTAATAGTGCTGCTTAACAAAGTTATAATCGAACGCTAAAACTTAACAAAGCATATAAGCAATATGAGAAGCATTTTATAAAAAGATCAAAACTATACTCATTAATTAAAATTTAAAATTAAAAGCAATAACCTTCACCAAAATTTATTATATTACACAAGAGTATATTTTAAAGACGTACCAACACCACAACTATCTAAATATATGTGTCCTAAATCTACTATAATACAGAAGTATTTACATATGTACAGTAGTATAAAAATAACATATGTAATATTCAATAAATAAAAAAAAATAATAAAAATAAATAGAAAAAGTTCTCGCTGAGAACTTTAAAAAATGGTGATCCGTCAAACTATCGACCATGCATATATATGATGTTGATTGAAAGGTTCCTGTAGTTGGACCTTAATGAAGGACAACTTAGTATTCATCGGTTGTCGTTTGCAACAAGAACATGCTTGTCTGTTCCTTATACATCCACTATTGGGTTGCAAATGCTTTCCTATAAATAACATATACGTTTACCTGGTTCTATTTTGCAATCAACTGTATCCATCGAAACTGATGGGCATAAGCACATTGGCCGATGGTTTTTTACAAAACAATTTACAAGAGATGGACAAGGATCATAAAATGTACAAGGATCGAGGCACACATTTTGTATACAAGTGGAATTATTGATACAATCTGAATCTTCACCACAAGATCCATAAAGATCACCTTCCAATTCGGATGTATCAAACTCTAATGTGCTAGTTTCAACAACTTCATAGTCAGGAGGAACACTCATAGTCCTTCCAGTAGGAGGAAGATACATTGAGGTAGTATATAAAGGAGAAACTGTTGATTCAGTGACAATTACTTCTTCTGTAGTATTTATGGTCGATTTTCCTACTAATTCATCTACAACGCTAACCGAAGCGAACGGTGTTTCAGTAGTTGTTACATTCTCCAATCCGCTTTTTGGCGTAGTGTAATTATCCGTACTAACTGAAAATGTAGATGATAATGTAGATTCAGTTATATTAATTAATTCTTTAATGGCTGTAACAGTAACGACCACTTCAGATGTAGTCTCCGGCTCTTGTGTTGTTATTTCCGGTACAGTTGTTTCTGTCGACGAATAGATAGGAGTAACTGTTACAATTTTGAAAGATGTTGTGGATGCTTCTTCAGTAATATTTACAACAGAAGATTGAGAGATGTTCATCGGAGTGACCGTCATTACCTTTTCTGTGGTAGATAGTGTTGTGGTCACAAGATCCTCCATACCAGTTGGTAAACTAACTGTAATCATTTTGGTTGTTTTAGGGTATCCAGGAGTCGTTGGATACTCTATAGTAACTCCTGGCGTCATTTCAGCTGCTATTGAAGTTCTTTCCTCATATGGCGTTTCAGTTGGCACTTGTTTAGTTACAACTTCACCAGTCGGTAAAGTAACTGTTACAATTTTAGTTGTTTTTGGGTATCCAGGAGTCGTAGGATACTCCGCAGTAACCCCTGGAGTCATTTCACCTGACGTTGTTGTTTCCTTCTCATATGGTGTTTCCGTTGGTACTTGTTTTGTTACAATTTCACCAGTTGGTAAAGTTACTGTTACAGTTTCAGTTGCTTTTGTGTATCCAGGAGTCGTTGGATACTCTGCAGTAACTCCTGGCGTCATTTCAGCTGACATTGTTGTTTCTTTCACATATGGCGGTTCAGTTGGTATTTGCTTTGTTACAATTTCACCAGTAGGTAAAGTAACTGTTACAGTTTTAGTTGTTTTTGGGTATCCAGGAGTCACTGGATACTCTGCAGTAACTCCTGGCGTCATTTCAGCTGACCTTGTTGTTTCTATCTCATATGGCGTTTCAGTTGGTACTTGTTTTGTTACAGTTTCACCAGTTGGTAAAGTCACTGTTACAATTTTAGTTGTTTTTGGGTATCCAGGAGTCATAGGATACTCTGCAGTAACCCCTGGCGTCATTTCACCTGACGTTGTTTTTTCTTTCTCATATGGCGCTTCAGTTGGTACTTGTTTTGTTACAGTTTCACCAGTTGGTAAAGTAACTGTTACAATTTTACTTGTTATTGGGTATCCAGGAGTCGTAGGATACTCTGCAGTAACTCCTGGCGTCATTTCAGCTGACGTTGTTGTTTCTTTCTCATATGGCGCTTCAGTTGGTACTTGTTTTGTTACAACTTCACCAGTTGGTAAAGTAACTGTTACAATTTTAGTTGTTATTGGGTATCCAGGAGTCGTAGGATACTCTGCAGTAACTCCTGGCGTCATTTCAGCTGACGTTTTTGTTTCCTTCTCATATGGCGTTTCAGTTAGCACTTGTTTTGTTACAACTTCACCAGTCGGTAAAGTAACTGTTACAATTTTAGTTGTTTCTGTGTATCCAGGAGTCGTTGGATACTCTGCAGTAACTCCTGGCGTCATTTCAGCTGACGTTGTTGTTTCTATCTCATATGGCGTTTCAGTTGGTACTTGTTTTGTTACAACTTCACCAGTTGGTAAAGTAACTGTTACAATTTTAGTTGTTATTTTTTAGTTGTTTTTGGGTATCCAGGAGTCACTGGATACTCTGCAGTAACTCCTGGCGTCATTTCAGCTGACCTTGTTGTTTCTATCTCATATGGCGATTCAGTTGGTACTTGTTTTGTTACAGTTTCACCAGTTGGTAAAGTCACTGTTACAATTTTAGTTGTTTTTGGGTATCCAGGAGTCATAGGATACTCTGCAGTAACCCCTGGCGTCATTTCACCTGACGTTGTTTTTTCTTTCTCATATGGCGCTTCAGTTGGTACTTGTTTTGTTACAGTTTCACCAGTTGGTAAAGTAACTGTTACAATTTTAGTTGTTTTTGGGTATCCAGGAGTCGTAGGATACTCTGCAGTAACCCCTGGCGTCATTTCACCTGACGTTGTTTTTTCCTTCTCATATGGTGTTTCGGTCGGTATTTGTTTTGTTACAGTTTCACCAGTTGGTAAAGTAACTGTTACAATTTTACTTGTTATTGGGTATCCAGGAGTCGTAGGATACTCTGCAGTAACTCCTGTCGTCATTTCAGCTGACGTTGTTGTTTCTTTCTCATATGGCGCTTCAGTTGGTACTTGTTTTGTTACAACTTCACCAGTTGGTAAAGTAACTGTTACAATTTTAGTTGTTATTGGGTATCCAGGAGTCGTAGGATACTCTGCAGTAACTCCTGGCGTCATTTCAGCTGACGTTGTTGTTTCTTTCTCATATGGCGCTTCAGTTGGTACTTGTTTTGTTACAACTTCACCAGTTGGTAAAGTAACTGTTACAATTTTAGTTGTTATTGGGTATCCAGGAGTCGTAGGATACTCTGCAGTAACTCCTGGCGTCATTTCAGCTGACGTTGTTGTTTCTTTCTCATATGGCGCTTCAGTTGGTACTTGTTTTGTTACAACTTCACCAGTTGGTAAAGTAACTGTTACAATTTTAGTTGTTATTGGGTATCCAGGAGTCGTAGGATACTCTGCAGTAACTCCTGGCGTCATTTCAGCTGACGTTGTTGTTTCTTTCTCATATGGCGCTTCAGTTGGTACTTGTTTTGTTACAACTTCACCAGTTGGTAAAGTAACTGTTACAATTTTAGTTGTTATTGGGTATCCAGGAGTCGTAGGATACTCTGCAGTAACTCCTGGCGTCATTTCAGCTGACGTTGTTGTTTCTTTCTCATATGGCGCTTCAGTTGGTACTTGTTTTGTTACAACTTCACCAGTTGGTAAAGTAACTGTTACAATTTTAGTTGTTATTGGGTATCCAGGAGTCGTAGGATACTCTGCAGTAACTCCTGGCGTCATTTCAGCTGACGTTGTTGTTTCTTTCTCATATGGCGCTTCAGTTGGTACTTGTTTTGTTACAACTTCACCAGTTGGTAAAGTAACTGTTACAATTTTAGTTGTTATTGGGTATCCAGGAGTCGTAGGATACTCTGCAGTAACTCCTGGCGTCATTTCAGCTGACGTTGTTGTTTCTTTCTCATATGGCGCTTCAGTTGGTACTTGTTTTGTTACAACTTCACCAGTTGGTAAAGTAACTGTTACAATTTTAGTTGTTATTGGGTATCCAGGAGTCGTAGGATACTCTGCAGTAACTCCTGGCGTCATTTCAGCTGACGTTGTTGTTTCTTTCTCATATGGCGCTTCAGTTGGTACTTGTTTTGTTACAACTTCACCAGTTGGTAAAGTAACTGTTACAATTTTAGTTGTTATTGGGTATCCAGGAGTCGTAGGATACTCTGCAGTAACTCCTGGCGTCATTTCAACTGACGTTGATGTTTCCTTCTCATATGGTGTTTCGCTTGGTACTTGTTTTGTTACAATTTCACCAGTTGGTAAAATTACTGTTACTGTTTCAGTTGTTTTTGTGTATCCAGGAGTCGTTGGATACTCTGCAGTAATTCCTGGCGTCATTTCAGCTGACGTTGTTTTTTCTTTCTCATATGGCGCGTCAGTTGGTACTTGTTTTGTTACAACTTCACCAGTTGGTAAAGTAAATGTTACAGTTTCAGTTGTTTTTGGGTATCCAGGAGTCGTTGGATACTCTGCAGTAACTCCTGGCGTCATTTCAGCTGACGTTGTTTTTTCTTTCTCATATGGCGCTTCAGTTGGTACTTGTTTTGTTACAACTTCACCAGTTGGTAAAGTAAATGCTACAGTTTCAGTTGCGTTTGGGTATCCAGGAGTCGTTGGATACTCTGCAGTAACTCCTGGCGTACTTTCAGCTGACGTTGTTCTTTCTTTCTCATATGGCGCTTCAGTTGGTACTTGTTTTGTTACAACTTCACCAGTCGGTAAAGAAACTGTTACAATTTTAGTTGTTTTTGGGTATTCAGGAGTCGTTGGATACTCTGCAGTAACTCCTGGCGTCATTTCAACTGACGTTGATGTTTCCTTCTCATATGGTGTTTCGGTTGGTACTTGTTTTGTTACAATTTCACCAGTTGGTAAAGTAACTGTTACAATTTTAGTTGTTTTTGTGTATCCAGGAGTCGTTGGATACTCTGCAGTAACTCCTGGCGTCATTTCAACTGACGTTGTTTTTTCTTTCTCATATGGCGCTTCAGTTGGTACTTGTTTTGTTACAACTTCACCAGTTGGTAAAGTAAATGTTACAGTTTCAGTTGCTTTTGGGTATCCAGGAGTCGTAGGATACTCTGCAGTAACTCCTGGCGTCATTTCAACTGACGTTGATGTTTCCTTCTCATATGGTGTTTCAGTTGGCAATTGTTTTGTTACAACTTCACCAGTTGGTAAAGTAACTGTTACAGTTTCAGTTGGTTTTGGGTATCCAGGAGTCATTGTATACTCTGCGGTAACTCGTGGCGTCATTTCAGCTGACGTTGTTGTTTCCTTCTCATATGGTGTTTCGGTTGGTACACGTTTTGTTACAACTTCACCAGTTGGTAAAGTAACTGTTACAGTTTTAGTTGTTTTTGGGTATCCAGGAGTCATTGTATACTCTGCGGTAACTCCTGGCGTCGTTTCAGCTGACGTTGTTGTTTCCTTCTCATATGGTGTTTCGGTTGGTACATGTTTTGTTACAATTTCACCAGTTGGTAAAGTTACTGTTACAGTTTCAGTTGTTTTTGTGTATCCAGGAGTTGTTGGATACTCTGCAGTAACTCCTGGCGTCATTTCAGCTGACGTTGTTTTTTCTTTCTCATATGGCGCTTCAGTTGGTACTTGTTTTGTTACAACTTCACCAGTTGGTAAAGTAAATGTTACAGTTTCAGTTGCTTTTGGGTATCCAGGAGTCGTTGGATACTCTGCAGTAACTCCTGGCGTCATTTCAGCTGACGTTGTTTTTTCTTTCTCATATGGCACTTCAGTTGGTACTTGTTTTGTTACAACTTCACCAGTTGGTAAAGTAAATGTTACAGTTTCAGTTGTTTTTGGGTATCCGGGTGTCGTAGGATACTCTACAGTAATTCCTGGCGTCATTTCAACTGACGTTGATGTTTCCTTCTCATATGGTGTTTCAGTTGGCACTTGTTTTGTTACAACGTCACCAGTTGGTAAAGTAACTGTTACAGTTTTAGTTGTTTTTGTGTATCCATGAGTCGTTGGATACTCTGCAGTAACTCCTGGCGTCATTTCAGCTGATGTTGTTGTTTCTTTTTCATATGGTGTTTCGGTTGGTACTTGTTTTGTTACAATTTCACCAGTTGGTAAAGTAAATGTTACAGTTTCAGTTGTTTTTGGGTATCCGGGTGTCGTAGGATACTCTACAGTAACTCCTGGCGTCATTTCAACTGACGTTGATGTTTCCTTCTCATATGGTGTTTCAGTTGGCACTTGTTTTGTTACAACTTCACCAGTTGGTAAAGTAACTGTTACAGTTTTAGTTGTTTTTGTGTATCCAGGAGTCGTGGGATACTCTGTAGTAACTCCTGGCGTCATTTCAGCTGACGTTGTTGTTTCCTTCTCATACGGTGTTCCGGTTGGTACTTGTTTTGTTATAACTTCACTAGTTGGTAAAGTACCTGTTACGACTTTAGTTGTTATTGGGTATCCGGGAGTCGTAGGATACTCTGCAGTTACTCCGGGCGTCATTTCAGCTGACGTTGTTGTTTCCTTCTCATATGATGTTTCAGTGGGCACTTGTTTTGTTACAACTTCACCAGTCGGTAAAGTAACTGTTACAGTTTTAGTTGTTTTTGGGTATCCAGGAGTCGTTGGATACTCTGCAGTAACTCCTGGCGTCATTTCAGCTGACGTCGTTGTTTCCTTCTGATATGGTGTTCCGGTTGGTACTTGTTTTGTTATAACTTCACCAGTTGGTAAAGTAACTGTTACAACTTTAGTTGTTGGTGGGTATCCATGTGTCGTAGGATACTCTGCAGTAACTCCGGGCATCATTTCAGCTGACGTTGTTGTTTCCTTCTCATATGATGTTTCCGTGGGCACTTGTTTTGTTACAACTTCACCAGTCGGTAAAGTAACTGTTACAATTTTAGTTGTTCTTAAGTATCCAGGAGTAGTAGGATACTCTGCAGTAACTTCTGGCGTCATTTCAGCTGACGTTGTTGTTTCCTTCTCATATGGTGTTTCAGTGGGCACTTGTTTTGTTACAACTTCACCAGTTGGTAAAGTAACTGTTACAATTTTAGTTGTTTTTGGGTATCCGGGAGTCGTTGGATACTCTGCAGTAACTCCAGGCGTCAGTTCAGCTAACGTTGGTGTTTCCTTCCCATATGGTGTTTCAGTTGGCACTTCTTTTGTTACAACTTCACCAGTCGGTAAAGTAACTGTTACAGTTTTAGTTGTTTTTGGGTATGTAGGAGTCGTTGGATACTCTGCAGTAACTCCTGGAGTCATTTCAGCTGATGTTGACGTTTCCTTCTCATATGGAGTTTCAGTTGGTAGTGTTGTTGTTACAATTTCACCAGTTGGTAAAGTTACTGTTACAGATTTTACTGAGGTTGCCGGATATTCTGTGCTAATTCCTGGTGATATTTCTTTTCTCGTTGATGTTTCGACTTCCAATGCCGTTTCAGTTGTTACGTTACCTATTGATAACGTAGTCCTCTCGTATTTACTTGTTTTATCGTATTCTGCTGTCGTTGTAATATTGTCGGTCAGTGTTTGTGTAGATTTTTCTGGTGTTACTATCATAAGCTTTTGTGTAGTAGTTGTTTCCGAAATATGTTCAGGAGTGTATGCTATTGGAGTAATTGTTATGTCTTCGGCAGTAGTTGGTATGATTGTGGTTTCAGGTAAAACAGTTGTTATTGCGGCCGTGATTATTTCATCTCCAGCTACTGTTGATTTTGTTCTTGCTTCAATATCAGGATATACTTTTGTGACCATAGGCGTAATTGTTGTGCCTTTGGTGATGTTCATTGGTAATGTGGTTGGAATTGTTACGGGAAGGGATGGAAAACATTCAATGAGTGGATCGCCTTTGTATCCTTTGGGGCAGATACAAAGTGGCTTATGTGCTTGAGCCCTACAAATGGCGGTTTTACCGCATTTGTTTATGCAAATGTCTACGCATTCACCTCTAATACAGGTTTCTGTTTGTGTACAATCCAATTCCGTTGTGCAGGTCAAATTTGCTGTGAATTATAATACATAAACGTACAACAATTTACAAAAATATGTACAAAATAAACTGGAATTAGTAATATTCAGCCATTAAAGAAATAAATTCGTAGGGTTAATGCGTACATAAAGGTGAAAGAAAGAAGAAGGCGTAAATTATCTACCGTCGAAAAATAGAAGACGTAAGTGGTAGAAATTGTAGAAAGGAAGTAAAAGAAAATGTAGTTGTTTTGGGTAGTATGTTTAATAGTTGGTTCGCTCCAAGTTTTTATGCATATCTTTTATTTTATCTTTTCATTAAGTTTTGAAGAAAGTTTCACGCCAAGTGTATATTGGCTGTGTGTACAGTAATAGAATGTAAGTAGACCTCGTAAAAAGAAAGTTTGTAGTAAATTATGAATGCATCAATCATACCAATAAATAAAAAAAAATAGGAAGCGTAGTAACGTAGTAGTAATAGTCCGTTGTTGGGACTCTGAATGTTGATTGTCAAGCGACTAAGAAGTATCTGACACCCTGTGATTGGTTTTTTTACCTTTCTGGCATCCGAACTTTGGGTCAGATCTATATCCTGGTGGGCAGAATTTGCAGATGGCTTTGTGATCTTCTACATGGCAAGGGGAATCGCTTGGACAACTTGCGGTTACACATGGATCTTGGCATTTAAAACCTCTACATGCTAGTGATGGGGGACAACCATTGTCCCGCAAACATATTGACAAAGATGGACTGCAGTTTTTAAGACATATGCAAATTGGTTTATGATTCATCACATCACAGGATTTATCTGCTGAACATGGTGGCGTTTTCAAAGCTGTGCAAGGATTTTGGCATTTTCGTTGAATACATGCTGTCGTCGGTGAGCAATCATTGTCTCTAATACATTCGATTTGATCTGGAGCGCAGGCGATCTCCCCTCTTTCGTTTACTGTGAATCCATTTTTGCAAACACAGCTAACGCGATGGTTATGGACTTCGCATTTTTTGTTCTCTTTGCATTTAAAAGATGAACTTTCGCAAGGATTGTGACATTCTCCTGACTGTTGGTTGCAAGCTAAGTATTTCGGACAATCGGTGTTTCTGGAACAGGGTTGAATATCCGCCGGTCTTGGATGGGTGCTCAAGCACTTGAGATCTGGATGACAGGCTGTGTTGGCCATCCCGACATAACATTGTGGGCAGGAACATGTTGGTCTATGGAGAACTGTCTTGCAGAGCGCATTTAAGCCGCAGGCACCTCTTAGGCTACAGGGATCAATACATTGCAGGTTGATACAAGCCTTTTCGTCCGGACAGTCGAGGTCTGTGTTACATTCCGATTCTAGGGGGGACATCATCAGGAATGAGCAAGAAAAAAAGAAAAGCGGTCTTAAGAACTGTGAAAGGAAGTGCGGCGTCTCACAAACAAAACAAACAACCGGCAACGAAACAAAATCATAAAATAATGAAAAATATAAATAAATAATGTCGCATCGGCATGCTCGTGAGTGATAGACGTGAGTGGAAAAATATGAAATATAGGCCGATAATAATAACGGTAATAAGACCGACCAAATATAATTAAAGCAGCAGTATTTACAAGCGAGCTGACAGCCATGTTTACTAAAAAATCAACATAACTTTAATGTACAGGGGCCAATGTGAGAATGCTCCTTTCACAGTTCCCAATCTGACTAATCCGAGGGCAACTGCAGATGATAAATGTTATTTAAATCCTAATAATTAAAATGTGTGATAAAATTCAAAGTTTTTAAAGCTCCCGCTTAAAAACTTTCAATTCTAGATCATGTGACCTGCAGTTGCCATTCTAAATATCTACATCTACTTTACATATACGTGGAATGTGTGTCGCAGTAAAAAAAAATTAATAACGATATATGTTGAGGAGGAAGGAAAAACATGATAGGCAGATTGGAACTTTGAAGTATACATTCCACATATGGTGACTTCCTCTGTATATGAAAGATCATGTGTGTCATTGTGTAAGTTGCTATGTACAACGAAATAATTATGATAAACGATATACGTAGCAGACAAAAATAATATGTGGCATAGTAAATATCACATTTCCAACGTGCACAACTTTTTGTACAATGTGTTGTAATTAATCCATTTATCTAACGATAAAAATAATAATAATATGCGTAATTGAAAATCATTAATAGTAAAACTGTTATAATTAGTGTTAAATTGTTGAGCAGTAAGCTTATTTACTGCAAATGTCTTAATATTTTTTAATATCAAAAAATATATATGTGTCGGTGTGTTGATGTTAGTAATTAAAAGGTTAGGCGGGGTAAACTCACCCCTGGTACATTCTATATCTGGTTGACCTGACGTTCCTGGCAAACATCTACAGACAAAGAATGCCAGTTCGCGAATACATTCCGCATTCTTACCACAACCCTTTGTTCGGCAGTCTACTTTTCCTTCTTCAACAGTACCTGGAAGAACAAATATATATACAAACAAAAATAATAAATAAAATTGATTTTACTTACATTCAATTGTAGGATCTCCAGAAGGATGCGTCTTAGGGCAATAACATTGAGGAGTGCGGTTCACGATACGACACTGCGCGTTCACACCACAAAGTTTATTTTTGCACAAATTGATTAGTTGCGGGTCACACACGCATCCTTTAAAAGGATCACCGACACAACCTGGAGCACAATGACATTCGAAGCCGTCGCGGGTTGTTTGACATCGCGTATTTTCACCACACGGATTTTTTAAACACTCATCTGTACCAGCTTTTTTACATTCAATTATGGCATTTCCGGTATATCCTATAGGACACGAACATTGAGGCCGCCTATTAACCACCTTGCATTGAGCATTAATTCCACAAACATTCGATTCTAAACAGGGATTGCGGCACGTACCATCAGAACAATGCTTGTTTGATTCGCAATCTTTATCAGCTTTACATTCGAACGGTACACACGATTTTGTTGGTTCTCCTTGGTAACCATCTGGGCAAATACAAAGCGCTTTATGATCGGCGATACGACAAAGAGCATTCTTTCCGCAAGGTTTGGTGATTTTACATGGATTTTGACATTTTCCTCTTATGCAAGATTCGACGTTAGGGCAATCTGAATTTGATTTGCATCCAGCTATACATGCACCGTCTTTACAAACTTGACCTCTTGCACACGCACTTTGGATGGAACATTTAGTACGGCATTTACCACCAGAGCAGGTTTCGCCACAAGGACAATCTTTTTCTTTTGTGCAGGATTTTATGCAGTATCCAATTTCATCGCATTGACAAGAGCCGTCACATCTTACGGCTGGTTGTTGACAGGATATTAATGGATTTCCAAGGAAAGATTGCGGACAACTGCATTGGGCTACATGATTTGAAACACTACACAGAGCACAAGTTCCGCAGGTCACACGGCCATTGCAAGGGTCTACATAAAAAAGAATAAAATAATTTTAATTAAACGCAAATACTTTGTATATTATAGAATTACCTTGACATTTATTATCAATACAAGCTTCATTAGCAGAGCACGATGTATCGCTTCTACATCCAACTTGACATATTCTATTCTCGCAAATTTGATTATTACCGCATTTAGCATCAGAATTACAGATAGTATCGCACATCCCTTTGACGCATCTTTCATCTGCCAGACAGTTATTATCACTTCTGCACAATTTCTGGCACATTCCAGCAAAACATACTTGATTATCTGTACATTCTTCTTCGGTGTAACATGTTCTTGCTGGATATCTACAATATTCTTCTGCATTTCCTATAAGCGGTTTAGGACAAGTGCATACTTTTTTATGATTTTTCACATGACATAACGCGTTTGATCCACAAGCTGTTTTTGATGTACAAGGATCGACGCATTTATTGAGTTGACATTCTTTTGTGGATACACAATCTGTATTACTTCTACAACCAACAACGCATGACAAGTTTTCGCAAATTTCGCCGCTTCTACAATCTTTATCTTTTCTACAGAGAGGTTTACACACTCCAACAGATGTATCACAACGCTCGTTTTTAAGACAACCATTAGGTGACGAACATACAGGCATGCATAATTTGTCAAGACAAACAGTTCCTTGTGGACAATTTTTATTTTCATTGCAAGGTTGAGCTGGAGATCTAACACAGGCTACTTTAGCCAGTGGGTTTGGTACGAAACCATCACCACACGAACATGTTGATCTGTGATTTATAACATTACACAAAGCGTTTGGACCACAGGGATGTGTAACACAAAGATTGACACATTTGTTGTTTCTACATGATTCTGTTGCGCTACAATCGTCGTCAGTTTGGCATCCAATTATGCACATATTTTGTTTACAAATATGACCAAGGAAACAATCATTATCAACTCTACAAGTTAGAACGCAGTTTCCTTTTAAACATTTCTCGTTAAAAGCGCATGCTTCGTCATTTAAACATTGTTGATGACACGATCCATCTTTACATACGCTTCCCTGAGGACAATCTAATCTTTGAGTACACGAAGATGGTAGTCTCAAGCATTCCGAGTTAACGTTTCCGGTGAAGCCTTCGGGACATGAGCATTCTTTTCTATGATTAATTACTGTGCAATCTGCATTAACGCCACAGGCTGACTTTAATTGGCAAGGATTAAAACATTGGCCTTGTAAACATACTTCTTGTAATCCGCATTCAGTGTCTGATTGACATGTTGGTGTGCAAATTTCTTGGTGACAATAAGTATTGGATGGGCAATCAGATGTTGATCTGCAACGTACCGGTTTGGGTTGGCATCCGATGGTTTTTTCGTTTGGATTTCCTTCATAGCCGTTAATACAAGAACAATGACCTTGGTGGTCTACGGCGATGCATTCAGCATTCGGGCCACAAGTAGTATAAAGGCAAACGTCCCGACATTTAGGATAAGTGTTTATTTTGTCACATTTGGCATTAAACGGACAATCGTTGTCTTGCTCGCATTCAACTGAACTTCTGCAACCTTCGTTATATGGATCGCCGATGGTTCCTCTCGGACATACACATTTAAATGAGCCTCTTGAATTAAAGCAATCAGCTCCTGGTCCGCATGGATCGTCTGCACAAAAATCGATTAATTTGCAACCCTGTGTGGGATCCCCTGTGAACCCAGGTTGACAATAACACACTTGTTCGTGATTTTCCGATGAACACAATGCATTTTTACCGCAAGGATTTTTAGTTAAACAAGCTATTTTACAGGTGTATAAATCGCAAAGTTTATCTAAGGAACATTGGCTATTCAATTCACATTCTATTTCTTGACATCCCAGTTTCTCGTCTCTTGGATTTCCGTAATAACCAAGCATACACAAACAATCACCTTGGTGATTTTCTGATCTACATTGTGCGTTTCTACCACAAAATATTTCATCACAAGGGTTTACACATTCAGTTTGTCCGATGTTGTTACGTAAACATTTTTCTTGGTATGAACAATCATCATCTGATTGACATTTTAGTTCTTGAGTACAGATATTGTTCTGGCAGAATTGAAAATCGGGACAGGATGTATTTGTTTTACAAGTAGGTTGGCAGATTCCTTGAAGACAAAGTTGGTCACCAATACATTCTCGATTTGAGGTACATAATGCTATTAAATAAAGATATAAATAAATTAATTAGCTATTAATGAATGCAAATTAAAATAAGTTGCTTACATGAACAAACTCCGTTTAAACATTTCGTTGCTGATGGACACTGATTATCAGTGGCACAGTATTGAAGTGGTACGCATCCCAATTGTGGGTCTCCTGTATATCCTTGTTCGCACGTGCAATATCCGACATGATTTACAGAAGTACACAACGCCTTTTGTCCGCAACTATTTGGTAATGTACAAGGATCAACGCAGTGTGCATCAATGCAAGCTTTATTATTGGAGCAATCATCGTTATTTTCGCATTCGATAGGAACACATTCTTGTAATGGATTTCCTTTTGTTTGAGGGGGACATTTGCAAGATGGTTGATGATTTGTAGGAACACATTCCGCGTGTTTACCGCATATTTTCACGTCTTCACATGGATTTTTACATTGGTTGTTTATGCAGGTCGCAGAAACAGGACAATCGTTGTCCGCAAAGCAATCAGTTGATTTTCGACATCCTGTTGTATATGGATCTCCAACTAAACCATCCGCGCAAATACACACGAAACTTCCTTCGTTATTTTGACAGCTAAAATTGTATATAATTTAGTAATTAATAATAAATGTTACCTTTGTTGTACTTACGTTGCTGTAATATGACAAGGATTTAACGTTGCACATTCATTAATATCTACGCATTTGTTATCAGTGAGTACATATCCGTTTTGACACACGCACGATGCTTTATGATTCTTGATAATACATTGTCCTTTACCACAAGACATTTCATCGCAAGGATCTGAACATTTATTTATTTCCCAGTTGCAAAATTTATCAGGTCTGCAGTCGTTATCATTCAAACATTCAACTTTGAAACATCCAATATTTTGATCGTTTGGATCCCCGAGATGTCCATAAGGACACGTACAAACTGGTTTATGTTCGAAAACGATACATGCCCCGTTAGGTCCACACTTTGTATTTTGGCAGGGATCAACGCATTCTCCTCTTTTGCATGCCAAATTCACCGCACAGTTTCTATCACTACTACATCGGTTTGGAATTCTACAACCTGGTTCAATAAAAGGGTCACCAATCATACCATCTGCACATTTACATTTATAACTTCCCGGAGTGTTTAGACATTGCGCTGATCCATGGCAAGGATTGTCTTCGCATTCGTTAATATCCAAGCATTGATTCGGGCCTTGAATGAATCCAAGTGCACATTTACATTTGTTTTTGATGCAAATTTGAGTTTCTTTACAATCGGTGTCTATCGAACAACCTGGTTGACATGTTCCTTTAAAACAAATTTCACCCGGTAGGCAGTTACTATCTCCATAGCAAATTTTAACACATTTATTATCATCGCATCGTTCACCAATTGCGCATGAAGATGTATTTGAACATGGTAAATTGCACACATTTCCAATGCACATATGGCCTGTTGGGCACTGTCGACTTGTTGTACATTGTGAAGGAATCCTCACGCAACCTTCTTCTGGAGTTGGGTTACCATCGAAACCTTCTGGACATCTACATGTCGCTTTATGGTCAATTGATGTACATTTAGAATTTGGACCGCAAACACCAGCTTGTAGACAAGTATCTTCGCATTTGTTGTTAATACATGATTCATTTGGCTTGCAATCCCTGTTATTCCGACATCCTACTATACACACCCCATTAATACAAGCTTGATCATTTCTGCATTGTTTATGGTTTATGCATGGAACCATGCAAACGTTGTGTAAACATTTTTCTCCACTAGAACAATCTTCGTTATGCCTGCAAACTGGTTTACATTGCGAATTCACACAAACTTCATCTCCACAGTCTAAATCTGTACTACAGCTCGTTGAAACTCGTAAACAACCCTCTTTAGCAACATTTGCCGATGGTATGAATTTGGCAGGACATGTACAAACAGGTCTTCGATTTACTACGTTGCATACTGAGTTTGGCCCACAAATTGTTGTTTCGCAGGGGTTTACACATCGACCTTGTTGACATACAGATTGTATAGGGCAGTCATTATTGCCATTGGGACAATCTCCTTCTGGTCTACATCCTGTTGTTAAAGGATCTCCGATGTATTTTGGAGGACATTTGCATGTATATCCTATAGAAGTACTTTCACATTTTGCCGATGAATGACATGGATTTGGTTTACAGAAATCAACAGGGCTACATTTAATATCAGCTACAGGATTTGGTTTAAATCCTGGTGGACATACACAACTAGCTGTATGCGATTCTGCAATACACACAGCATTTGTACCACAAGATTCTTCGTCGCAAACGTCGTGACATGTATGAGTTAATCTATTGCAAAGTTGTTGTGGTGGACAGTCCAAATTGTATACACATGGCACCGATACGCATCCTTTTTGTAAGTCATTAGGATCGCCTGCGTAGGATCCTGGTGGACATTGACATTGTGGAACGTGATTATTAACAATGCACAATGCGTTAGGTCCACAAGTTATTCGATGACAGGCAGATTTACATGATGATAATCCATTACGTTCTTTTTGGCAGGAATCTTGTTCTGGGCATTGAACATCAGAAGTGCAACCTCTCTCAACAATTGGTCTGCATCCTGTTCTATCATTTGGATTTCCGGAATAACCATTAATGCACTCACATGTACCTCTGTGATTTGTAGCAACACAAATTGCGTTCGCTGGACATGTATATTGGGAGCAAATAGATATGCATTTAAGAACGCCCAAAGCATCTGGATGACATATTTCTTGTTGTTGGCATTCATTATCGCTTTTACAATCTGGTAGTGATGGTTTTTCGCAAGCTGAAGATACAGGATTCCACAAAAAGTCTTCTCTACAGGTACAAGTGGGATGACGATTAATATCTAGTTTACATACTTCATATAATCCACAAGCGACATTAGTACAAGGGTTTAAGCATTTATTTCTTCCTGTTTCATCTAATCCACAAACAAATCCTTCCTTGCAATCCGCATCTTTAGAGCATTCTTTTGGTGTTCTAGCTTCTGGCTGACATCCTAAAGATAAATCATCAGCATTTCCAATATAATTAGCAGCACAAATGCAATGTGAAATATGAGCATCGGTTACACATAAAGCATTTGGTCCGCATTGAATTTTACTGCAAGCGTCAACGCATTTTCTAAGACCTTTTCCAAGCTGGAAACATATTTCAGAATCTTGACAATCTGTGTCGATGTTACATTGCCCTTTGAGTTTACAACCGTTTCGGAGATCACGGGGGTTTCCTTCATATCCTGGCGGACATATACATTTTCCTGCATCGCATCCTGCTCTTGGACCACAACGAACTTTTTCGCAAAGATTTTTACATCTTCCACGTTCGCAACTAAAACCATTTGGGCAAAGTAGGTTCGCGTTACATCTGCACAGTTGAGCATCATCACACATTCCGACTTGTACTCTTGCGCAAATAACGAATGGATTTCCTGCGAATCCTTCTTTACATCTACAATCGTAGCTCCCTGGTGTGTTGATACAGGCAGCACTTTCACCGCAAGCATTGTTTAAGCATTCGTCGAGATCTTCACAGGCTACATATGGATTACCTGCGTAACCAGATGGGCAGAAACATTCTACAACTCCGTATGAGTCTCTACATTGAGCTCCTCTTCCACATTGTGTTTTTGAACAAGATTTCTTTTCTGTTACTCTACAGTTTTCGTATGGATTTCCGGAAGTTCCGCTGTTACAAACGCATTTGTTAATTAATCCGTATTCGCAATGAGCGTTATCACCACAAGGAGGATCGCAAGCAGGTCCGGTAATTGCTAAAAAGTAAAAATTGATGATTAGAATACAATTTTAGTATGTTGGTAGGATAAATACTTACGTGGCATACAAATCAAGTCTGGATTTCCAATGAAAAAGTCGTCACAAACACATTTATTACTATTTTTGTCGCAATGAGCTCCTACACCGCAAATGATTCCTTCACATCTTTCTTTGCATCTTCCTCCTATACACGCTTGAGGCTCGGAACAAGGATTATTACTGGAGCAAACATCTGGAACGCATTTTCCACCGGGGAAAGGATTTCCAATTAAACCTTCCCTACATTTGCAGGTTGGGCCAGAAGTTGTGACGATACATTGCGCACCACTAGCGCAAAGATGATCTTCGCACACTTTAACAAAAAAGAATATAATTAAATGATTAACTATACGATTTGTTGTAAACTTACTTGAAACGCATTGTCCTACAGAATTTTCTCTAAATCCAATCGAACATTTGCAATGCGCAATGTGATTTTCAGGTTCACAATAAGAATTCGGACCGCACAATAACGTGCCGCACGGACTAACACAACTTCCTTCTATGCACGCTAACGCATTAGCACAATTTGTGTTATGTGTACATTCACTTTTTCCTTTTTCTTCGGGAATAGTAACATGAGTGACGACACACTCGGTTTTATAAGGATCACCGTGAGTACCTTGAGGACAAACACACCTGAAGCCACCTTTTAGATTTATACAATGGGCCGCATAACCACAAGGGGAAGATAAGCACTCATCAATATCGACACATCCTTGAAGTGGATTTCCGGTGTATCCAGCCTCGCACATACATCTGGGAGGATCACTTGGCGTACACTTCGCGTTAATGCCACAAGCGAATCTTTCACAAGGACTTTTACATTTATTATTATCAAGGGGATCACTGAAGAATGGTGGAGGACAAATACATTCACCAGGTTGAACACATTTTTCGTTCGTTGAACATTCACCGTCGTTGATGCATCGTTTCTGTGATGGTGAGCAAAGACCGTTGTAAGGATCTCCGCTATACCCTTCTGGACAAATACATTCGAAAGATCCTGGTATGTTTATACATTCGGCTCCGAACCCACAAACTCGATGACCTTCAGTACATTCATTAACATCTTGGCATGACCCGTCTATTAATGATTTATATCCTTTAGGACAAGCACAATAACTCACCCCACCTGTTATTGTTATACATTCGGCACCGTTTGGACATTTTCCTTCTGAAGAACAACCGGCTAATACGCAATTACCGTCCATTAATTTATAAGGTGGTTGGCAGCGACAATCAGGACGGTTACATTCTATGCATTCAGAGAAAGGATTTCCGTTAAACCCGCTGGAACATTGACAATCGTAACTTCCCGGTAGATTTTTACAAACTGCGTTAAGCCCACATGGTGGTTTCTCTCTCAGTTCGGTACATTCGTTGATATCGCGGCATTTGCCGGAGTCGTGATCTCTGACATATCCTTGTACACATATACACACGTTATCTCCGTTCAAGTCATCGGTGATGCATTGTTCGCCGTGGGGACATGGCTTCGAGGCCGAACAGCTGAATGGTACCGCCGATTTCAGGCAGCCGGTCCTGTAAGGATCTCCGGACGTACCCCCGGGACATTGGCAATTGAAACTGCCAGGTTCGTTCTTGCAGATAGCGCCCGGTTGACATGGGTTTCCTATGCATTCGTCTACGTCGACACAACCTTGGTTTGTTGGGGTATATCCTTCCTGGCAGATGCATTTCGCTTCTTGATTAATGAGCATACAATGTTCATTTGGTCCACAAGTTATTGACTCACACGGATCTATTTAAATTAAAAAAAGGATTAATTAATACATTAATACAAGCAATAAATATCAACTTACGTCTACATTCATTTCCAATGTTAGGTTCAGGACATAAACACCGCTTTAATCCATCACAAACGGCGTTTCCAGGACAATCATGATCGGTTTTACAAGTAACAATTTCGTTACATCTTGTGTAAGCATCAGGATCAGCAACTGTTCCTTCGGGACATTTACAACTATAACCTCCTCGTGTATTCGTACAAACTGCTCCCAATCCACAAGAGTCGGCTTCATTACATTCGTTGATATCATCACATCTCTCACCGGGGTTTCCAGTATATCCTGTCGGACATTGACAAGAATATGATCCCGGTGAATTTCTACATATTGCTTCTGCTCCACATCTTCCGTTTGGACCAGCACTGAGATCACATTCGTTTATGTCTACACAACCTGCTGCTATGTCGGTAGGGTTAAAAGTCCAACCATCTTCACAGATGCAATAAGCTTCTTGTCCGTCGGGTTTACAGAAAGCATGATCACCGCACTTAACATCTTCGCACGGTGCTTTACAATCAACGCGTGGAGGCGCACCTGCATATCCACTTTCACATTCACAACGATAACTACCCGGAGTGTTCACGCACAAAGAGTTCGGCCCGCAAGGTTGATTCGAGCACTCGTCGATATCCGCACACGAGGCACCGTTCGGCTTAAATCCTTTTTGACAAAAACACTGCCCTTCGACGCATTCCGCGTTATTCGTACAATCGAAGTTGGACGAGCATAGCGTGTTTACATCAATCTGAAATAAAACAAATCATATTCGTTTTTATATTTCAAAAACAAAAAGATGAAAAATTTCATTACCTGTTCGCAGGCAATTTGTGGTGATGGGCTCGCCCTATATCCTTGAGGACACAAACAGTTGAATCCTGGAGATGTGTTCTCACAAATAGCATAAGTGCCGCAGGGTTTTTCCCTCGACAAGCACTCGTCGATATCGACGCAACCTTTGATTGGATCCCCAGTGTAATCTTCTTTGCAGAGACACACATAACTTCCTATCGTGTCTCTACAAATGGTGTTCTCTCCGCAAGGATTTGTCTGGCATTCGTTAATATCTAAAGAACGTCGAAACATTCGAGAAAAATTCGACTAAACGGTACTATTACCTAAAGAAGAAAGACTGGAAGGAAACAGAACAGTAAAGACGTAGACAGTAGATCAGACAGTTCAAATCATACAGGCAACAGATGCATTTTAAAGATGATATCTTCTATAATAACAATATAATAAAATAATCTATATACAAAAGATCAAATAGGTCAGATCAACCGTAGAAATTTCGAGCAAAATGGATTAATTACACATTGTACAAAAACTTTTCGTTGATGTCAATATTTAGTCTACCACAAGAGTCTACGAAATAAATAAAATTAAATAAGATTAATTAATTAAACATTAAAATAAATTAAGTTTAAAAGGTAATATTAGGTTACGTAAGAGTGTTAGTGGAATGATTGAATGGTGAATTGTTAAAAGAAGCGTGCAATATATTACAAAGTGATCACTAACTTTCACAAAATGAGTGGCCTTTTCCTTTGAAACCGACGGGACATATGCATTTGTATGTCCCGGGCAAGTTTATGCATTTTGCGTTAATTCCACAAGCCCCTTGTCGTCCGCATTCGTTCACATCTAAACATTCTTCGCCCCTCCCCGATCCCGTGAAGCCTTTTTGACATAAACAGTTATAACTGCCGTTATTGTTTACGCAGTTGGCGCCACTTGCGCACGGGCTTGACTCACACTCGTTAATATCTGAAGCGATGCAGGTTTATGTTACATTCGACAATGAGGTGATTAGATGTGGATCATTGATTCGATTTAATTTGTTTGTGTTTGTGATATACGTGACGAAGATTGATTTTCTCTAATAATAAATACAATTATCTACTTCATACTGAGTTTAGTACCTATTTAGTATCAAATACTACTTATTAACAAAAAATTATTAAAGTTAATTCTAAAATTTTGACGTTTTTGTACAAAGAAAAAGAAAATCAGTCTTCACTGGTCTTGTTTCGTGGAGTGTTTGATATTATGTACAAATTATGCGACTCTGTACACGCATATGTACAATATACCGTCATATATGGTTGTTTAAGACTACCTGAACAGCCGATGGTTGGATCTCCAATGAAACCTGGAGGGCACGTGCAACTGAAAGTTCCATCTAAATTTGTGCAAAGAGCGTTTTGACCGCATGGCGATCTTAAGCACTCGTCTATGTCGTGACATCCCAACGTGTAGGCATCTCCTTCGTAACCTGGTGGACATATGCACTGTTTTCCTCCTGCTACATTGGTACAAATAGCTCCTGGTCCGCAAGCATTATGACTTTGACATTCATCAACATCTATACACTGTTAAAAAAAATTAAATAAACATAAATCGACTATTCATTTATATTACTTACCCCATCATATGGATTCCCAACATATCCATCCGGACAAACGCACGTATAATTTCCGGGTGTGTTAAAACAATGAGCATTTTGACCACAAGCTCCGGGTCTTGCACATTCATCAATATCTACATTCAAATAATAAATATGTAGATATTTGAAAAGATTTTTTAAGACAAAATACGCACCAATACATAGCGATTCGCCATCTCCTTCATATCCCGGTTTACATTTACATAAGAAATGAGCTGGAAGATTACAGCACTCTGCATTTTGAACACATCTCGATGCAATAGCTGGATCTGCGCATTCGTCGATATCTACAGAAAAATAATAAAAAAGATATTAATGATTCCTAACGTTATCTGAAAAACGCGTTTCAACCAGGAAACCACGAGAGCCTCCCACCTAACTGATCTCTTTGGTTTACTGTTATAAAGCAACAGAAGTCCGGCACATTCTGCAAGAGCAGGGAGCAGCCGATGGCTATCCGGCACATTCAAAGAGACTCGAGATGACGGCGTTTAGTTCGCGAACGAGATGCGATCGCATCCCGACCGAGGCCAAACAAAGAGACACCGAACTAAAGCTAACAGTTTTCCTCCCACGACCGATTGCAAACGCCCTTACGGTACTGTTGCAGGAGAAGAAGAAAGAAAGAAATCTCTTTGCCTGTCTACCCAGAACTCACTTAGCCCAACGAGAACGCCAATTGGACTCTTAATCACCAACTCCGTTTTGGCCGTAAGGAAGTATTCTCTCCTGATGTCAGTCACGACGGGATCTTTAACTAGGCGTGTAAATAACATCCTTAAGGTAATCCTCTTTCTTCCAGGAAGAAAGGGATTTGAATGAGACATATATTCGACGACTAACGATACTGGAGGAACATTAAACTTAGCATAAATGAAAAATAAAGAACGTAATTTAAGGTGTTTTAATGAAACTCATAAATTGTAGTAATGATTTCTTGTTTTTTTGGTACACACGTGCTGACCTTTAGTCTCCGTGGTAATTGAGCTCTTCTCCTATGTAAATTGGATCACGATTCGCTTGGCGCTCGTGACTTTTATTTGAGAAGACCGCGACGTTGATCATTAGCTGGACGTTATCAGGTAACGTAATGATTTTAATTAAACGTATTAAACGTGAGCGAAGATATCACGGAACCATGGCGTTGAAAATCCTTGTGTGGCTCTAAAATCATCATATTTTAAGCCAAACATATTTTAGTTTCTTTCTCATCATTATATTTTAATTATTCCTAATTAATCGAAATACACAAATAAGAGGTTTTGAGTTGTTAAAAATTGTTTCACATAAGTAAATATTTCTTGTTACTCTTCGTCTAACTTGCTTTCAGGCGACATAACTTAATATTTATGCAAATAAGTTGCAGCCCAATAAACGAGTACATACCTTCGCAATGAAACCCATCTCCTTGATACCCTGGGAAGCAGGTACATGAAAAACTGCCCAAGGTATTGGTACAATGCGCAAACACGTCACATGGTCTGTACTTGCATTCGTTTTCGTCTGAAAAAAAAATCTAAAATGAAGAGATGATGTTATGAAGTAACCATTTAACCACGGCGGTAAAACGTTTTTTTTTCTTTTTTATATACATATAGTATAGAAGGTATGATTCTGGTAAAAGTAATGATTAATTGTGCGAGAAAACATGGTAGGTCCATAATACCATTTATATGCTAGATCGTAACTGGTCTGACTTTTAAAAGTAATCCATATCCATAACGAGTTGCAACTTGCAAACTGGTACTCGAGTTCCAGATATCTCATTTTGAACTGTCACTATCACGTGGAATCTTAATTAAAAACAACAATACGTCGTAGCCATTTACAAAACAGGATCATCGGATGTGGGTTTTTCAACAGCTCTTCTCATAAGCCAATGCTAAATGCTCTGTAAATTCTATTGTAATTCCGTAATAGGGCAACTAATTCAGGACAAGTTCGCGGCTGGCACGCGACAACGAAACCTGGTTATTTTAATTTGACAACGATCGATGCATTCTATCCATAAACAAACTAAAACAATCATTTTATTTCTAATTGCTTATATTAACATTTTTAAATATCGAAGCTTCTTGCTTCTAATGGAAACGTGATCTGGTTTACTCTCTACTCCACCAAAGATCGAAGGCTTCATCTGCTTCGGCCTTCGAAGGTAGTGACTAAACGCTTGTACATTGGTCGGCTCTTCTCCATGGCAGATAAAGAACTGGTTTTAGCTCGAGTCTACTCGCTTTTCAGTTTAGAACACCACTTTAATAGATAAACCAGGACGACATTGTTGCAAGGTGCTATTTAGTCAGGTTTTATTGATTTGTTTCTGCGAAGGTTATTCTATAAATATACCAACCGCGCAACCATAGTAGAGTTCAAGTCGAAGTACGTAGGATGATTTTAATTACCCAACTATTAAAGTGAGAATTTTTACCAAGATTGCAATGTCCTTGTTATAATTGCATAAGATACTGTATGTATTTATGTGTCTAATATTAAAAACTAACCTGGTACTTCGCAGCTACAGCCTCCAAAGCCATCGTTGCAATGACATTGATTGTCGATGCACACACCGTTTTGGCAAAGAGTACCATCGTCATTTCGGCAGTCGTCTGAAATTAAAAAATATGTTTTATATACTAGTTATAATTAAAAAAGTGTTTGGGTATATATTTGGGTGATGAATTTACTTATAAGCGGGGTTTGTGAAAATAATAAATAACTCTACTATATCACCAAGTGTTATGCGTAATTAATACCAGAAGACATACAAATGAAGTTATAGAAAAATCTGTAGCATCGATCATGTTTAATTAGAGGTCTTATCTCGACAGAGCCGATTACATACGACTTGGTGGTGAAATGAATGTGCGCAATCTAGAAGCGGGCCATTAAAGGCCAAATTGTTATCGATTACCAAGTGACATATCTAAATTAAAAACGCGATTTAATCGACAAAGCTACGTGGAAATAAATCGGTCATAATTGCACCGTTTATCTTATATAAAGGACGGTTGTGTGGGTAGAATTTGCAGGAGAAGGAAAAAAATATTTACAGAATATAAACATATCTTGACGATAATTGAATAGTTCTTTAAGGCAATAAAAACCTTTAAAATTGACCGCAAGGTGAAGAAAACAGACTAAAATGTCTTAACCATGTCAATTTCCTGTCGCCAGAGGGCTCTTGTGCGGTCCCTCCAATTTGTCGGAACCATTTGACGAGGCGATTCCATTAGTGCTCGTCGCAGGGGTTAAACAGCCAGTAAGAGGCGGTTAATGCGCGACCAGATTTGCGATAATGGTCGACAACCACGGGATACAATTACATAAAACGGATGCAACACTTTAACGCCAACCAATTACAAAACAGAGCCTCAAATTTGAACTCGTTTCAATCGCCAAAGAGAAAAATCTTCCTGGCATAATTGTTTTATAAATTACAGACATGACCAACTTCGCGTCGTTTCGTGTTCATCGTGTAGAAATCTCCATGCATGACCGTACTTATTTTGAATCGTATACGCTAAACGAATGAAGAAATATCGAGTCACGCTTTCCCTTACGTTCTGAGCCATGATTTTATAAGGATGTTTAGTTGCTGGGATAGATATTTCGACTTTTTTTGGTTTCTTCACGATGTCACTTGAATAATCTTGCACGATTTCGTTCAAAATTTTGCATACCGGAGTATATTTTTAGTTTTATTTTACGTTGCTCATATGTAGTTAAAACGTGGCCTGACATCCGAAACAATTTTAAAAGGCGAGGTTACGGAAGGTACGAAGAAGTAATTCAAAAAATTGTACACGTTAAACGTTCCATTAGGACGTTCATAATTCATCATTTATTAGCATACCCATAGGATAGTGGATTTATAAATTATAGCCATTAGCAGAGAAAATGCAAATTATTCGCTTGGCACGTAATATTTACGTTTACAAGGGTACGACCCTCGGCGGAATGGGTTCGAATACATCTGCAAAGACCTTGCAAGGTCATCTTCTTCAGAACTCCAACTAACCTCATAAAGTACGTTTACGCTCGGTAAAAGAGCTAAAAATTGGGAATAGCATTAAGTAACAGACGACGATAAGTCAGGTGTCTGCGTTTAAAAACCTTGGGGTCGGTGCGTGGAAGATAGAAACGATGCGTCGTTGGTCATTTGCATAAACACCGGTTACGCAGCTTCTGAAAAACGTTGGAAAAACTTGGCGCCTGAGCCTGCAGTACATGTATAATTAAATCGAACTCTTCCCTTATAAATAAAGCCGCCAGGATGCGAACGATGTCATGCTACTTCACTATCCTTGCCCGAAATCTCTTGTAATAAGACGAATCCGTGTTAAACGTTGTAATTTAAAACATCTTCTTATGAAAAACATCGTATTTCTAAGACACGTGAAAGGAAATTGTCTCTTACTTAATGCTTTATGTTATTATATACAAGAATAAATTTTAATTTCCGGTATTAGATATAAATAATTAGTGCAAATGATCATTTTGAACTAAAAACGTCACTTTCTCAGCTGCTCTATGACTGACGTATTTACAGTAGCTCGTAAAGGTTTTACGTATTCCAAGAAATGACATAACGGAAACCGCAGAAGACGTTCCGCTTATAAGGCAAGCCTGCCGGAATTTGCTTAGTATGACTCTTCTACAATGCCAAAAGGAGCAGAATCGTATTAGATCGCGACATGCGTACGCAAGGATGGGAGAAAATGTGCACAAATATGTTAAATAGGGTCGAAAGCGAGTTCCATAGCCTTACGTATATGCCGCATAGCGAACGGCCAACATCGTTAGTGGGCAAAAACCGGAGAAAACGTGGTTTGTCACAGCGTGCGAGCAACATTGAACAGACTTAACTATTAGTTTACTTAAACGGTAATCTATGTATTTGCTAATAAGTGTTTAGAAGTAAAATGTAACTATTTTCTCAGAAAATATCTTTAGGCGCCACTCCCAAGCTATTTATAGCCATCCAAATAATTATCCTCATTCCAGACGTGGTTCTTGCAACCTCACCTACGTGAATCTATGACTTTCGCTAGTTGAGAGCCATCAGGGCTAGATGAATACCTCGACCGATCTCGAAGATTTACTTTGGTATCCTACGTTTGGGTGTGTCGAAGCGTCTAAAATCCTGCTCCCGCATCGAGTGAAACAGGATACAAACGGGAGTGTACGCATATCATTACAATAAAATGAATGGTGGCAGAAAATGCGAGGATTGTTTTTGGTCCCCATTCAATGTTGCCAATTAGGTTGAAAGCAAAAGGTAAATCATCCGGGATGCGACTGAAGGACAATCGAGCGTTTCGAGAACCCTCCGAGATAATGATTGAATTATTGAACCATTTGCTGGTAAATTATAGCAGCGTTCCTACCGGGAAGTATGAATATCACGCCGAAGACTTTTTGTATCTTATAGAAACCATTACCGACAAGATCAAGATATCCATGTATGTGTGTCAATACTAGTGTTTTGAAGTATAGTTCTACAAGATACCGGGAGATTGAAGACACAAAAGTAAAAGTGGTTGATTCGGCGTTCAGTCTGGTGGAACGGTCAAACCTGTCGCGCGTGAAGCAACCGTCTGGATGAATGATTCATGGTCACGACCGGCAACCGGTGACAGTCGACTAGCGAGGAGGAAGATTGTTAACTCGCCATTGTACTTGTGTACGTCGGCGACAGCAAGGACACGGCCAAGAAGCGAAAGAATTGCAAACCAAACGAACAGTTCGAAGAAGCGCGCGCGGATTTGCCGGACGAAGATTTAAGACGAATTTGTAAAAAGGACGGATGGCTTAAGAATGTCGCGACAAAGCAAGCTTGTTACAACGTGCGGCCTTCGTAGTACCACACAGGATGTGAGAGCTAAGAGAATATATTGCAGCCTGAAAAGGATTCAAAACTAAGAAGAATAATACATGTGTGGGATTATAAAAGAAAAACAAGACAAAACATTGTTTAAGCAACTCGTATATCTATCCTTTCTAATGACATACTCTTTTTTATAAAAAATTTAGGGTGTTGCGATTATTTATTCATCTTGCATTTCTGCATAACTCGACGTTATTTCTTTCGTTTGCATTCCTCCGTTTCCGTGAAGTTTTTCTTCAATTTTATCACACGTCAATCCTATCGAAGTTAACACAGAATTTAAATTTCTCGTAATATGTAAATGGAATAGTTAATGTTATTGCCGGAATGCACGTTTAATTCATGTTATAAGTAAAAAGCGAGGAATTTATTGATCCAGCGTACTCGGAATCATTAAATAAATGTAAAGTATCTACACTCACCTGTACATTTCAATTCATTCCTAAGTTCATCTGATCCTAAAAAGCAATCCGGCACTCCGTCGCAGAGTTTGGATAGCTGGAATACTTGCAGTACGTCAAAAGTTTCGTTTACTTGGCACGCAAAGATGCCGTCTTCGAGTTTTAGAAAAAAGTTCTCCCTTTTGATACCGCGACCAATGCCGGTGAAGGATTGGGCAGTCTGAAATAAAAACAAAACCAGTTAGTTTAAGACTTCTCGACTTTAAGATTCCAAGTCTACTCCATTCATTCATTCCGGACAAAACGCTTGAGAGAATTTAAAAAAATTAATGATTGATACGGTCATCAAAAAGTAAATATTCGCATGGAAAGCTGGATAGTAGGTTAGATAACCATAAATAATCAGTGTATATACACATAGCTTGAAGATTAAAAACATGTCGTGTTGATAATTTTAAGTGTGTGCTCGTAGATGTCGGTAATTAACAAATATCGTCTTCAGATGCACCGCTACACCTGAAACTTTCTAGTTGTAAGGCTAGTGTTAGTTCTAGTTTCAGTTGTTATTCAGCGATTGATTATTATATATTGTTATTGGACTAAAAGTAAAAATAACACTAGACCTAGAACTAAAAATATTCGGGTCTAGTGTTTGTTCCAATGCTAGTGTTAGTTCTAGTTTTAGTTCCATTCGAGTTTAGTCATACGTCCCTTAACCCTCCGCATATGAGGTGAGGTATCATATACCCTAGCTTCAGGAAAACTGAAAAAATTGAAAAAAAATCTCAATTCTACCCCGTTCATTCATTCCGGAGAAAACGCATGAAAGAATTTAAAAAAATTAATGATTATATTATTATTGATTAATTTAATGTTTACTTTCAAAAAAGCGTTATTGAATAAATACAATGAGTTATGCAAAGAAGTCTGTATTTAACGTATATCTTACGGTGATCAGAAAGCAAATATTCGCATGGATAGCCCCGCATAGTGGGTTAGATAACCGTAAATAATCAGTGTATATACACATAGCTTCAAGATTAAAAACATGTCGTGTTGCTAATTTTAGGTGTGCGCTCGTAGATATCGGCAATTAGCAAATATCTATTGCGGTGTTGATGTTTGTCTTTTACGGTATTTGCGGATTTTCGAGGATTCGATTTTACCGTTCTATGCAAAACGTGCAAATGGAAAAGACAATTTCAATGCCATAAAGGTTCACGTAAAATAACTTCATAAACCAAACATTTTAGATACATAGTCTGGTTGCTGTTTAAACGTAAACCTCGCGTGGTCAGTAGTACTTAATGAAGGCCATTTCTGCATTTATCGGTAGCCACTAACCGGTAAAAATATAGTTTTATTTTTATACGACTATGTAATTCATCTGCTCCCAGATGGCTTCTGATTATGGTTCTCGTTGTAATTGCTTAAGATACGCATATGAGATTTAAGATCTCATCGAAAGTGACCGGATGTTGGTGCAACAGAGCAGAACTCGTTTCCGTTATCCGACCGTTAGCAGCAAGGTCATATACCACTCTAGAACTTTCCAGTTTCTAGTTTTCCAATGGAAGTTGTAATGACGAAAACTTTAATACTTCCCGAATTCATGTATCTTATAACAATATCAAATACAATCAATCACCCGGCAATTAATTCCCGTTTTAATCATTCTGTACGTGCCATGAATCGTATACAAGATCTTCGCTGAAACACACAATTAATTTGTTTCGACTATTCAGGTAATTGACCTTCTACTTGGATTACTTGTTTTTTTTCACGGCAAAATCGTCGTTTAGAACTATTTTTGCGAGATGTCCGCATTATTACATCACATACACCTGTTTACGTAGTATCGTTTATGGCCATAGAACCGCATAATAGTCAAGGTTGGAATCGTAAATTAGTCATTAGCGATGACCAGTTTATGTGTTTCTGAAGTTTATGCTTAGCTGTATTCTATTCGATAATTTACATAAATTTAAATCGTAACCTTAATTAATTGCAAAAATGAAAGCTTTAAATTCCACGATGAGGTAATTTATGCTCTATATAATACGGTGAAAGTTTTTCACATGTAAGTAACCTACATTGTAAGTAATTCGTTCTCAAAGTAAATCCATCAACTTTATTGAAGTTATACAGTAAAACCACGATATAATGGATTAATACGGGAAATGGAGTATATGTTATAACCAAAAATTCGTTATATGAAAAATAATANAAGCACTAGTTAGCAGTAATACAGTAAAACCACGATATAATGGATTAATACGGGAAATGGAGTATATGTTATAACCAAAAATTCGTTATATAAAAAATTTTAATTTACATTTTAAACTTTTTGAATAAACAATTTTGATGTATACAAATTCGAATAGCTATCCACACTGCTAAATATTCGCGTTTATTAGAGTCTTCAGACGCACGGCTAAACCCGAAACTTTCTAATTCTAGGTCTAGTGTTAGTTCCAGGTTTAATTCAATAAAAAATATACAGCAATCTAACGCTGAATAACTTTTTCAGACGCACGGCTAAACCCGAATGTTTCTAGTTCTAGGTCTAGTGTTAATTCTAGTTTTAGTTCAAAATAATATACAATATAGCGCTATGTAGTGCTAACTAGCGCTTCATAGCACTATTACTAGAACTAACACTAGACCTAGAACTAGAAGCATTCGGGTTTTGCCGTCTTAAGAGACGTGCGGCAAAACCCGAATGTTCTAGGTCTAGTGTTAGTTCTAGTTTTAGTTCAATAAAAATATACAACCTAGCGCGATGTAGTGCTAACTAGTTCCTTGTTCCTAACTAGTTCCGTTTCCTAGGAAGAAATAGAGCTAGAAACTAGAGCTCACTAGAATTAGAACTAGCACTAGACCTGGAACTAGAAACATTTGGTTTTAACCGTGCGTCTCTTAAGACAGCTAAATCCGGATGTTTCTAGTTCTAGGTCTAGTGTTAGTTCTAATTTTAGTTCAATGAAAAATACACAACAATATAACGCTGAATAACAATTAAAACTAGAACTAACACTAGCATTAGAACTAACACTACACCTAGAAGTAGAAACATACGGCTTTAGCCGTCTTAAGAAACCTACGGTTAAGCCCGAATGTTTCTAGTTCTAGGTCTACTGTTAATTCTGCTTTTAGTTTAATAAAAATTTACAACTTCGAGTTTAATAGTATGACTTAAAAATATTTTGTCTAAGTTCTTCATCTCTATTTCAATTCGTTTTCTCATAATTTCAAATAATACCATACAAATTAATTAATTCTGATGTCACAAAATTTTTTGAAGGTCATTTTTTGCTTAAGTTTTTTCTCTTCTAAAAATCATCAAAATCATAAAAGATGACACAGCGATAAAATTAGTCGCTTATTTCATGGCTACTGTTTTCGTGTTGTTGATTCTTCGAAACTTCTCGAATTCTTCCATCGTCGTGTTTATTTACGGATAGGATTTGCTTATAATATTAATTGGCGATGACCAATCTCGGCTGTTAAGAACGGCAAAAATGGCGCTAGTAGGAAAACAAAACTGTCCGTAGTAGAGTCAGATTGCGGATAAGGTGGTCACTTAAAGTAAATGGCCATACTAACGGAGTTATCTAGGCTTTATATCTCCGGGCGTTTCGCTATTAATTACGGCTTTTCTGAGCTACTCTCCCCTATGTTCTAGCTACCAACCACAAACGCCAAGATCGGCATCCTCCAATACACACCAATACACGACGGCTACTTGTTTGAGATACTTTTTCTTTTCATTTGATACCAAAAAAAATTCTCTGCGCGGAGCTTCCTGTATAGATTGGTTGGTTGGGACGTTACGCTACGCTGGTTACTATCTTTTAGCCGGGAACGGTGTTGTTTGTGCAAGTTTCTTTAATGTAATTGAGGTATTTTATCCTTGTAGGAAGTAATCGCGAAATAGTCGACCGAGATCCACGTCGCGATACTATCCTTATTGCATCGGTCAAATGTCTTGTACAACATAGTACTTGGCACGGCTTTTTAATTTCTAGTTCGCTTCGGATGGGATTCTTAAATAGAAAGAAAATATCCTCGGATTCTTTATAATCTTCTTAAAATTGCTTTGCTATTTTAAGCCATCCTCTCTGATACAAATACGCTCATTACGATCACCACTTATAGTAATTGAGAGTCTAGAGTTAGCTCGCAAATCAGGACAGTCTATTAAGTTCCTTCTTCTTCTTCTTCTCTGTGCTGTCAGTTGCATCTTCGAATTACCGGGTTATGCAAATGGACACATCTAATTTAAACACGAACTGCCTTAAGGCTGTCGGTCGGTGCGCCATGCTTTTTCAAAAGAGCAAATAAAGAAAACTGAAAAGAAAAATCAGTTGGAATTCGCGAGCTTTTATTACATTCAGTGGAGTTGTGTGCCAATAATGGATACGAGACTCCGGTTGGTCAATTACACATATCAACGGGTGCAGTTTCGCTTTCGAAGATGTCCACCTTGCGATAACGCTATAAATCCTCTCGCGGTGTCGCAAAGAATCGACCGAACAGCAACGGCAGCTACGTAGCCGTAGGTTGTTTATGTTGACCACTAGTTAAATGATGCAAAGAAATGGGAAGAAAGAAAGGGATGAGAAACCCATCCTCCTTTTTTACTCCTTTTCTTTTTATATTCTCTCTAAGTCTTTCAGAAACGCGACACACTTACACGAGTTTGTTAACGCTAATTGTAAGTGCGTATTGAGAAGAGTGAATACTTCTGTCGTTCGTTTCAAGATTCTTTTACCGGCACCGAAGAACTTAAACCAAAAAGAATGACTAAAAATAACTAGAGAATTGGCGATGCTGGAATGCAGAGGCGGTTTCATTGTTTATGCCAAATACGTGTCCAACACTTTTTTGTTCGTACGTAAGGGGTTAGTAGTGTCAAAGGGATGCCGAAGAGACGTCCTAAAGTGTTAACAACGTGCGATGCGCATAGTTAATAGTGATGAATTACGTGACTAGATAATTAAATGGCGATTTTTTGAGTCGTTTCAGCAATACAAAGAAACGTAAATATAGAGTTACCTGTAAATTATAGACCTCTGTTGACCTTGTTCATAACCTAAACCATACCGTTACGAAACAAATTGTAGAATCACGTTTTTATATCTGTATGAACGGTTTTTATATTAGCATTATAAAGAGATATAACATAGATATCGCGTGTCAATAACGTAATGTATATAG